GAAAAGAGGGCGTGTACAAAGGCCAGGACTGCCACGCCCCCCTCACCAATCCAGCCTCGACCCACTGGATAAATCCCTCTGGCTCCGGAAGCTGCATAATGCCATGCAGGTTCGAGCTGTCCCTCAGTGCCAGTGATTTTACACTCTCAGCGGGCTACTGTGCTTATTATTTTGCCCCACGCCTGGGAACCAAAAGAGCGTCTATAGTGAAAGGACGCACTGAGTTGCGTAAACAAATAGGTAAATGAGGATTTTAACAACTATATTGCCATTTTAAGTAATAATCTAACTCACATTTTTATTAGCCGGACACCTAATTTCCATAGTTAATGTTAAATCACCTCAAAGAAGTTCGACTGAGCCAGAATTTGTCAAGTGGTGCTCGCTGCAGAACCACAAAGGTGGAGCTGCACCAGAAGGTGGAGCTGCACCAGGGTCAGCCCCGTCCATTCCATCAGAGTCAGTACAATTCCTTCAAGTTGTCAGACTTGATAGCATTCTGGAACCAAAGAGGGTTTTATAGCTAAAAAATACAAGATTGAGGACGGAGGTGAGAAGTTAACTGAACAGTTTTTGTAAAGGTTCCATATAATTAAAAATCTAACTTTTGGAACTTTTTATCATGTTATATTGTCATTTCCTCATAAGAAACACGCCAAAGCCATTTTTGGCCTCATTCATGCATTTTCCTCCCATCTCAGCTTCAATTTGGTCTCCTCCCCTGAAGTGGGTCTGGTCTTGGTTCTCAAATCTGGATATTCTGTGAATTTTCTGACAAATTATTTCTGAAATGACTTCTACTGAGACACCGCCAATAAACCATACATCCCATCTCCAAAGACACACTGGATAGGACAATTACATGTAACGCCACTCACTTCATATCAGATGTGGTGGGGTAGAGGCTATGGAGGCAGGTTTGCGTGTAGTTTTGCGCAGGTTCGACTCCCAGTGGCAGAAATCTTAGGTAGATTACAACCCCTTTTCTTAATTTCTAGCTACACTTGCCAGTACTGTTTACAACAATTTACTGGTATACCGTTTACAATATAATGACTAATGTGTTTATTTATTTATTCGTTTATTTAGCCATTGTGAGTCCATTTGTGAGCAGAGTTTCAACTAAAATGCTGTTTAGGAACGACCAAATTCAAAGAACTTTTAGAGACATAAATATTTTGCTGAAAATAAACATTACAACTAAAATATAAACAAATTCAATGTTTCAGCTGGCTAAATAGATTGATGCCGACCCCACCGAGAATCGAACCAGAATCTGCTGAGGGGGAAGCAAAATTTACTTCATATTATCTTACCACTGCACTACCAGAGCACATATAACAATCACCCATGCTGTTGCATCATATTATTGTTAGAACGGCTGTGGGCAGATATCTGCTAAAAGAAATCGTTTCATTTCAAGATGTATTCAGGCTTTGTCATGTAGCAAGTTATATTTATCTTGTTTAATTGGAGCATAGAACATAGCATTAACATTTGTAAAGTAGTAACAGCCATAATTCATGTGGGTCAGGTTAGTTTGCGATGAAGTTGGAAAACAAAAACGGAAGTCAGTGGGCTAGGCTGAGTTTGCGTGAATGGGCGGGGCTGACCCTGGTGCAGCTCCACCTTATGGTGCAGCTCCGCCTTTGTGGTTCTGCAGCGAGCTCGAATTTGTTATCCATATGTGTTCATTAGCATTTGGCGCCATCGTGCGGCCGAGTGACGGTACTACACACACCTTCCAATTCGAGGTTTAAGCGCTCGAAGCCCCCAACGCGCATGCGCAGGTGGAAACGTAAGTTTTTATCAACAATTCCTTTTTACGAAAGTCGAGATTAAAACAGTACCTGTCCAGTTTGCCTTAGAGTTTTTCTGATATGTAATTTATTATTATTTTCATTTTATTAATGTCAAAATCCAGTTTCCTGCAAGGGGCTGCTGACTGCTCTCCTAGCAACCGGGAAACAAAAAGCTTTTTTCTGTTTTTAGATCCAGCTTTGGATGGGAAGTAACTAAAGCTAGCAAGGCATTTCTGCGGATACCATGACGGTTCAACAAAGAAAGACAGAAAATTTTATAGAAGTGGGGGTATGTAAACACGATCAGTCTTCATCTGATAGAATATTTCTCAGTTTTGCAGCGGTAATGTCTTCTACACTAACATTTTCATCATAACTTTAGTTATGTCATCCAACAATGTCATATTTATACATTTGTTTTAGTTTCCTCTCAGGAATCACGTGGTTGGTTAATTTCCTGACAGCATTTAGTTCAATTTCTCAAGTATTTGATACTTTGTCTAAACACTCTAAATTTAAGGGAGTGTTTTTGTTGGTTTGATTTAAAAATATCAACTTAGAAAGAAATCTTTTTGATTTGGTTTAATTTAAAAATGGCTACTGTCACTCAACAAGTATCAGGAGCCCTGGGAAAAAAAAGGGTATATCTAACGTCTAATATTTTTATCTGAGTATATCTTCAAAGAAAATAAAAAAGGCAAGAACTAGAAACATTCATAAGAAATTACTTGTATATACATGAAACAAATAATTTAAAAAGGCATTAAAATGGTAACGTCTGCAACAAAATGACTTAAAAAGTGACTTAACTTCTCAATTGTTTTCTTAGTTGATATCAGTTTATATAAACCAAAGTTTCACAGACCTAAATGTGTGATTTACGTCTTTATTCAATACACTTGCAGTGTTCTCTAGTGTAAATCAATGCCTTATGACTAATTTAAAAAAAATACGATGCTATTGTTCTGAAATGCAGAAAACAGCAGGGTTGCTCATTATTATTAATGATATGCACACAACTGGCTTCTGATCGAGTGACCGAATGCATTCAGCCATGTTGCTAAGTCACTATCACAAACACACTCTCGCTCCTTGCTGCAAAAATTGTTTTAAAAGCCTTCCTGTGGGCAGGCGAGGCAGTGGATGCAAATTTACGGTGTGGATTTTCAAAACCTAGCATTTCGTCATCTATTTTCTATCAGAAGCTAACAGGAGATAGGTGTAGGAGAACGTTTTCATGTTCAGCCTGTATGAAAAACTCAGAGTGACCAATTATAATCAGAAATTATGATTAAAAATGTTTGTTCAGTCAACCACACCTGAGCTTTTCACAAGAGATGCTCCATACACAAAATAAATCAGATTTATTACAACAAAGGTTGTCCTTCTTTTGTCTCCAGCATGCAAAGAGTATTCAGATGTCACCTGGGAATCCTGAAACCTGTGCTGTGGAGAATTTAGCAAACACACTGCAGTCCAGAATAGCTGAACAGTCAAGTTTGATCTGCATGCTGAAGGACCGAGCAGATAAAACGCTTCTACAATATCAAGCCCAGCTGAAGATCAACGCAAACCTCGAAAAACACGCAGCCAACTACCAAGAAAAACTAGACAGAGAGCAAAAGAAAAGATCATCAGATTTGGTTTCCAGCAATAAAGCAATGATTTCTTTAATAGAGGAGCACAAAAACCAGAATGTCCAATTAAAGGTGGAATATGAACGGCTGCAGTTAGAAACTGATTCTCAGTTTTCTCAAAAACTGCAGGAGAAAGAATCATTAGTTCAAAAACGTACAGAAGACATCGAGCTGCTGAAAGAGAAACTTACAAAGAGCGAAAACGAATACAGGTAAAGGGTTGAATCTTGCTTCCATCGTAAAAAAACCCCACAATATCAGTCTTATCTTTCTCATTTTGTTAGTGATGTTCATACACTAATATTTAAGGGGGAAATTAGCTGAATCTGAGTCTAAACTCAAAGAAAAAGTTGCTCAGCATCAAGCCAAGGAAGCATCACTACTCATCAAGTTCAGCGAAGCTCAACAACAACAAAGAGAAGCTGTGGAAACTTGTGAAGGTCTGTAGAATAAGTGGGTGTACGTACTTCCCATTACAGCAAACACGTCATTGAACGTGCAGCAATTCTTTCTCATCAACAGATTTGAAGCTGAAACTTGAAAAGACTAAAGAGCAACGTGCCTTGGAGGAAATCGGCATGAGAGAAAGAATAAAAAACCTCATAGAAGAAAATGAGAGATAATTGAAGATTTCAACGGAGAGGGGAGAATTGCTACAGGTAAAGGAATTTTACAAACACAACTATCGGACATCCCTAATTTATGTTAATGCCAACATCGGCCAGCACTGGCATTAAAATGTAGTGTCGGAAATGATCGGTATTGGTTTTCTTTTTTTTTATGACACAAACTTTACGCACCATCTACATATTACAAACTCTGTAGAGAAGAACGGAGCTGGAGCACGCTGATCAGTAAAAGAATTAGATGCAAGTAAAGGTAACTAATGTCTTCGTCCGAGTTTATATATCAAACACTTTAGCTACTTCAGAAGGTGCAACCAGAAGTTATGCAGTAGGGAGTGACTGGGCCTTTCCACCAGTTATGGATCTGTCGAGTGACGTCCGCCACACATAACACGCAGCACTTAGCCGCCATTATAGTCATTGGGTGCATTCTGGATGTATTCCAGAAGCTCTGCTAAATTTATGCTTCAAGTTCATTTTTTAAACGCTACGCATACAGAAAGTGAGGTTCAGAGGTTTATATCGGGCCAGAAATGAAAGCCGTGTAAAACATCCTGAAAATTTCAAAATAAAAGACACGTACAGATTTCCAGTTGCTTGATTAGTGAACACAAGTAGGCTTATGTCATATGAAACTTTGTGGACGAAGTAAACAGAACAGAAAATAAACCAGGCCTTTGTAGATACGTGGTGCCGTCTTTGTCTATGCGTGTTATCACGTGAACCGCCAAAATCATGCATGGTCTTGCAATTCTCCAGTGATTGTGGGACTTTACTGACAGGGGCGTGTCCAGGGAGTGGCCTGGGGTAGCACATGCCACCCTTAGAATCTGATTGGCCACCCTACTAAGTTCCAGTTTAAATTGACTTTACATTGTCAACAAAAGGCTTGAGTTGTAAACTCCAAAAATAGTGTGTGGTAGCATGCACCTTTAACATTGTCTTCCAGCCCAGACCTACAGAACGTTTCTGTACTATTAATATTGTTTATTATTTTTTTCATATTCACATAAATAGTATTTAGAGTCCCACTCAACTCCAGTTGTTGGCAATAATGCAACAAGAAGTGACTTGCTAACCACCACAAAACTAGAAGATGAATGGAAAAAAAAAATGGTGATTGTGCAATGTGAAACTCCAAAATTCACTAGAAAGTAAATAAATAAATAAACAAACGATTTGTGTAAATAAATAAATAAGCAAAACCATTGGTGCCACCCATGCATAAACAAGTGCCCCACATGGGCCACCCCATTTTAAAAGTCCTGGACACGGCTCTGTTTACTGATTCAGCTTGTGTTATCAATTCAAGTTAAAAATGCTCCTGGATGGAAGGGAGTTTACAGGTAAAATGTGCCTGTTACGTTATACACAACTTACCCATACAGTGGCTGGGGTAAGACCATGTCGGTACATCGGATATCAGTAAAAAAAAGCTGATACCGATACGTACACACGTGTGTGTGTGTGTGTGTGTGTATGTGTGTGTGTGTGTGTGTGTGTGTGTGTGTGTGTGTGTGTGTGTGTGTGTGTGTGTGTGTGTGTGTGTGTGTGTGTGTGTGTGTGTGTGTGTGTGCGCGCGCGTACATTAACTGCAGGACAAACATGAGGAGATCCACGAGCTGGAGACAAAGTGGGAACAGGAGAAGGATGCTCGCAGCAAAGCCAAGGACAGGTACATTTCACATTTCTCTAGAATGGGGAATTCCCCAACCAGCAGGGGGCAGTGTTTCTCACCAAGTGAACAAAACCTACTTTCCTCAGGTTTGAGCTGGAGGCCGAAGCAGTAATTGCAGATGTGAGAGTGAAATCTCTCCAGGCTGCTCTCAACGAATCCCTTAGTCAGATTAAAAACATAACAGCGGTAGGTTTCAACCCTCAGTGTTTAAAATAGTGGAATTTCATTAGTGAATCATTTAAAGCTAACAACGTTATTATTTTTGTCTCTTTTTACAGGAGTTCGGTGCTTTCAGAGAACATAGTGCTTATCTCATTAAACGAGAGAAGGACTTAAATAAAATATACTTCAAAATGAAAAAGTAAACTTAAGTGTTATAAATGCTTTTCTTTCTATTATTAAACTCTCATAAACATCAATAAAATCTGAAAAAGGCTTTGTTTGTTAATGTTTTTATTTTATCTTTAATTTTCTGCGGAAATGGAACCGCAACACACAAATATGGTGTGACATACTGCACAAATGACCTTCAGCTTCTCATGTGCACACTCTTCTGCTGGGTTCTAATCCTTTAGAGCAGGGGCGTCAAACATGCGGCCCGTGGGCCGGATCCGGCCTGCAAGCGGGTTAAATCCGGCCCACGGGATGGTTGTGTAAACTTTATTTTCATACTTTACAATGTAGAGTGAAAATAAACATATCTTTGTGAGCAAGTTTTCTGTGTAACGAGTATAAATAAAACAAAGCTGCGCTAAAGGCTCACACAAGAACTTGAATCCGATCCTGAAGTTGGCCGCCACTCAGGATGTGACTTCTGATACTGATGTGCTGGTGAAAGCTAAAAGATGTTAAGTAAAATGAGTCAAATATACTTTACGTGCTGCACGAAACTGATCTTGCCATGTGATCTGTAAGCTCTTTGAATCACTAAGGATTTTTTTTATTATGTATTGATTTTTTATTTTTTTCAAATTTTCAAGTACACTTCAGGTGTTGTACTTGTACTACACTGTCCTCAGGCTCCAGCTTTGTTTCATATTGAGTGTATTAAAACAAAGAACACAATCTGAAGTTTTTTTGTTTTTTTTTACCGGTCCGGCCCACTTGGGACTAGATTTCCCTCAATGTGGCCCCTGAGCTAAAATGAGTTTGACACCCCTGCTTTACAGGGACTACCTCAGCTCAGGCTATATGCACATTTTGGATCATTGTCATTGGAACAAGGGTAATGGGGTGAATTTTTCCAAACTATCGTTAAGAGCAACATTCCACTGTGTCAGAAAGTCTCCTTTAATTACTCCTGGCCTGGAGCTCTGCAGTACAAAGCCTCTTCATCTTGAGCGCAGCAGGCGGACCACTCCATGAATTCTCTGCCAGTCTGCACAGGACCGAGACCTTCTCCGAGCCGTACCAGGAGGAGATCGCCCAGAGGTCACCTCGGCTAGTGGATGGTCAAATCATGGTCATTTTTCATCATCGCTGCAAGTTTCTGTCATTTATATCCTGAAAAAAGAGTTCACATGCCTTTTACCTATACTGGGTTAAGTCATTTAAATTCTGTTGTTAGAGATCTGATTGCATATTTTGCACATTTGACTTGTCATGCTTGGTATAAAAGAATAAGTGTGACATTTTAAAACCTTTTAACCCTCAGGCAAAACTGTTTAGGTATTCCAGAGTCTGTGGGAGGAAACCAAAGGTGACCAGGTCTTTGCCATTTTGGCCTCTGAACTTTAAACCCCGAGCATAAAGCACTTCTGCTGCCAGCTTAATACTTAAAACATTCTAAATCCTGCTTTATTGTTATAGTTCGGAAACCAAAAGTTGACAATTTGTGTATTTAAAAAGACATAACTAGCCGCACCCTCACATCTGTAACTAAAAGTTGAGAAAAAGGCAAATTATAGAGCATGATGCCTGTAATTTTGTGTTTTTTATGTGTTAAACCCTGGTAAAGTTGCACAGCTGTTGCATTTACAGTTTTTATGATACCACTAAACAAAGACTCACTATATTGTTTTACTCATGGAAACTAGCAGTGATCCCTTGCCCTCGGGCGGCAGCAGGAGTCTTGGCACAACACCATTGGATCTGTCTCTTTATGAAGGAGGAGTGAGCATCTCTGACTTCTCATCTCTTTCCAGACTGACAGTCAGTGTACTAACCAAAGTCTGCGGTTCACTAGAAGCTGAAGAATGTTTGAAAGTGTTTGATTTGGGGTTTTTAAGATTCGTTTACCTCCTACTATCACTTTGATTGGATGCTGAAAGCCTCCTGTGGTGTTTTAAGTTGATTCATTTGGGATCTTTGTGATTATTTTCTTTTTTCCTCAGGGGTAAGGATGTTCCCATTTTTTGCATCATTACTTTTGATAGCATCACTTTCCAGAACTTTGGCCCAAAACTTGGATGAAGAAGGAAAAACACACAGGAGATCCAGGCTCAAGGCAGTGGCCACAAGCATCCATGATGGGCAAGGTGAGAAAGAATCCGTTATACTCCAATTCCACTGCTTTACTGTGTAAAACTTTGAGTTTGTTGGTCATTATAACGAGTCTTGACCTTTACACTCACAGCCATCCTGGATGAGGACTGCAGTTTGGAGCTCTCCTTCCTATTGGACAGTTCTGAAAGTGCAAAAGACAACTACGAGCACCAAAAGCGGTTTGCTATGGACATTGTGGACAGACTCCGAGGTGCACGGCTGCCCTCCGGCCGCAGCCTGAGCTCCAGGGTGGCTCTGCTGCAGTACAGCAGCCATGTCATCAAAGAGCAAACGTTCAAAGACTGGAAGGGAGCAGAGAACTTCAAGAACCGGATCACACCTGTAACCTATATTGGACATGGCACCTACACCACCTACGCCATCACCAACATCACTCAGATCTACCAGGACGAATCCAGACCCGGCAGCATCAGAGTGGTGCTTTTGCTCACAGATGGCGTTTCCCACCCGAGGAACCCGGACATGTTTTCTGCAGTCGCTGATGCCAAGAACCAGGACATCAAGTTCTTCATAGTGGGCATCACCCGGTTAGCCAAAGAGCCGGCGAATGTAGCCGAGCTCCGCCTCCTCGCCAGCTCCCCCGTGACCCGCTTTCTCCACAACCTACAGGACGAAGGCGTAGTTGAAAAGATCTTCAGTGAAGTGGTGAGATTACAACCGTGTCTGCAGAAAAAAAGTGATGCATTTCATTTGAATGGGTGTCTCCTCTGATATTACACATGGACAGACTTGCTCAGGTATTCATGTGGCGATGAAGTCATGACAATGGAACCAATCATCTGATAGATCTGGATTTAAGCTTTTATCAACAGCTATCAAAATCCAACCATTCTGCCTGAACTAAACCAACAAGATTATTTGTGATGAACCTTCTAAGAACAAGTCTTTAGTCCCTGTATCTCACTGAAGCATGGACTGAATTCATCTGGAAACAAAATGGTTGAGATTCCTAAAAACATGGAGATGTTTGGCTAAAAAGTTAAACATGTTTATCCACTGATTTTACATTTAAGTTCAGATCTTGTTTCTTCTAATAAACAAAAATGGAAAAGAAGAAACAATTTTATTATTTTTTCTTGGTGTTGACATAAAAAAATGTATTAACACAGTTTACCAAACTTTGTTTATTCAATTTATTAAAAAAAACTCGAAATATTTCAATAACTGATGTATTTGCAATAAAACACCTGATGCTGATATCTCTCACCCATTTTTTTTTTTTTGGCAGACAGCCTTATCTGATGAAGGGGTAAGCACAAGTGCAGTTATTTGCTCATTGATGGTTGACATTTGTTGCATAATTATTAAGTGTTTGCTGCTTTTGAAGTGTCCTCTGGCTCAGAGATGTGCTTGTGAGAGAGGAGAACGAGGAGCCATCGGTCCTGCGGTGAGTGTCTAGCCTCTAATGTTTCACAAGACACCGTGTGTACTTTGAAGTCACAGTTATGGCTTTGGAAAGTTATTTTATTTTTATTTTTTGCAGAATATTAGAAATTAAATTATTGTTGCATAAAAAACCGACACCTATTTATATTCTGAAATGAAATCTAAAGAGACAAGAACAGACGTAGCACATTTAGGGTCCCTAAATGTCACAAATGATCCTGTGGTGACTGGAGTAAACCATGATTTGTTAAATTATGGTCAAACTTTCATGCAGATGATAACAGCAAACAAACAGCTGTGTGACCAGGTGTCTTCACCTCAGAGATTCTTCAGATTCTTACTCTCAGATGGAGGGGTTCACTTAATTGCTCTCGTTAGCTTAATGGCCTCAGACTAGACTACGGAGAGAAGCTGATGAATGGCATCCAGGTGCAACTCAGAACAGTGACTGGTGTCAACTAGAGGCCTCGTGTCTCCTTGTTTTAATTGTCAAGCAGCGCTATCAGATGTCAGGCTGCTGGCGTCTTCACTCAGCCTGTCTGCAACATCGTTTAGAGAAAACAACACTTTCACTTTCCAAGTTGAAAGGATGTTTTGTTAATGCTATTTTAGGGCTTTCTCACAGTAAAACTAAACAGTCAAACAAAGAAACTGATGACATCTTAACCAAGATTCGGTTTCTCTCCCCAGGGGAAAAAGGGTCGTCCCGGTGAAGATGGAGCTCCGGGGCAGAAAGGGCAAAAGGTGCGTGTCTTTGATGGACAAACGAGCTAGAAGAATCCAGTTCCAGATCAATACTTCCTTAATGACTCACTCCTAAATTCTTTAGGTTCTTTTAGATTTTCCTTTGGTCCGTAATTACCTGTCAGGTGGGTCATAATACATCTGATTATAGGTAAATATTAGTTTTTACATGTCAGTCAAGTGTCATACGGACGTTTTACATGCAATGGATGGATGGATGGATAGATGGGTGGGTGGGTGGTTTATTGGATGGATGATAGACGAATCTGTAACGTCCAGAAAGGGTCATTTTTCATCTACAGTTTGGCCTCTTCAGTATTCAGTCATCTACAGACATAATTCCACTATCGGAGTGGAGTTTCTATTCTGTCTCCTAAAGCCCAGAAGATTCTGCACTGCGTGTTGACATTTCAGGAGGACAAGATTGTCAGCCTGTGTTCCCAAAACAAAAGCTTTCTTTTCCAGGTCACAACAAATGGATGGATGGATGGATGGATGGATGGATGGATGGATGGATGGATGATGAATGAATTAATGGATGTTTAGATGGTTTATTGGATGAATGAATGATTGATGAAGGATGGATGGATGGTTGGATGTATTTATGATGGATGGATGGATGGATGACTAGATGATGGAAGAATGGATGGATGATTGATGAATACATTAACCCTTTGATGCATAATGGTCACTACAGAGGACAGGTACTTAAAATTGTTATTTTTTTATTTTTGCTATTAAGCACAGCTGTTGAAGACTTTATTTCATTTGAACCCCTCCATTTGTACTTCAGTAAGTCAAGCCAACATATTTCATGTTCAGATTGCACACTGTCCACTGAGGTAATAAATTATTTGTAAATTACATTTTACAAAAAATATGTAAATATGAAATTTGTTTCATTCACACCTAAAGATGAATGAAAAATTTGTTTAAAAAAATCATAGTTGAAGATTTCATAATTCATGCATCAAAGGGTTAATGAATGGATGGATGGATGCATGGATGATTCATGAATAGATTAATGGATGGATGGATGGATGGATGGATGGATGGATGGATGGATGGATGAATAGATGATGGAAGAGTGGATGGATGATTGATGAATACAATAATGGATAAATGATTGATGGATGAATGGATGGATGTATGGATGGATGAATGGATAGATGATTAATGAATAGATTAATGGATGGATGGATGGATGGATGGTAGATGGTTGGATGGCTGGTTGGATGGAGTCATAAAAAAGATATAATCAAGAAAAAACTTCTTGGGCACCTTTGCTGCCGTGCGTCGCCCTCTGCTGGTCATTAGAGTGAATGCATCTAAAGCAGTGTTTTTTAATTTAGTGTATGAAAACTGCAAGAATGTAGAACTTTTTATTGAGATTTTATTTCATGATTATATTTTTGTTTTTGTCCTTCACTTGTCCTCCAGGACAGTTTCTTATTCATTCAGTTTCTGCTCAAAGTTTATTTTGTCATTTTTTAAAAACCTGTTTACATCTCCAAACTCATTAGATAAATTTTGATGACCTGATGTAATGTTTCCTCTCAGGGTGAAGCAGGGTTGAGTGGAATACCTGGACGAGAGGGCTCGGAGGTAATTATTCATGTCAAAAATAAATCGATGTTCATTGCCGTATTCTTGTTCATTTATATAATGTCTTGATTTTTTTTTCTTTGCAGGGGAAACCAGGGTACAACGGAGAGAAGGTAGTAATGAGAACTATTTTATTTTTATTTTTAACAACAATGTTAAACCTGTACTTTCTGCACAGGGTGAAAGGGGTGAGTGTGGCACTCCAGGAGTCAAAGGAGACAGGGTAAGGCAGATGAAGTCATGGTGAATACATCATTTTCATAATTTCAACGTTTTTGATTTCTCACCCTTTCCTGTGTGTACTTCAGGGTCCTGAAGGTCCAGCTGGGACAAAAGGAACAAGAGGACTGCAGGTTGGTAGTTTTTATTCTTCAAATAATAAAAAAATGAATTACTCTCAAGCATTTTGTTCAAATCCTACAGAAATATCATTCAACACACTCTCACACACACACACCTCCTTTATTAATAACTGTATGATCCTTCTGCCTAGGGGTTACCAGGACCTCATGGAGACGTCGGAGCAGAGGGCCCCCAGGGGAAGCAGGTCAGCCTGCCTTTTGACAACTTCTACTCACCTCATCACTCACATCTGCTGTGACCTTTACATTTCCTTTTACGATGAGTTCGAACAAGAGGGTGGAGCAACTCCGTCATGGTGTAACCCTGCAGCAACATATCTGAGTCTTTAAACATCCATGTGTGAGGATTTGGCAAGGAGCCAAAGTCTCACTGGAATTATTACTGTTAGAAACTCTCATGACAGTTTCTCTTATGGCCTGCGATCTGTAAACACACGCTAACAAAGAGCCTGCAGCCTTGTCCGCACCTTAAACAAGACTGTAAATAACATGAGAAGTCTGTGTGCAGTGTTGTCCTGCATAGACCCGTAACTATCACTTGTAAAGGTTAACAGGAGTGTTGGTGGTCCCAGTGCAGCTTGTCAAAGGTGTAAATTGACATTTTTTCCAAATCATGCTTTTACTTTTTGGATTTTGGGATTATGTGCCTCTTTAATTTACAGCTGGCATCCTCACTGCCCTGTGTTGGGAGGACAGGTGATGAATCAGAGCAGATTTTAAAGGTGGAACCTAATTTAGAACTAAAGCTAAATTCTCAACGTGACTAGACATTTACTAGCAGCATGAAAATACTTGTGTTTTTTTAAAGGGATACTAGGAAATTTTGGCTGGGTTTTTGCACACCTTAATGTGCTGGAATGTCTCCTAAGCTGTCGTTAATTTCTGCAGGAGCGATGCATCACTGAATCAAACAAATCAGCTGTTTTCATGATATAAAACATGCAGGAAATGTGCTGGAAGCAGACTCTATTGCCAGGCATGTCAGCTCCACTTTAAGTCCAACAGGGACTGCACTGGTACTCTGAAGTTGCAAGTGCAGTATTCTGGCCACAGAGGGCGGTGGGGGTCTGAGTGACTTTTTATTAACCATATATTTTACATACTGGCTCAAGAAAATGATTTCAAAATATGAAAAATTTGCATAGCATGCCTTTAAAATATCTGAGCTTATACCCCATACAGAAAACTATTTTATTGGTCGTTTGGTCTGTTTGTAGTGCCATGGTTGCTTGGATTACCCTTGTTGGTGATTGTGGGTGTAGCCTCAGCTTAGCAGGATTTTTTTTCTGTCGGTTTGTTTTTGGTGTTTTTGTTGGGATGTAGAAACTCTGCTATCTTATTTGCTATTTTGTAAGTAAATACATTTGTATTTGGGGTGACAGGGTGAAAGAGGCCCAGCTGGTCCTCCGGGAATCCAGGGAGAGACAGGAATTGGACTTCCTGGACCAAAAGTGAGTTATCTTATGCATTGTTTCACAAATAAATTACTGTTTCTTTGTGTTTAGTTAAGATAAGTTCCTTTCTGAAGCACTACTGATAAACTGTTGAACCATGAGCAGGGTAACATGGGATTCCAGGGTCGACCGGGTCCTCCTGGTCCTCCCGGAGTGGGTGAACCTGGTCCTTCTGTAAGTTATGAAACATCAAAGTCTGATCTATTATATGTTGCTAGATCTGGAACTGGCCGGGTTTACCTTCACACATTGCTGTTGTTGACAGGGACCTCAAGGACAGCAAGGTGTTCAAGGGGAAAAGGGACCCCAGGGAGAGGGGTTTCCTGGACCAAAGGTCAGTTCAGCCGTAAATCACTGAAAAGCTAAAGAAAGGGATTTTGTTTTCTGTGTTAGATGATTCAAATTCAGACATAACACAAGGAGGAAAGTCCATGAGGTTGGGTGTTAGATTTTAAAATGCAAAGAGCGCCCAACATAGTTAAACATGAGGCTCTCTGACAAACAGTAACTCCTTAAAAGATGAGGGAGTGTGTACCAGGTTGGTTGCGGCTTTCTAGGTGTGTGAGGCGAGCAGAAAGAAAGACTAAAACACAAAAATGACACAAGTTAGGATAAAAAGGAATAAACAATAAACAATAGTGCAGAAATGGAGCAAAGGCTGTTATAAAACCACAACAGCGGTGGCATGTTTCAACAAAAACATGTCAAACATTAGACCAGCAAAAAATTACATTTTCTGCAGAAATCCCTCACATGAATGAAAATTTGTTACTTAGAAATTCAGCCAAATATTTTTTTTCACCTTTCACCAGCTGCTTCCTGTGACCATTCATAATATCCAAACCCACTGACCTAATTTTTTCCAAATCCCTTGGTATAAAGCAGGTCTCCTTTACCTTTGAACCTTAACTGAACCTTCTCGTCAGTTTGTTGTCAGGCTGTCAAAATAAGCCTCTGTTCAAGCTCACTGACTCACAATGCAGGTGTTCACCTCAGTGTCAGTGTAGATCCAGGCAAGCCTGTAAACATGTTGCTTCCCTCAAGCTGTAACATGAAACACAGAGTTCTTAAATAGAAGTATTCAACAATAAATAAATAAATATATATATATATATATATATATATATATATATATATATATATATATATATATATATATATATATATATATATATATATAGTGTTTTAGTTAAAGACAGAGAGAATATTTACCGAAATGAGCAGGAAAAATACTTTGATTTTCCAACCGACCTGGAATTCATGCCTGATAGAAACTTCAAAATCTTGCAAGATTAATAAATACCACAAAGTTAAAGAACTGCCATCTATCGATCTTTGTGTTATCATTCTCAACAAGTCGACATGTTCATTCTACACACTCGCTTGTTGCAGAACACTGTTAAACATTCTGTGGTCATTCAGGCGGATGAGGTTTAGCTCAAGTGGTGAGATTACCCTGATTTTGTTTCTCAGGGGGACCGAGGGCTCCTTGGGCTGAGAGGACCAAGAGGACAGCAGGGTGTTGGCATCAAAGGAGAAAAGGTGGGTTGTAAATGTATTCAAGTGCAACGCCTAAACAACAAAGGGCCCTCATGAAAATCAAGGGAAGCATAAAGTCCTCTGGGCTACAATTACAAAGACTCAAGATGTGGGCAAGAAGACGCAGATGTTTATTACATTCAGGTTACTGTGAGAAAGCTAAATAAGTTGCTCAGTCAACCAGTCGACCAGTCCAGAAGTCGACGTCTCCTCCAGCGTCTCGACCTGCCGCGGCTCTGCCTCCGGTCACCGCCGGTCCTGCCCTCGCCAGGCGCGAGCCTCCCAGAGCCTGTCACGTCTCCTCCTCTGCCCCAGACGCAGGGCCCCCAGAGCCCGTCACCGTCTCCTCCTCTGCCCCAGACGCAGGGCCCCCAGAGCCCGTCACCGTCTCCTCCTCTGTCCCGGACGCAGGCCCCCGGACTCTACTGGTCCCTGCCTCCTCTCCACCGGTCCCTCGGTTCCTCTCGGCCCTCTTTCCTGATCCCCCTCCTCCCGCCCTGCTCTGTGTTCCTGTGGGCGTCTGGAATTTGCCCTTTTTTTTTGGGGGGGGGGGGGTGTACTGTCACACCCTGTCCTGTCTCCCCATTCTGTTCAGTCATGTGTCTCTGTTAATTGCTCCCACCTGCCTCTCGTTTTCCAATCACCCAAGCTCCCAGCCCTCATATATTTAAACCCTCTCAGTTCTGTGTCTTTTGTTGGTTCATTGTTTCCATGTCCAGCGTGCTTTATATTAAAACCCTTCTAAAACCGTTCCTGTCTGCCTGCTTCACCCGCATATGAATCCTTGCCTCCGCTCACCTCGCCCACACGCCGTGACACCTGCAGAAAAACAAATACCAGCAAAAATGTTTTAAACCTAAGAGAAACTAGAAGTAAATTGTAATTTTTCACCATTTTGTAAATGCATTTGGATAATGAAGCAAGTCATACAGATTGTATAAATAACAATGTTTTACTTCCAGGGTGAATTTGGACCTCTAGGGCATCCTGGACCTACTGGACCAGTAGGGGTAGGCATTCAGGGAGAAAAGGTCAGCAGAACATTCTTAATAATACAACTTTAATAATGTCACACATAAAAACTACAAGAATGAGCGTTGCATTTATAAAACCTTTGATGAATCTAATTTTGCAGGGGGTCGAAGGACCCAGGGGTCCACCAGGGGTCAGAGGACTTCCAGGAGAAGGTTTACCTGGACCTAAGGTTTGTTAAAACATGATTATGTTTAACCGACACGGACTTGTAATTTTCCTAGTAGTATACTTTTCTTATTAAATAAGGGACAAAAAATAGCGTCAGCCTGAGGAAGTTTGCGGCCGCAAACGAAAGGTAGCGGGAAAACAGGTAAACAAAACTGCTCTGTGTTTTTAAAAAGAACTACAGCATGGAATGAGGGACAAAAACATTAGAAAATTAAAGAAAAAAACAAGATCATTTTAAAATACGTTAAATGTATTTTTATTGTTGCTGGAATGTGTGATATCTTGAACCAACACACCAGGAATAAAGTAACTGCTGATTTTATTTTTCAACTAATTAGATTGGTAATGGTACAGCAAAGTACTCATGTCATACAACGTATAATAAGAAGGAGAACATTCTAAGATTAAATTCAAAATGTTGAAAATTGAAGGAAAAATTATTGTAAAAAGAGTCTAAAATAAACACCTTATAATATTGCTTTGCTAATATTGCTATTTACATGCACTAGCTGAGTTTTTTGTGTGCTGCGACATAAAATCTTTTTTCTCTTTTTATACATATTGGATTAATTCCCAAATGTTCCCAATCTAATTCACTTTGATTCTGAACCAACTGGATCAATCACAGTATTAAACACAAAGAATATCCTCTTAAATAGGACCAACGTCAAGTTAAAATAGTTATTTTAGGAAAAAATATAAGAAATATTTGTTTTAATGCTACTTGTATTTTAGGGAGATCAAGGGTTACCAGGAGAGCAGGGAGCTACTGGAGAACGGGGTATTGGTGAACCTGGTTCAAAGGTAGGACAAATCCTTTTTTTAAAGGTGTGGAACACTCGTTTAATTAGGACATTTGTAGTGGTCTCTACCAGGAATGAATGCCTTGTAAGTCGTACTTGGGAGAGAAAAAAAACACAATTGCTCCATTTCCAGGAACTAGAAGTCACATCACAGCTGAGCTTCAGATGGCAGCCTTTGGAGTCTTATTTCCTGATATTTGGACATCTCGCACCAGATTAGATAACAGCAACGCAGCTCTACCACTGAATTGCAACATTGATGTTTTATCTCCACTAATAGCACAAGTTAGAAGGAGTTTTGCCATGTGGTGAAGTTGCTATGCTAACAGTTAGCTTCTAAAGCCGAGACGTTCTCTGCTGTTTCCTGGATGCTAAATCAACAACAGCCTTCCCTGTTGTGAGTCAAGAGGGGTGTTTCCATAACTGTTAAACCCACGCACCGGCGGCATTACAAAGCTCCAAAGCTACAATAGCTTGCAACCTTACCAGCTAAGCTATTAGCATGTGAGGCTAGTCTATTAGCACAAGATGCTAACGGCGATTTATGTGTATGTTTATTTATTTGGCAGACGCTTTTATCCAAAGCGACTTACAATTTATAACCTATATGGCATGTTGTGATCTGTGGGGGAAACCGGAGGAAACCCACGCATGCATGGGGAGAACACGCAACTCACGCAGAAAGGCCGCAGCCGAGTTTCGAACCTGAAATCTTCGTGCTGCGACGCAACAGTGCTAATAACTGCGCCACCATGCAGGCCACAGCCAAGAAATGAGTGTCTGATTGTTCGTTGGCAGCACAGGATTTCCCTGTAACGTGCATTTATTGGATTGTAAGTCTTGACGAATTTTATTCTGAAGGGTGAACGTAGAACTCCAGGGCCACAGGGCAACCAGGGGCAGCCAGGACAGTCCATATCAGGTCCAAAGGTCCATTTATTTAACTCCATAACTTAACATTTAGCACAAGCTATCAACTGTCACCACATGTATAAACTCAGGGCACACCTCATATGGGTGGATTTTCATGCTTAGGTGCACTTTACTAACCTGAAATGCACATAGACAGAGACATCAGAATGGAATAGTCTCTTTGAACTGCTGCTTCTCAATGATGGTAAACGGGACACAGAGCTCCACTAGCTGTCTCGCACCCCACTGCCACCTTGTGGAGAACCCCGGTATTGCGCAGCACACTTTCCTATTATTATTTTATTACTTTTACTAGAATACAACACTAAATATTTCAACAAAATTATGTGACCACACTTTGTGGGCGTCACAGTGACGGTATTATGTAGATCTGTCAGGCCTTTCCAATCCAAGCGTTTCACAGTCTATGTTCTATCGAAAGCTAATGCATTATTTTCATGTACAGCCTGCATGAACAACTCATAATGACCAATTATAATCAGAAATAAGATTTAGAAAAAATGGTTTTTCAGTGTTTCACACCTTTAAGGTTGCAAGTGACCCACGTGAATGTGATAACTGTGCTTTGTGATGATTTGAATTCCCATCTGTGATCTCAGGGAGAACCTGGAGCATCAGGATTGGGTGGTCTGCCCGGTCTTCCCGGAGATGATGGAGCTCCAGGACAGAAAGTAAAGTGTTTTATGTCATGGCCACGCTGTAGAAAACTTCCTATTTCCAACCTAGTTCATCAGAACTTGAAATTTTCCAACATCTACAATCTTAAGTAAGTAATATTATTTATAAAACTCATTGTTTTCCTCTTATAGGGGGAGCCTGGATTACCGGGTTTGAGGGGTCCAGAGGGAGCACAAGGAATTGGCATTCAAGGAGAAAAGGTGTTTTAAATTCTGTTTCTGTGCAACAGCATCATCCATGTTTCATAACATGCTCAGATCATGTTTGTGGTTCTTTCTCTCAGGGTGACCAGGGTCTAAGAGGTATACGTGGTCTTCACGGGCCTTCTGGAATCCCAGGACCATCTGGACCAAAAGTAAGAAAACCTTATTGGTGCAGTGGTGATGAAGAAAGAACTCTTGTTCCTTTTTGTTGTGCATTACTGTCATAAAGCTGCTATTATTTAAGATTTATGACACACTCATTTAGAATTTGAACACAGCCAAGAAATGAGTGTTTGATTGTTCGTTGGCAGCACAGGATTTCCCTGAAACGTGCATTTACTGGATTGTAAGTCTTGCCGACTTTTATTCTGAAGGGTGAACGTGGAATTCCAGGGCCACAGGGCAACCAGGGGCAGCCAGGACGGTCCGTATCAGGTCCAAAGGTAAATAAATTAAACTTCACTGTCTGCTGATGATAACACTGGCAGGTGTCCAAGAGCTGTCAAATGGATGTGATGTAATACATCAAGAGAAGAAGAGAGAAGCCGGCACAAGTCATCAGTTTTTTTTCTTGTTTTCAGGGTGATGTTGGTCCTGTTGGTCCTCCAGGCCCCATTGGAGAAACAGGTCTGGGGATACCTGGACCAAAGGTTAATGCCTCTTTTGTCTTAATGTTTTTCTAGATTAGTTATAAAACATATTTGCCACTTATGGTTTTATTTTTCTTTTGCAGGGTGATCGAGGTCTGCCAGGTTTGCCAGGTCCACTTGGCCCAAAAGGTGAAGGCAGCCAAGGCCCTGTGGTTTGTATCATCATTTTAAATAAATGATGTACTTTTTAAACAAATAAGGATAACTTATTAAAAAAACTATAATGTTAATATCAAAATATATATTTTTTATCTGTTTTTAGGGTCCTCCCGGTATGCCGGGGTTGCCAGGTGAACCCGGCCTAGAGGGAGTGGGAATTCCTGGTCCTAAGGTTTGTTTTTACCATGTTTTCAGATCGATCAGTTCATTGATCTTTCTAATGTAGATACAAGTGTCACTGAATTGATTATTTTATGTCTGTTTCAGGGGGATGTGGGCTTTAGGGGACCACCCGGTTTGCCTGGTCCCCCTGGTGAAGGCGTACAAGGACCTTCGGTAGATCTAATGATCCCAGAATATTTCTTTAACAGCAGAAAGCTGAGTTAGGCCTGGTGCATTCAGGGCAAATATTAAAGTATAAAATCAAAGAACATTTTAAAGTGAAGTTACAATGAATGTTTAGTTTTCCTAAACAAAACATTTAATTGTATAAAGTATTAGACGCTGTTCTGTGAATACCAAAGTTTCATTTATAAGCTTATTATACTATTATTAATGTGTTATAAGGGCAATATTGGGAGACCAGGTCCTCCTGGTCCATCTGGACCTCCAGGACAAGGTATTCAAGGTCCAAAGGTAAATCAGTGTTTTTGAGAAGCAGATTTTATGTCATGGATTTCTACATTTTTCACATTAAAACTACATGAGACTATTTCAAATCTAATCTCAGGGTGATCCAGGATCTCAAGGTATGACTGGGCCCAGAGGATCTCAAGGAGAAGGACTTCCTGGACCAAAGGTGGTGAATTTACAAGAGTTTTTCAAACAGTTTGTCTGTTTTTCAGTTATTCATTTCTTAGTATTTGTTTTATGTGGGCAGGGGGACCGTGGGTTACAGGGTGAAAGAGGGATGAAAGGTACTAAAGGAGACATGGGAGATGCTGGAGTCCCTGGAGAAATGGTAATAAAACACAACTTAAAAGGGTGGGCATGGGGAAGTGTAATAAGTATCCCAGTATTTCAATATCTATACATTTTAACATAATGAGATCAACACAATCACATTTTGCAGGGGAAAGCAGGAACTAAAGGAGAACCGGGCCTCACTGTGAGTTTTCCCACTCAAACTGTTCACCTGACAAAAAAAGAAATGTGATTAATTCAAAACTTGTTGTTTTTGTCACATTTTAGAAAGAAGACGTTATCAAGATGATCAAAGAAATCTGTGGTAAAACTGCAAAATGTATTTTCTATGCACACAAATTAGAAAATAGCATTTGTATTATAAAACATTCGAGGTCCGATCAGAGGATTTGGGCTAGTGTCACAAAATATCACAAATATCCCTGATAATGTATCAAGAGATGATTCTTAATATCCATTTATGTTATGTATATTTTATAATAATATTAAATACTAATGCTGTTAAGAGATGGCTAAACTTTGTCATTCATTTAGATGAGTTGGTCCATTGCATGTCCAATGAGAACAAGCAGTTAAGCTGATTATTGTTTTATCAACAGATCTTTCTTCAAAAACCTTGTTAATCCATCTATTTTCTTGATAAAATTATGCAACAAGACCGTCTTGGATCCTTATTTAATAAGCCAAATGAAGAGCAACGTTGTCTATTTTAATTGTATTTCATCTTTTTCAGGATGTGGCATCAAGTGCAAAGAAAGGCCGATGGAGCTCGTGTTTGTCATCGACAGCTCGGAGAGCGTGGGCCCTGAAAACTTTGGGATCATCAAGGACTTTGTCACAAGGCTGGTGGACCGAACCACCGTCGGACGCAACGCCACAAGAATCGGACTGGTTCTCTACAGCCTGGATGTCCATTTAGAGTTCAACCTGACTCGCTACGTGAGCAAGGAGGACGTAAAGCAAGCTATCAGGAAAATGCCCTACATGGGGGAGGGCACTTACACGGGGACTGCTATAAGAAAGGCGACTCAGGGGGCCTTCTTCAGCGCCCGACCCGGAGTTAGAAAAGTCGCCATTGTCATCACTGATGGACAGACGGACAAACGAGAACCTGTGAAGCTTGACATGGCAGTGAGGGAGGCTCATGCTGCCAACATTGAGATGTATGCTTTAGGAATAGTTAACTCCTCAGATCCTACACAGGCGGAGTTCCTGAGAGAAATCAACCTCATTGCTTCTGACCCTGACAGCGAACACATGTTCCTAATTGATGACTTCAACACTCTGCCAGGTGAAACTCTCTCTCTGGTGTCAGAAAGTGCATCATAAAGTGTAAAAAATAAACATCTTTCTTTATTGTTTTCTCAGCACTGGAGTCTAAACTCGTCAGTCAGTTCTGTGAAGATGAAAATGGCGCCCTCATATACAATCACATCCCAACTGGACCCTGGAATGGCAACAGCGGGCTTGGGTTTAATAGAATCAATGGGATTGGCAACAATGGCTACGACAATAATGGTTATAGATTTGAAAACAATGAACACGGAAATGGCAATCGAGAGGAGATTGAAGACAAGAGACAAACCAACACCAGAGGCCGAGGAGACACGTTCACACTGCCCATCAGTGCTGATCCTCTACCAATTCAGGTCTTTGCAGAAAAACCACAGTTTATGCTTTCAGTCTTTAGACGATTCTTACAATAAATAACTTTTATTCTGCTGTATGACTTTAGGTGGTGGAAGATGATGATGGTGAGGATTTAGACATAAAAACATTGTCATCACCTGTGAGGGAAAGCTCCGCCTCCAGTGAAGCAGTCATCCCAGCATCATCATCATCACTTGGCTTGGATTCATCTCCAAACTCTCATCCACCTGGCATAAGTCCACACCTGCCTAAAGGTAAGGACTAGGGATGTAAATCACTAGTTTGATCTCGATACAGTAATATACTGATCCAGTGGTTTGCCAATATCTAAAATTCAGTCACAATACCATTTAGATTTGATTTGAATTCAAGTTCCTGTATCGTGCTATTTTACTCCTTTCAGAGCAAGAACAGGCACGTTATATGATCAAATATTCCCATTGACATTATTGAGATGTCTTTATTTATTAAATATGTGATTTTAGGAGCCATTCGTTCAATCTGGGAATAAGACACTTGGATTTGACGAAACCCCGCTTCCCCCACAATAGTACACAGCTGCACACCAGGAAAACACAGATTCACACTGTCATGTCCCATTCAGAGATGGACACCACCTCCTCCTCAGACAGTTTATGGTCAGAGGGCCACACACACACACACACACACACACACCTCTTGAATGGAGAAAAGGCAGCTGGGATGGTGTCCCTGTCAGTCCCTGACACTCACACACAAACTCACCACCCTAGCCTATCCATCAGTTGGTTTTAAAGCTGCAATATCATTGCTGGACAACAAATTAGCTTAAAAAATTGTTTTGGCTTGAGAGTGTTTTATTTTTGCGTTGCATAAATAATATCCACCACATACATTAAGGAATGATAAGCTATTAACCTGCATTTTATATTCTGTTTATATTCTGTTGCGATAAATGCATCTTTGAACATCTTAGGTGTGTTCTTGCTGTGCCGTATCTCTAATTCCATGCTGTAGTTCTTTTTTAAAACACAGAGCAGTTTTGTTTACTTGTCTTCCCGCCAAGTTTCGTTTGCGGCTGCAAACTTCCTCAGGCTGAAGCCTGACCAGCTTGCATCTTGTCAAGTTCCTTTTTTTTCTCCTCCAGAGCTCCCTCCTATGGATCCACGTTGTGAACTCACCATAGACCAGGGCACCTGCAGAAACTACGTCATCCGCTGGTACTATGACAAGCAGGCCAATGCCTGTGCCCAGTTTTGGTACGGAGGCTGTAATGGAAACAACAACCGTTATGAAACTGAAGATGAATGCAAGACCACTTGTGTTGTTTCCAGAATAAGTGAGCATTTTAATGTCTTGTTTTGATGAGAGCAATTCTAATTCTTTCCATTTTAATTCACATTGTATTTTTTTTCTAAACATCAAACTTTCTTTTACATTTCAGCTGGATGACAAAACAAGTGAGAAGGCGGATTAATCCACAATTTCCTAATTTCTAGTTATTTTTTCATGTGTTTAGTAGTTTTCATGCACTTGTTTATAATCTTTGTCCAAAGACACAAGCATTTCTTAAAATTCTAATACATTTTAACTTTTTGCTTTGAAGAAAAAAAACTGTTTTATGTTCATCTCATTTAATAATGCTTCATGAACCAGGATTAATTATTTTCTGGGAATTTAACTGCTCTGAAAGTAAAGGAACTTTAGAAATTGTGGTAATTTTTGAGATGAAGATCAAACAACTCTGAGCAACATCCTTTACATTTCTGAGTAGGTGTGATATTTGTTTTTAACTGTGTTGATATAATTTTGTAACTGTTAGTTTTAGTGATTTTGTGTATAGTTGTCTCATATTTTTAGGGTAAATGCTGGCAGCTGTAGCTATTGTAAGCTGCTTTCAGGGATCTGCAACGAGAAGGGCAGATGAGTTGTTGAAATGTTATTTGTTTTTATACCTAAATAAATATTTTTGTATGTTTTGGTATCAAATAAACTTCAAATGATATCCGTCTGTCTTGTATATATTTACTGGAAACACTGAAAACACCATCGCTTGTGTAGCAGGAGATAAATATGTGTTTCCCTTATATAATACCAAATGGAGTTAGAGTGAATAGCTTGAGCTCAATAGACAATATTTCATCTTTTCTCTGCAAACTGATAAATGTTTAAAGAACACATTATCTTTATGAGTTATAACAATCTCAGTCACTATTTGATGCAATCTTATATCTATGAAGTGGTTTTGTTAGGCTACACAATTTGAGCTTCGCGTTCAGAGTTATTTTTGTCCTTTGGGACTTGCCGTTTGTTGCCAGGAGCGACATCGACGCTTGGTGCGCTAATCCGTCCAACACTTAGCTAGTGCACCTAGAGTGTAGCTTTTCTCCACGATATTTTTAACGTGCAGACATGGCTTCTGCTTTAGATACTCTATGGGAGGACAGAGACGTTAGATTTGACATAACGGCGCAGTAAGTTCACCTAATAATTTGAAATTACTTCATCGAAACAGCTTGATTTAGTTAGCTAGGTGGCTGATGCTACATCTTAGGCTAGTTTAATGTCGCCTTTGCCCGTTTTGGGGGGTGGCATGTCATTTTAAACCATTTGTTACATGCATTTAAATTAATTTATAGCTATAACTATTCCTTGATAAGCAAATCCTTGTTGTCGCACAGGCAGATGAAAACTCGTCCAGGAGAGGTGCTGATAGATTGTCTGGACTCCATCGAAGACACTAAAGGAAACAACGGAGACAGAGGTACTTTCTTATTCATGTGGATTATATTAAATAATTCGGGTGGTAAATAATAATCGTGTTTTTCTGCAGGGAGACTTCTGGTAACAAATCTGAGAATCATTTGGCACTCGGTGGCTCTGCCAAGAGTCAATTTGTGTGAGTAACCCTTATTAATATGGATATATCGGATTAAGTGCTGAACAACAGTAATAAATAGTCATCTAATATAGTGAAAAAATTAGTAGTACATATAATGTGGTGACTCCTGATGTCAATTATATTTGTTTATTTTTTCAGCTGTGGGTTACAACACTATAATCAACATCACAACAAGGACAGCAAACTCTGTAAGTAATGTCTCTAATTTACTTGTGTTCTTCGAGTTTCATGAGTGAGAAAGACAAAAAAAATCTAAATTTTGATTTGCCTTTTATTCACTAGAAACTGAGAGGCCAAACCGAAGCCCTGTACATCCTAACAAAGTCCAACAACACAAGATTTGAGTTCATTTTTACAAATTTGGTTCTGGGAAGTCCAAGACTCTTCACTTCTGTGATTGCTGTTCACAGGTAAAAAAAAATCACAAAGTAAAACCTTAAATATTAAATCTAAAATCTGTTTTGTGTTGCTACAGGGCTTATGAGACTTCTAAGATGTACAGGGACCTGAAACTGCGGGCTGCTCTTATTCAAAACAAGCACCTGAGACTCTTACCTCGAGAGCAAGTGTATGATAAAATCAATGGGGTCTGGAATTTATCCAGTGATCAGGTACTGATACCTTTAAGGAAAACATGCTTTAATAATATATGTATGATCAGAGTACATTTAAACTTGTTCATCATATATATTGTGTGCAATTTTTTTAGTTTTTGTAACTGAGCCTCTGTTAACCTGTTTTTTTTTCTCTCAGGGTAACCTTGGAACGTTCTTTATTACGAATGTTCGAATTGTGTGGCATGCCAACATGAATGAGAGCTTCAATGTCAGCATCCCTTATCTCCAGATTGTAAGTACAAGTTAATATTACTTTTTAAAGTATTACTGTGTTGATTTTGATGGAAAAAACAGTTCATTCGGGATGTTTGAGTTCCTTTTTGTGACATTTGACTCATTCTGTTATTCCCCTAGTGGTCAATCAGAATAAGAGACTCAAAGTTTGGCTTGGCTTTGGTGATTGAGAGTTCACGACAGGTACATTTAATGATGATCATCTGATGAAATCACCTTATTAAAGTTTTTCTTTTCAGTTTTACTATTTGTAAGATGCAGATATTTACTACTTTTATGGTTTCAGAGTGGAGGATATGTTCTTGGGTTTAAAATAGACCCAGTGGAAAAGCTTCAAGATGCTCTCAAAGAGATCAATTCCTTGCATAAAGTGTACTCAGCCAACCCCATATTTGGGGTGGATTATGAAATGGAAGAAAAGGTAAATGAAAATTTTTTGACTTTATATTCATTGCCTCACAAGGATGTTGCATCAAAACCAGACCTAAGCCTGATTGGACTATTTATACTGTTTGTATCAATAACTTCAGCCTCAGCCTTTGGAAGAACTCACCGTGGAACAACTTCCTGATGACGTGGAAATCGAGCCTGATGAGCAGACCGATGCTTTCACTGTGAGTGAGACTGCTGGTGTTTTTATGCTCCTCTGGGAGTTTAAAAGCTATCACACTCTCAGAATAGCTGTGAGTTAATTCCCCTGTTGCTCCTGCTCTTGTTTATGTTGCTCAGTTACAATAACCCTTTATAACAAACACACGTACCATACTCACTTTTATTTTTTATGTTAATGTGTGCTTGTGTGTGTGTGTGCTTGCTTACAGGCCTACTTTGCTGATGGAAATAAGGTAATTTGTCATCTTTTATCAACTATGGTGTTTAGTTTGTGGTGCAGTGAAACATTCAAAAACCTAACTGATTTATTGTAAAACCACAGCAACAAGACCGTGAACCCGTTTTCTCTGAGGAACTGGGCCTTGCTGTGGAGAAGCTCAAGGATGGCTTTACACTTCAAGGACTGTGGGAAGTAATGGGCTGATGGTAGATTCTCCCCGATCAGGATTCTATGTTCTCCGTACAATTTTAGTAGTTTAGGAATAAGCTTCTTTAACAAAAGAACTGTGCTAAAGGTAGCTAGAGGAGACGGTGTCTCTACTTTTTAAAAATGAATTCCCTAAAGGATCTCAGTTATATCCTTTGTTATTGTTTGTTTTTTTACAGAAAGGATTTGCAGACTGCAGAACAAAAGCACATAAAATTATTAAAGTAAATGCCTGCACAGCCAGACAGTTTATCAACACAGGATTTGTTTTGTTATTTCTAAAAGTAGGTCAACAAGACATCCAAAAAATGCCGCGATCGGGTTCATGATCCATCAGAACTTCTCATCAGAACATTCCTTGCTAAAGTATCTATCTTTGTACATGTATTGTGTTTATTTGTCATGTTGTAAAGTTCACTAAATTATGTTTAGTATATTAAAGATTTTAAATTTTCATTGTAAAGAAAAGTATTGTTTAATATGAATAAAATAGACTTAAATGATGGAGGTTCATTTCTTTACATTATTTGATCAACTTATCGAATGATTCATAAGGTTCGCATAGAAACACCAGCTAAGTACAAAGATGAACAACATGTTAGAGGATAAACTGTCCCCTCTTGTAGCAGCTGTTTACTGACTGTCCACCACTTAGGTCACTGGTGAATCCAGATCACACACACTGTATTGTCATGGCCGTTGCTGATGCTATCAGTACATTGTGAATCAACTTGTACATCTCTAACTACCAAACTTCAATGTCAACCACACTAAAAATTAAGAAAACGTCGCTTGATGTTTCCTTTGAAAAATCCAGTAAATGACATGAGACGACTGCTGTTTGTGTGTGACAGCACAATAACTTTGGTGCTAATTACTGCCGTGACAAGCCTCCACAGTTGTTTCATCTGTACGACAGCTGTGTGAGGGCTCCAACAGGGCCAACCTGAATTCTTCCCAGATGGGGTGGCCGGCTATATTTAGAGAGTCACGGTTATATTAAAGTGGCCTCAGACCTGGCTGTCTGTAGTTCACCGTCTTCAGGAAACGGGACAATCCAGCATCAATTGCTCTTCTTCCATCTACTTCCTGTCCTGAGAGGATGGATGCCCAAGGCCTGAAAGAAGATCTCCGTCTGTTTCAGAGCACTCTGCTTCAGGATGGACTCAAGGAGCTTCTGAATGAGAACAAGTTAATTGACTGCGTCCTAAAAGTTGGAGACAGAAGTATACCCTGCCATCGGCTCATTCTGGCGGCATGCAGTCCGTCTTTCAGAGAGCTCTTCTTCTCAGAGAATGGGATGGAGGTGGACAAAAAGGAGGTTGTTCTAGACAACCTAGACCCCAACATTATGGAGGTGATTGTGAGTTATCTGTACTCTGCTGAGATTGACATCAATGAGAACAATGTTCAGGATATTCTGGGAGTTGCCAATCGCTTCCAGATCCCTTCAGTGTTCACAGTTTGTGTGAACTACCTCCAGAAGATGGTGACTAAGAAGAGCTGCCTGGCTATCTACAGGCTGGGACTGATGCTGAACTGTGCCAGGCTAGCAATGGCAGCTAGGGATTACATCGCAGATCGCTTTGAGGCCGTCGCAAAGGACGATGATTTTTTGGAACTTGCTCCGCCCGAACTCTTTGCAATCATCGGAGCCGATGCGTTAAATGTCGAAAAAGAAGAAGTGGTGTTTGAGGCTCTCATGAGGTGGATTCGAAAGGACAAAGAAAAGCGCGCACAATCCTTAGGAGAGGCTTTTGATTACATTCGCTTCCGTCTTCTTCCGGAGAAATACTTCAAGGAAAAAGTGGAGAAAGATGAGCTTGTCAAGGCTAATCCTGAGCTTCTCAAAAAGATCAAGGATGCCTTCGCTGGGAAGCTGCCTGAGAAAATAAAGGGACAAAGTGATGCTGAGGGAGAGGAAGGGAAGCTGCCAGGTTACCTGAACGACAACCGCAGATATGGCATGTACGCCAAAGACATGATTCTCATGATTAACGACACTGCTGCTGTGGCTTACGACGGCCAGGAGAACGAGTGCTTCCTTGCAGCAATGGCTGAGCAAATCCCCCGAAACCACGTCAGCCTCACATCAAAGAATAACCTCTATGTGTTGGGAGGACTGTTTGTAGATGAAGAGGATAAAGAAAATCCCCTACAGTGTTACTTCTACCAGGTAGACACTCTTTGCTCCACTTAATCATGAAGTGAAATCCCATGTTTAGCTTTTAAAGTATGTCTTAAAACTTTGCTTTCAGTTGGACAGTCTTGCTGCAGAATGGACAGCTCTGCCGCCAATGCCTTCACCCAGGTGTCTGTTTGGTTTGGGTGAATTTGAAAACCTCATCTTTGCTGTTGCAGGGAAAGACTTGGAGTCCAACGAGTCTCACGATACCGTTTTGTGCTACGACACCGCGTACGTTTAGCGAGTTGAGAAGTTACAGCTCTGTTCTGTGAAGTCCTACGGGAAATGGTGACGCGGCAACTGTTTGTTTTTCTTTGCGTTTAGAAAGATGAAATGGATAGAAACTAAAAAGCTGCCCATAAAAGTCCACGGCCACTGTGTGGTGTCTGAGAACGGCCTGGTGTACTGCATCGGAGGAAAAACCAACGACAAGTAAGATCGGAACATTAAACTATTTTGGGGAAAAGTATTTTTTTTAGTAACTCTACTTTGGGATTTTTGTGTTTTGCTTGGGAAAAAAAGTAAGGCAACCAATAAGATGTTTGCATACAACCACAAGAGGTCAGAGTGGAAGGAGGTTGCTTCGATGAAGGTACCCAGATCCATGTTTGGAGCAGTTATCCATAAAGGGAAGATTATTGTTGCAGGAGGAGCCAACGAAGATGGCCTGACTGCTGTATGTGAAGCTTATGACTTTGGGACCAACAAGTAAGTCCTGCTTTATTTTAATATTTTTAATATGCGTCAATTTCACACCAGTTATATTTGAATTATGACGTAAGAAAGACACCCCAAGTTGAAGTTTATTGGATATAAAAGGACAAGTCAGGAGGATCACTTATGTGTGTTTTGTTTTAGGTGGTCTCTTTTTACAGAGTTTCCCCAGGAGAGGAGCTCAATGAACCTGGTCAGCTGTGGTGGGCTCCTGTACGCTGTAGGAGGCTTCACCATGGTAGAGAACGACAATAAAGAGTGTGCACCCACCGAAAACACAGACATTTGGCAGTATGTTGGGTTTCTGTCTCAAAATTTTATGTAGATGACAAACTTTTTTGTTAATATCTTCACAGTGATGTTTTTAATTTATGCTGTCTTCATCAGGTATGAAGAAAACGCCAAACAGTGGACCGGCATGATCAGAGAGATGCGTTATGCAGCAGGTGCCTCCTGTGTCTCCATGCACCTAAATCCAGCTAAAATGCCCAAACTTTAACAAGGAATGTAGGCTATGGGTTGCTGTTTGAAAAAAGTTAAATAGTCAAAAATGTACAGTGTTTTGGGTTATTTAGCCTGTCACAAGAAAAACAAAATAAAATATTTTATTCGTAAACTAAATATGTAATTCTGATCTAATTTCTTTGTTTGCAAACTAAATATTACATTTGGAGCAAAATATTTAGTTTGTCATTTAGGTATCGAATTTTGAGCGAATATTTCTATTATACATGAAATATTTGATTTGTTAGCTCCAAATTTAATATTTAGCTTGCTAACTAAATGTTTAGCTTGGAACAGTAAAATTTATATATTTATGAAGCATGGCAAAAATATCACTTTGAAAAATTCAATCCCATTATGTTTTGGGTTATTTAGGCTGTCACAAGCAAAAGAAAATGGGAGATCATTTTTCTGTCGTATATCATTAGATGTCACAGTTCCATACTAATTATTTTGTTAGCAAGCTAAATATTTAATTCCAATCTAATTTCTTAGTTTGCAAAATGAATATTACATTTGGAGCAAAATATTTGGTTTGTCGTTTAGGTATCGAATTTTCAGCTAATATTTCTATTATACATGAAATATTTGATTTCTAAATGGTTAGCTCCAAATTTAATATTTAGCTTGCTAACTAAATGTTTAGTTTGAAACTGTAAAATTTATATATTTATGAAGCATGGCAAAAACATCACTTGGAAAGATTCAATCCCATTTTGTCTGTGACGTGCTAAATACAAATTACTGCTGTAAAAGTTTACAAACAGAACCCTATATAATCTTCCCACTTTTAAGAATTTAATGTGATGCTTTCAGTTAACTATTTACCTTTCATTTAACTCATTTTTCCTGTCAAATGTAAGTAAAAGATTTCAAAATGTTTGTCCCCATGCAAAAAGTTTTTGTTGTATAAATTTGCACCCTGCAGCTTCGGCTTGATTTAGAAATATTATGGTTAAAAACTAAGACTAGCTTTTAAATGAATTTAGTATGACATGTGAAGGGATAAAATGACTAATTTCTGCCATACTATGCAACTTTTTTATATTTTTAAACAATTGTCTTGAGCCAGTATGTGCTAAAATGACCCTTTACAAGATCAATGAAGCATCACTCAGACCTCCAACGCCCTCTGTGGCCATAATATCGCATTTGCAACTTCAGAGTGCTGGCCCGGTCTGTTGGACTTTGAGCATGTTTTAGATCGCGAACACAGCTTTGTTTCATTGCTGATTTGTTTGATTTAATGATGAATCACTCCAGAAGACACTAATGAAGGTTACAGAGCCATTTGTGCAGTTAGATCAAGGTGTTAAAAAGACAAACTCACAGCAAGGAGATAAGTTTTGCTTTTGGTTCTACTAAACGGACACTAGGGGGTGCTAAAGGCAAGCAATACCGCCAAGTGTGCCTTTAAAGTAAAAACTATCAAATACTGGTAATTTGTTCTTTCCATGATGTTGGTAATATAAAAGCATGTTTTTCGTTTAAATAAGTTTTACAAAAAAATAATAAAATTGCTCCATTTCAATTGTTTTCATTAATCTCATAGTTGAGCACAACTGGAAATGCATTTAAAAAATCCCAACTTTAATTTTTTTCTTCTATTTATTAAAAATAATAAAGAACACATTCAACATTGCTTAACATGAACGAGGTAGATTCATGTGAACTTTAGTTTGTCGAAAGCAAGAAGAACTTCATGTATAGCAACGCTTTTTGAGAGACATCTGGGATGATTTCTCCATTTAACATTTCTGTCACAGTTCATTGAACAAAATCATCCAAGTATTTTCCCTCTCAGGTATGCCTTCCTTGCATCAAATGTTGAAAGCTCCATGGAGTTCCATTCGAAGCGAGGAATCTGTAGAAAATACAGAAAACACCAGTTTTCTTCACAGACTCTCCAACTGATTATTGAAACTCGCGTAGAAAAAAAACCAATATTTTCCTCACCTGAACAACATGATATCCCAGAATTTCAAGGTGTCTCTTTCTCATTAGTGCTTCGCCTTTTATGTGATGAGAATTTTTGCAGAAGAATCTTGAATCAAGAAAGTCCACAGCAACACTGAAACGTAAACCAAAATTGTATTTATAAATGGATTTACATACCTACTAACCATGCATCCATCCACTCTCTTCTGCTTATCCGGAGCCAGGTCACAGGGGCAGCAGCCTAAGCAGAACAGCCCAGACTTTCCTTTACCCAGCCACTTGGGCCAGCTCCTCCGGGGGAATCCTAAGGTGTTCCCTGGCCAGGTGAGAGACATAGTCCCTCCAGCGTGTCCTGGGTCATCATGGGTCTTCCTTTAGGTCCTCTCCTGGTTGGACATGCTCGGAAAACCTCACCAGGGAGGCATCCTAACTAGATGCCTGAGCAACCTCAACTGGCTCCTGTCGATGTGGAGGAGAAGCGAATCTACTCCGAGCCCCTCCCGGATGACTGAGCTTCTCACTCTTTCTCTAAAGGAGAGCCTGGCCACCCTGTGTAGGAAGCTTATTTTGACTGCTTGTATCCGTGATCTCATTCTTTTGGTCACTTCCCAAAGCTCATGGCCATAGGTGAGGGTAGGAAAATAGATCGACCGGTAAATCGAGAGCTTCGACTTCTGGCTCAGCTCTCTCTTCACCGCAACAGGCCAGTACAACGCCCGCATCACTGCAGACGCAGCACCAATCCGCCTATCTACCTTGCGCTCCAACTTTCCCTCACTCCTGAACAAGACCCCGAAATACTTAAACTCCTCCAATTGAGGCAGGGTCTCATCCCTGACCCGGAGAAGGCATTCTATCCTTTTCCGACTCAAGACCATGGTCTCGGATTTGGAGGAGCTGATTCTCATCCCAGCTGCAAACCGCTCCAGCTAAAGCCGGAGATCACGTTCTGATGAAGCCAACAGGACCACATCATCTGCAAAAAGCAGAGACCTGATCCTCACGCCACCAAAACAGATCCCCTCTAAACCTTGGACGCGCCTAGAAATCCTGTCCATAGAAGTTGTGAACAGAATCTGTGACAAGTCCAGCTCTCACCGGGAAGGAGCCCGACTTACTGCCAGCAACGCTTATTAACCATAACATTAAAACCACCGTAAAGGGAAATAAGTACCGCTGAGCTCCAGGTGGAAGCTCATCTCGGATGTTTTCAGATGGAGTGGAATGCCAGAGAACCTTTCCTCTGCCTGAAATCTGCTGGGGGCTTGGTTCAGAGTAGGGTAGAGGCTGCAAATGTTTGTCCAGCTTGCATTCGAAATCTGAAATGGTATAAAAATAACTTTACAAACCACCTTAGAGAAGAAAAAAATCGAATTAGAAATGTCAAACTTGGTTAGTTTCCTTCCACGTGCGAGTTGTTCCCTTTTCCACCATCCTGCGGTACTCACCTACACTATAAAAGTATGGCGCGGTAACTGCTACTTGGACAAAGTTAATTCCACCCAGAACCTCACCCAGCATTTTGTGGATTTGCTGTTGTACGGGACTGATCGAGCCATTCCCTAAAACACAAAAACAAGCGATGCAGAAGGAACTTCGAACAAAACTGAACGTCTGCATCAGACATCACGCCACCGCATCCACAGACCTTTCCTCTGCAGATGCTCACAGTAACTATCGTGAAACCACGGCACCTGGAACTCCGGACACTCCAGACACACAGCGCGATTCAACTCCATGAGACGCTGTCGCGTCCGCAGGTTGAGGGTGTCGGGCAAACCTGTAAACACAAAAACAATCATTTAGCCTCACCGAGTTGAGAGTTTACTTACATCGAGGCGAGCGATTTAAAAAAGGATGCACAAATAACTGTGGGAACCAGCTGAGACGTACTTTCTAGTTGACAGTCCAGTTTTCCAAGAAAATCTATGTTGAAGATTTCTCTAATAAGTTCTTCAGGGAAATGATCGGCTACTGCCAACGAATACGCCAGGAGGACGAGCAGATGTGGGTCAAAGGAGCCTAGAAGCACGCACGTGGAAACCAATGAGTTACATTAAATTGAAAAAGAAAAAAAAAGGCGCAAGGCTTCATGCTTACTCATGTGAGGAGTGAAGCGCTTAATGCAAGCGTCATAGAGCTCGTCTTTCTGTGTGGGTTCATAGTTCAGGATAGAAAAGGGGAGCAGCGTGGCATATGTTGCTGAGAAGTGAATCTTGAAACCATAAAAGGAAACATACAGAAAATGAGCCGTTATTGGAGATTAAAATGCTGTGATTTGTCTTTGAGAACCTTGTCGATGTTTTCCAAGGCCACTTTGGCCATCCTGTCCATCAGAGGAGGGTGGAGGTGATTCATTCTGGTAAGGAAGAAGGCCAGTTCTGAGATGTTGGTCCAGTTTACTTGGTCCATCATCCTGTTGAGCGTGGCAATCGCCTCTTCCAGCAGCATCTCCTCAAACCACGCCCCTGAGATGTACTTGAGCTCCTCCAGCACCAGGTCCAGCTTGGCGGCCACCTGCAGCCTCTCACGGCCGCAGTTGCTCAGCCTCTGTAGCAGCCGGACGTATTTGCTGTGGGTGTTGTGTCGGTATGAGGGATCGTTTCTGATCCACTTGGCTACAGCGAAGGAGATGGTATTCAGCTCATCGAGGTCACACTGTGACATCACCTCATCCACCCGCGAGACAACGCCCTCGTCGAGCCATGGGGAGGGCAGCATGGACAGAACTCGGGTCAGCGTGGTCACCTCAGATGGGTAAAAACTGCGCTGCAGGAAGCTGAAAAGGACATAAAACTAAAAGCTTATTTTTGATTTCATCGAATCTGTGCATTCGTTAGAGAACTTACCTAATCAGGGTCTTTCTTAATGTAGCAAAGAGTTCTGAGTTCTGATAGTGCAACAGGAAAAGAGCCTGGGTGATTCTGGCCACCTCCAATGACTTGTAGACATGAAGGTTTTTTTGGATTATTGATGCAATTCTGGGGAAAATAAAGCAAATGGGTAAACGTTGTACACTGAAAATTTCCAGCAGGTTTTTAACATAAATAAACTATTTACTTTTACGTAACAACTGGATGGCTTTTTCTTAGGAGGATAGGATCTGAGGTGAAGTAGCATGTGTAAGATAGCACCCCCTAGTGTCAGTTCTTAGAACTGAATCTCCTAGAGGTGCGTTTGTCATTTTAGCATCTTAATCTAACTGCTGAAATGTCTCCCCAGCCTTACTTGGTGTCAACAGGAGTAAATTAAACCGATCAGCTGTGTTCATGATCTAAAACGTGCGGAAAACGTGCTGGAAGCAGACTGTAGCGCCAGGTGTGCCAGCTCAATTTTAGTCCCAACAGACCGGACGGCAATTCTGAAGAATGGAATATTCTGGCAACGGGACGTCAGGGCTGGGGTGGCCTTTCATTAACTCTGTGAAGGGTCATTTTAGCACATACTGGCTCTAGAAAATGATTTAAAATATGAAAACGTTGCAAAGTATCCCTTTAATGCAGAAATGCAGTAATATATATTTAAACAAACAGCATATATTTTCATAAATTTTATGGACAGGATTTCTAGGCATAGTCAAGGTATTGAGGGAATCCATTTTGGCGGCCTAAGGATCAGGTATCTGCTTTTTGCAGATGATGTGGTCCTGTTGGCTAAAGGGTATGCCTCCTCCGGGTCAGGGATGAGGTCCTGCCCCAAGTGGAGGAGTTTAAGTATCTCGGGGTCTTGTTCAGGAGTGAGGGAAAGCTGGAGCAGGAGATCGATAGGCGGATTGGTGCTGCGTCTGCAGTGAAGCGGGCTTTGTACTGGTTTGTCGTGGTGAAGAGAGAGCCGAGTCAGAAGTTGAAGATCTCGGTTTACCGGTCGATATACCCTCACCTATGGTCACGAGCTTTGGGTAGGGACCCATAGCATAAGATCATGGATACAAGCAGCTGAAATTAGTTTTCTCCGCAGGGTGGCTGGGCTCTCCCTTATAGGACGAGAAGCTTGGTCATCCAGGAGGAGCTCAAAGTAGACCCGCTGCTCCTTCACATCGGGCATCTGATTAGGATGCCTCCTGAACACCTCCCTGGTGAGGTTTTCCGGGCACGTCCAGCTGGGAGGACACCTAAACGAAGACCCGGGACACGCTGGAGGGACTATGTCTCTTGGCTGGCCAAGAGCTGGCCCAAGTGGCTGAGGAGACGGAAGGCTGGGCCTCTTGAGACTGTTGCCTCCGCGACCCAACTCCGGATAAGCGGAAGAAAATAAATGGATGGATGGATATATACACATATATTTTTTTTAAACTTACTTGTCCATTAGAAATGTCACCAACTCTGCATCAGTGTAGATAACTCTGCAAATGCGCGTATACACTCTGTGATTGTTATCTGTGCGTTAGCGGATGTCTAACTCTTTTGGCTAATAAGCGGCACTCAATTCAAACTGCATGAGGCTCGACGGGAAGGAGGGCAGACTTACCAAAAACATTTACGTATCTCCAACATTATATCACACTAAACAATGTATTTCTAAAAAATATATACATCATTCCTGAAAGGGGGAAACTGTATTGCTGCTTTAAGTGATGTTGGTGTTTTAAACAAGAGACATGAACTCACTTGTTCAGTAAAGTCAGATTTCTGCTCCGAATCTCCTCTAGCGCTTCAGCAACAGCCAGAGCTTGTTGAGCATTGAACTCATCCGCCATTAGGAGGGTCATATTCTCCAACCTGAGTGAAATGACACTGCCCATTAAACCAGATGAGACCAAAAGACTAACACGAAGGATTCCTTTTCACTCACTTCATTACGAACCTTTCTCTGATCTCTAGACTAGCAATAGGAGCCAGAGCGACAAACAGTCTGGTGAATGAGATGGGGTCGGTGCTTGTACCCATCAGCTCGATCAGCCTTTCCTTAGCAGCCAATCTGAAATCACAGTTGTTGAACTGGAGGGACTGATACAGACCCAAGATGATGTTGATATTTTCTGCATCCAGCCTGGAAATGTTGCACAAGAAGATCTTGTTGCACTTCTCCAGCAGAGGTCGGTGAATGCACTTGGTGTTGCGCAGGAACTGCACTACCCTCCGTGGAGTGTTGTAGTTGGAGGGGTCTATTGTGTGCAGGAGCTGATCCGCTCTGCTGATCAGGGCGTCCCGCAGCTGGGGAGACACGAGGCTCGAGACGCCAGTCATCAGAGCAGTCAGGATCCTGAATAAACAATAATCACAGACATAACTTATATGGCACGCATGGTATTAAACGATATGTTTTACTGACCTGGCATTGTTAATGGATGACAAACGCTGATCCAAAATACTGGCGATCCGACCCATTAAGGGACTGTTTTGAAGGTGCTGATCCTTTAAACAGACTGAGAACTTGGACAGAGATGGCAATGGAAGTCTGCAAAATGTTTGCATAAAATGTTAGCTTGTTAAATCTGATAAAATAAACACACAAAATGCAAACGTACCTGTCTACTCTAAGCCATGCTTCTGAAACCATCTGCTGCACAAGAGATTCGTGTGGTTCCACTTTCAGCCTATGCAAGAGAGGGCCATTTATTATGCAGCAACTAAATTTCATATAAATAGTCACTAAACAGATTGATGATGCTGAAGTACCTGAGGAAAGCATAAAGTATGTCAATCAGCATTAAATCACTCATAAGAGCAATTTTATTCTCTGCCAAAACCTGGAGAGTTAAGAACTGTGGGTGAGTCTTTGTGAGGTCAATGGTCCTGAGGAGTTCAGGTCTCTCTTTCTGGAACTGCCACAGCATCCTCACAGCACAGCTGACATGGTCCACAGTCAGCTTGGCTTTGTTCCTGCTCACCACATCAAACACCTGGTCTTCATTGGAGCAGACCCGCAGACCCTCCAGGATCTGGGTTCTGTTTGCTGCACCACAATGAAGGAGCCGTGTGAGGCAGGGGTTCACACATCGGAGTCGATGCATCCTCACACACCTGGGCTCAGGCTAGGTCTTCATTTCTCTGGTGATTTCCCAGCTGTTGGCACAGAGGAAGGCTGAACCGTGACATAAAAAAAACAAGATTTTGTTTTTTCTGGAGATCATTTGAAAACACATAAAGTAAAAACAATCAAATAAATGTGAGAGTGATGATACTAAAAGACTTACATGGATCAGTTATTCATGCTGACTTAATCTCAAAGATGGGAGGAAACATTTACTTTGCTCATCTAAGTTAAATGCACCGTGCTCACGTGGATGCGCCAACAAGCGGGGTTTTATCACCGTTTACTTACGAGTTATTAGCTAGATTTCAGCACATTAAATAATTAATAAATTACTATTGAAAACACAGGATGCAGTCAGTTATGCACCTCAAAGTCAAAATTACCTTACATGTGTGCAGTGGAGTTTTACTTCCGTGTCAAGTGACGCAATACGAGGAGGAATTTTTACCTGGGTAATGCCTTTCAGGCGTCAACTCTTGTTAGATCAGTTTGTGTAAACGTCTTTACTGTCGTGCTTTTGCACCACAACTGATCGTAACTGAGTATAGTTTGAATCAAACAAGGGCACGTTTCAAAGTGTTTAAACCAAGATACAGCGAATGAACCAACCGGAACACTAATAAGGCAAATGTTTCCAGTTAATGGACAAAAGTGGTAACATATATTGGAGGAATCGTGATTACGGTGGTCGAATCGTGAACTCGCACAAAATGACCCAGTTGAATCCCAGGGTATGCGTTATCGATGTGTAAATGTTGTGCCTGGCAGGTAAAACGTAGGAATCAAATACCCCACGACGTTCACTGGCGCAGGACTCGACGTGCCCTGCCGCGCCATCTTTAGAAAACAGTGAGCTAAACACTGAATGAAACTTAAACTTTGTCGTTAGGACGGTTCACTGTATGGACCTTGGTTTTCAAGGTGATGCTTTTTTTTTTTACGTAGCTGACGCGTTAGTATCAGTGTACTGAATATCTCGAACCTGGTACGTTTCACACAGTAATAAAAACGCCATGCGTGGCTGTGCCGCTAACAGATGCTAATGCCGACGACAGGCCTACCGATGCTGAAGCGTGTCGATGTTAAAATGTTAACATGGTAAAATTATGCTTAACAAGTACGAAAACTTCAACTCTTTCTATAATTGAGCAGTATTTTTTGATCATTTAATGCGCAAATGAGGTTCAAGGTGGCTAATGTTAGCTAGCGAATTAATAAACAAGCAAACGCCACCATTGATTCCCGTCACTCAGTGCCTTTATTTAAACATAAGATCTGTTTTAGCACTAAATAATGACAAAAAGATGCACGCCATACTGAGTAATTTCGTCTGCAGCTTATTTTTGATGGATCTGTTTTTACATTGTGAGTTCGTTTTCCAGATATGACTTATTTCTGTTATTTGTGTAATTTATACACAGGTATTTTAAGTGATCATGGGGATCAAGATTCGCCCTCGCTGCTTCTTTGACATTGGAATCAGTAATGTTCTTGGTGAGATTAAGGCTTTTTACGTGCATGTTTATTTATTATGTTGATTTATTTATATTCAGTGCATTTATTTCAACGTTTGTGTGTTGCCGCAATAAATCCAAATCTCACTGGGGCTCGTTTATTTTTATAGCAAGTATCCCATTCTTGCCAAATAATCCATTAAATATGTAAGGACAACTAATATCAAAGTATTTTGTCATAGTTTTTGAGCTCAAATGTTTGTAACAAATGTACCGCAAGGTTCTTAGACAAGCAAAAATAATTCTACACCCCAACCAAATTGCATTCATATTTACATTCAAATCAAATGCAATTGTCTAAACTGCATATTTATAGTTAGTTGTACTAACTGCAGTGACAGTTGTGTGGAGAAAACAAAAATAAACTGTGACTCTCTGGTGTCTCCCCACAGTTGGCAGAGTTGTAGTGGAGTTGTTTTCAGACATCTGCCCTAAAACCTGTGAAAACTTCAGATGCCTCTGCACAGGTTAAAAACCTTTTTTCATCAGTCTTTGTAAATTATTAGAATTAAAAATGCAGATCAGTTACTACCAAGCTTTTGTTGCTTCATCCAGGCGAGAAAGGCCTTGGTAAAGGAACTCAGAAACCCCTGCACTATAAAGGATGCCTTTTCCATCGAATCGTAAAAGACTTCATGATTCAAGGAGGAGACTTCAGCGAAGGTGGGCTATCAGGCCTTTAGGATGCTTGATTTGGTGTTGAAAGTTCATTACATGTGTTCACAATATTTGGGGAAATATTGTCTACTTGTGGTAAGATTTTTCAGTTATTAGCTGCACGTACCAGCTGAATTTCATCTTTTACCACTCAAAGTATGAATGCAGATGTCCTAATTAAACATCTGCAAAACATTCAGACTCAATTTTTTTTTACGTTTTCAATACAGGAAATGGAAGAGGTGGAGAATCCATCTATGGAGGTTTCTTTGAAGGTAAAGAAGCACCAATCAGAACTGACACTCATCCTCGGGTCTGGCATTGAAGTCAATGTGGTGTCACAATCTTGTCTTTTCCCCCAGATGAAAGCTTCACTATTAAGCACAACAAGGAGTATCTGTTGTCGATGGCCAATCGGGGCAAAGATACAAATGGATCCCAGTTTTTCATGTAATTGTAATTTTATTTCATTAAACATTGTTTAATTTGTGTACTTTAAATGTTGACTTAATCCCTCTCTTGTCCATTCCTGCTGTGATACTTTAGAACAACAAAACCTTCTCCGCATCTGGACGGGTAGGTGTCTTCTGATTATTTTAGGTTTGTTAATTGCTTTTTGTTATTTAGCTCACATAATACATAATTTCCCTTTTCTGTTTTTAGTGTCCATGTGGTTTTTGGTCATGTGATCTCTGGCCAAGAAGTCGTTCAAACCATGGAGAACCAGAAAACAGATCCCAACAGCAAACCATACGCAGATGTGAAAATCCTTAACTGTGGAGAGCTCATACCCAAATCTAAAGGTTTGTGGAAACTGGTCATTTGTAAAAGACCAGTTCTGGTTATCAACTGGTTTTATTTTCTCTCCAAAATATTTTCCCAGCAAAGAAGGAAAGAAAGAAAGAGAAGGCCGGCTCTAGTTCCAGCGGGAACTCCTCTGACTCTCAGAGCTCCTCGGAGTCGTCCTCCGATTCAGAAGAATCAGGAGCAGAATCTAAGAAGGAGAAGAAGAAAGCAAAGAAACTAAAGAAGAAACAAAAGAAAAAGGATAAGAAAACGTAAATTTGAATCTCATTTTTGACTGATGCAAAAACATCGTCATATTTATAAGGTGCAACACGTTTACAGGTCTGATGCTGAGAATGCGGAAGAAAAGGAACAAGAGGACCTGGTTACGTCTACGGTGCGCCCTGAAGAAATACCACCCGTACCCGAGAATCGGTTCCTCATGAGGAGAAGTCCACAAGCTGTCCAGAGGTCCGATGAAAACGATCAGAGAAAGAGAGAAGACCGACCGAGACATAAGTTGGTGGTTTATAAGCATTTGAGAGGTCTGAAGTCCTAAATGATTCCGTCGTCTGCTCATTTTCACGTCTGGTTTGTGTTTTCTCTTTGCAGCATGGGGTATAATTCTCAGTCTGCATATCAGAGACGGTTTGTGGTGACGACTCGATCAGGCAGGAAGATAAAAGGAAGGGGCCCGAGGGTAGGTGTCCTGTAAATAACTTTCACCTACCAGTTATGTCATCGTAGCTTAGTATCACTTGTTATCAGAGATGCATCCGTGTGGTTAAATATATGATTATTGTTGTTTTCTTCCAAACAGAGATACCGGACTCCATCACGCTCCCGTTCAAGATCCAGAGATAGGTTTCGACGTAGCGAAACTCCTCCACACTGGCGTCAGGAGATGCAGCGCCAGAGGATGAGGGCGGTTACCGGAGAGCGATGGATTAAGGGTGACAAGTAAGATGAATAAATCCTTGCACGTTTGAAACTGATGATTATACTTTGAGAATCACAAAAAGTTGTGACCTCACAACATCTTTCAGCATCTTTCAACGAAATTCATTATTTCCTTGAACAGAAGTGAGCTGAGTGAGCAGAAGAATGAAGAAACCAAAGCTCCTAAGCAAGAGAGGAGGACCTCCAGCACACAAGATGAGCACGCAGCTGAGAGCAAAAAGGACAAGAAAACGCGGTCTCGTCGATCTAAAAGCAAAGAGAACGATGCCGTAGAAAAGGAGAAGCATAGCAAGCACAAGGCAAAGAAAAAAGAAAAGTCTCGCAGTCGCAGTAGGGACAAAAAAAGGTCAAAGAGCAGAGAGAAGGCTCACAAAAACAAAAGTGAGCACAAAAGAGGTCGTTCGAGGAGCAAAGAGAAAACCGTTCATAAGAAAGAGGACGAGTCAGAACCAGATCAGAGTAAAGATAAATCTAAGGATCACGAATCGCATAAAACACATAAAGAGGGGCCAAAAGGAGAACCTGGGGAGAGAACTGTCCAAGTTATCAGGCAGCCGTCCAAGTCTTTAAGCAAGGAGCGATCAGCTACAAAAGATGAGTCCCGATCCAGGAGCAGGAACAAGGACAGAAGAGGGCCTGAAGGATCTAAGGACAAGGAAGAGAAACGAGAAAAAGACAAAGAAAGAGGCAGAGAGCGAAGCAGTAAGGAAAGACCACACAACAGCGAACGGGAGAACCGGAGACGAGGAGGATCCAAGGATAAAGATCGACGATCAAAAAGCCCAGACAGGAGTAAGACCAGGGACTCGCACAGAGGCCGCCGCTCCAGAAGCAGAAGTCACCGGAGGGACCGCAGCAGAGAGCGATCTTCTCACAGGAAAGACCGAAGCAGAGAAAGGGCCAACCAAAGGAGGCGACGCAGCAGCAGCAGCTCTGACAGTGACAAAGCTGCAAAGAGGAGGAGAGAGAGGAGTCCTGATTCTACAAAAAGAGGCAGCTATTCTTCCAGATCCAAAGACAAGAGAAGCCCAGCCAGACCAGACAGTACAAAAGGCAGAGGTAGAAAAGATGGCAAGAAGAAACATTCAAGCTCCAGCTCCGACAGCGACTGAAGTCATGTCAGTGATACGAGTAGGCAGAAACCACCACGAGTCTACCAAACACTTCAATTCGGTTCTACTTTAGTAAATTTGAGTGAAAAAAAGAAAACAGAACAGATAAGACAGCACATATGGACAGGTAAGTCAGATAAATGTCGAGTTTGTTAGGATCACTTATATTTAGGCTTGCAGGAAGGACTTTATTACTATCTTGCTGCTTGTTTAATTTGGAAAACTTTAGTTTTCTTGTCTAAATGTTTTTTCACTGTATTTCTGTTAGCAAGTTTTTATTTTTTTGAAAGATGAACCCTGTACATGTTGGTTTTGGGAAATCTATTGAAGTGTAGATTTCTGTAAAAGCCAGAATCTTTTTTCTGAGTCCTAACCGTTATCTGCAACCGTAAATCTGACACCACTCTGATCTTTTTTATCCTGCAAAGTTGGAAAATCCTCTCAGTTGAGCTTGTGTCTGGGTGATAAATTAAAAACTTTATGAAATCCTAAACGTTCTGCGCATTTTGTTAATAATTGCATTTTTTCAGCCCCGACTGAGAGGTTCTGATTACTTTGTGGTAAACCAGAAATAAACATGTTTGATTTCAACACCAGGGACTGCGCAGTGGTTGGAGCTGGTGCCTTGCAGCAAGAAGGTCCTGGGTTCGATTGCCGGCCTGGGATCTTTCTGCATGGAGTTTGCATGTTCTCCCTGTGCATGCGTGGGTTCTCTCCGGGTACTCCGGCTTCCTCCCACCGTCAAGAAAAAAAACATGACTGTTAGGTTGATTGGACTGTCCAAATTGTCCTTTGGTGTGAGTGTGTGTGTGTGCATGATTGTCCTGTGTGTCTCTGTGTTGCCCTGCGATGGACTGGCTCTCTGTCCAGGGTGTACCCCGCCTGATTGCCCATTGACCGCTGGAGATAGGCACCAGCCCCCCCCCCCCCCCCCCCCGTGACCCTACGTGGACAAGCGGGTTCAGAAAATGGATGGATGGATTTCAACACCCTTGAACTAAACATACCAAACTGTAAATGAGACGAGATGAAGACATTTCCCCAAGATGGTTGAATTTTTTTGAAGGAATTTAATGAAACAACACACAAAGACATGTTGCATTTTGAAACATCATCAAAAGAGCCCGAGTCTAATTTTTGCCTCACGAATATCTGCAGGCTCGTGACGTTTTCTTATGGTTTTAGTGGCAGGAGACTGAATGTTGGGCATCTCAGCGCCACTGGAGTCACAAGCAAGATACGTGGGTCTAATTCCATGAAAGACAGGCTTGATTCCTTTCCTTGCAGCTTTGTAAAGTGGGTACAGGTTTTTCCTCTCCTCTGCTGCTTTGCTGATGACCTGCTGTGCGTACTGCTGGAAGGCCGCCTCCTCTTCCATGAGGACTTGGGCGTTCTTGGCTCGAAGCTCTTGTTCGTCTTCCTTCAGCTGCTGAATCTTGGCACTTTTTTCAGCCATCATTTGGATGTTAAATTCAGACAGTTTTCTTTTTTCCTCTCTGATCTTCTCCGCCTTCAGCTGCTGCTGCTCAGCAAACATCCTCTCGGCCTCCGTCATTGCCAGCGCAGCGTCTCGGCTCTGCTGCTTGGTGATTTCGTGCCTGTGAAGCTTTTCTTTTTTCTGGTGAGACAGTTGTGCGTTGGCTTAACGACTACATTGAGAAATCAGTGATTTTTAACACACATGCACGTTACCATGAGCTCCCTGTGAGCAACGATTGACTTCAGCATCTCAGACTTCTTCCTCTCCTTCTCCTCCTCCTGCTGGGCCTGTTTGGCGTCCCGCTCAGCTACAACTTTGGCCATTTTCTCCTCTTCTCTGGCAGTTTGGTCCTGCTGTCTGACCGTCAGTTTCTCCAAAACCCTCTCACTGTGCAGCTGAGCCTCTCTGGAGAATACATTTAGTTGACAAAATTAGAATCAGATGTAATTGACAGTTATTGTTTAGCAGAGTCTTACCTGATTTTCTCCTTCTCTCTTTCTCTCCGAAGCTTCGTTATTTGTTCTTGTTGAGCGAGGTAAAGCTGCCTTTCTTTCTCCTCGGCCTCGGCGTTTGCTCTCTGCTGTGCTCTTATGAAGGCATGGGTGTTCACACTTTCCTGTAAGCAAATAAATAAATAAATGTCGTGCTGTTTAAAAAAAAGCTCGTACTAGATGTCATTTTTAGTTGTTAACCAGTTGAGCTTGCTTGAAGTTTCTCTTCTGGTTTTCTCGCTGTTCCAACTTCATTCTCTGCTCCTGCTGATATTGTTCTTGTACACTCTTCAGCTCTTCTGCATCCTTAATGGTTTCCAGCATCTTTTGCTTTCTTGCCAGTTCGTTCTCCTTCATCCTGAAAAGGAGAATATTATTAAATGAAGTCGAAACTACAAAAATGAAAGAAAAAAAAATGAGCCTATAACATCAGGAGTTACTGGAGTTTCAGGTCTTCTCCTGCAGCCTTTCTCTCAAGCTTCTTTTGCAGAGTCTTTTCCTGCATTTCTTTTAGGGCTTTGTCGTTTTTATTCTTCATCATCTCATAAATCTTTAGCTCCTCGTTTAGACAGGCGCTCGTCATCTTTTGCTTCAGTTCAATCTGCGCCTCCCTTTCCTTCATCACATTGGTATGGAGTTGGGCGCTCTGTGGAAATAGCAGCAACATATTAAATCTATGCAATGTGAAATAAGGTGAAATGCTTCAAACTTACGTGAAATGTTTTGACCCGGTCGGTTTGATTAAACAGCTGAGTCCTAGCCCTTTCAAGAGCCTCTTGCGCCTGCTGCTTTCTGTATTTGGCTTCTTCGATGTCAATCAGTTTCCTTTTTTCCTCCTCAGCCTGCTCCTGAAGCTTCTTTGCCTCTAAAATCTTTCGCCTTTGATCCTGAAACAAATGTGGATATGGTGTGTTAGCACTGTGCTACTGCGTCTGTCTGCATTACAAATCTAGCTCCACTTTAGAGAAGCAAAGAGCTTCTGGTGCCTATACTCACTGCAATGGTATCAAAGCCTTTGACCATCGCCCGTGACTGCAGGAGCAGGGCTGCTCTGCGTTTAGCTGCCTCTCTCGGTTGCTGCTGGTTTTTGTCAACGCCACTCAGCTCTTCCTGGATCCGGATCCATTGAGCCCCCTCCATAAAGGTGACTTTTCTGAGATCCAGAGAATGAAATACTTCATTTTTGGCCACCTGTCCTGGTGCTTAATAAAGAGGAAACAAATTTAAGTGTTTGATATTTACTGCCTTCATTTCTCACACCACCAATGACGCCCTGTCAACTGGATCATGAAACACATAAATTTAAAATGTAATTTACTTGGGGTTGGGAAAAAAACAGGTAAAATTCTGTTTTAATAGATGGACATGAAATTCAACTTTCTGGGTTATGAGGGTTAGGGTTAAAACTTTACAATTAAATTTGGAATGCACATGTTTCTAATGTATATATAATAAAATATGATCAACAACTTCATTATTGCGATTAGATGCCTTGATGCCTTCTAAACTCTGTTTTTTTATTTTCTGTTAACCAATCACGGTGTGTTCTGAATATAAACGTACAATTATATTGGTTCAATGTTTATTTTAGAATTTTTTTCTTTGTTTGCCAAGTGAAAAAAAGGAAAATAAAGAATATCATTTGCAAAAAAATATTAAACATAAACGCACAAAACAATGGTTGTAATTTAAATATATATCTATCGTTAAATAGGCCGTTTATTTGAAAATAATAGCATTTTAAGAGTCTATCTGAAACTAACACTTGACCTCTAGGAAAGCAAAACCTGAGCAAATTAAAAATTTACGTGTTTCATTTGACACTCACCACTCTTTCTGAAACACGTACCATTTTCCTCTATGGAAACCGACGCCATTTTCACCCTGTTAGTGCCAAAATACAGAAAATAACCGATGTGATGCCTTTAGTTATGCGATATAAACTGAAGTTAGACACTAGCAACAAATCAACAAGCTCACGCGAACAAAACCACCAATCACAGCGCTCCGTCCCGCTCACACGGCACTTCAGGGTGATCGTTACTGCTTCCCCGCCTGTTGTGTTGTATCATGGCAACCGAACAGCCAATCACATAGCTCGTTTTTGATGAGGATCAAAAATATTTTTTCTTCGTTAAATTACTTCTTATTGACATATTTTAAATGTATTTTGGAGTCAACAACTTTTACGCAACCTTGTGTTTTATTATTACCCTCTCATACCCTTTCTTACTGTTTGTAAAACATGTTCACATCCTTAGTGACACTTTTAATCATATAAAAGATAGCTAACCGGTAAATGCTGCAGTTTCACTATAGCTAGAATAAAGGCCATAGCTGGCTAAAATAACAGAGGATGATTTTAAGTGACTGTTTAAAGTTGTACTTTAGCCATAGTAACCATGCCATATACTGAGACAACAATGGGGTGGGGGGAGGGGGGGTGGACATGTGTTCCTGTCATGTGCTGCCTAATGGGTCAGGAGACAAACAGCATCTGGCTGATTAAGACTTGCATGACCTAACGCTGTTCAATGAGTGTAAACCATGCTGTTTCAATGGGAATTTGTATTAGAGCAGACAAATCTAAACATAATCTATTTCACTGCGTATTCATATAGCATAGGATAGATGATGATCATTTCTGGGAGTTATTATTCTAATGGAGGGTGTGTTTTTAAAAGTACATTGGGAAAAGGTGTTTTACCAGGTCCAGACAATAGCCCCTTTTCTTAAAATCCAAATTCAAGTTTCAAAAATACTTTCATAATCTCAGGGGGAAATTAATATTTGTTGTTAAAATAAGAAACAATAAACCCCCTTCACAATGAAAGTCTCAAAAATAGGTTTACTTCATTTGAAGTTGAAAATTAGTTTGAGAAATACAACAATAATTATGGAAATTATAGAAATATTAAAACTGTGTAAAGCTTTAGGTGTTGGGGGGGGGGGGTACAAGTGAGCGTTTGAGACTTATTTCGAAAGAACACATTGGTGTTTTGATTTTTTTTCAGGAAACATTTCGACGTTTTTTCTTCAAATAATGTCACAACTTTTTTATTTTTAAGGTATACACTTTAATCTTGAGACTCAAGCCTACTTTTTATACTTTTATAAGTGACTCTATTCCTTGGTACCTATTTGCATAACAAAACCAAATAAGTTGAAAGATTTTTTTCCTTCATAATGAAGTAGCAAAAAATAAATAAATCTGGTTACGTGATTTACCACAAAAACTCTTTATTGAAGCTTTTGTCATGGAGCTGAACCATCGACATATACATATATATGAATATGGTTTACAGTGTGCGCGTGGTGACGTCAGAAGAACCGGAGATGCGCGAGAGGCGGGATCACGTTATGAAAGAGATCGCCTGGAATCACTGAAAACCATTCCATCCCAGCAGAAAAGGGAAGAAGATCACTCTGTTCATCATTTCACCTCCACATCCTCCTCTTTAGCACCCATCCATCCACCAGTCAGGCGGAGAAACCCCCCAAGATGGCCCCGATCTCCATCAGAACCGTTCTGATCAGTGAGAGCGTTGACCCTCGCTGCAGGGCAATTCTAGAGGAAAACGGCATCCGTGTGACCGAAAAACAGACTATGAAAAAGGAGGAATTAATAGCAGAGATCAAGGTAAGATATGCTAACATGCCTCTTAAACAGCGTTTCTTGTTCCGGAAGAAAGCTTAACTTAAAGACTTTTCATACGTCATACATCTTTTTGGCGCATAGTTTAGTGAATATGCGACCCGAACACGTTTTTATCAGCTGAAGGTGCAAAAGTTCCGCCCATTTAATGTGGAGCTGATGCAACTCATCCCTGACTTTCCATCACTGCAACGCGCACCATCTGATCATGAGTTTTTATTTACAAAAAAATTAAACGGTCAGATTTACATCTGAAGTATTCTGTAGATGTACTTTTACTACTGTGTAGAGGTACTGCAGTGTTCTGCTGTAGCTTCATGGCCGGTCACAGGCTATGTTGGGCCTCTGCATCTGATCTAACCCTTTGATTTGGGCACCATCAGGGTCCCCCCCCCCCCCCCCCCCACACACACACACACACACGCACACACACACACACACACACACACACACACACACACACACACACACACACACACACACACACACACAGCCTCCATATTACACAATATTACACAATTTATAACTGATTTTTTGACGGATGTATCAAAGTTTCAAATATATATATGTTTTACACTTATTTTAGGCAACGTTTTCCATTATTTTTATATGTACATGTAGATCTGTTGCTATCTTTTGCCTCAGTGTTTTGCTTTCTGTCAGTGACCTCCAAGTTTTTTATGTGTCTATTTTGTAACTGCATAAACAAGCAGATTTGTCTTTCAAACACACACAATGAAAAGTGTTTTTCTTCCGTTTTAAATGTCAAAGTTTGCATTAATTCCTGTAAAACTGTTTTAGAAATCTGTGGCGACTGATTTGTTTTCATAAAAAGAAAATCATGTGCATATTTATGACTTTTATTTCTGGTTTTATAAATAATCACAGCCTTAAAAGTGACCTCAGTGTAAAAAAAATTTGATTAGTGTAAGCCCACTCTGCAATAAATTAAACTCAGTGCAAAATTTACCAGCTGACAGACCAGAGATCAATAAAATTTAGGAACTAAATGTTGTGCAAGTCGCACGTTCATGTCAAATCTGTGGAATGATTTCCTTATGTTTAGTAAAAAAAATTCTTAAATCAAACTGCCAAAAAGAAACATGGTCTTTATCTTGCATCAATTTTATTTATGTATTTTTTTAATTTGCATCTTAGGACTACGATGGCCTTGTTGTTAGATCTGCAACCAAGGTAACAGCTGATGTCATAAATGCTGCTGATAATTTAAAAATCATTGGGCGGGCTGGCACCGGTGTGGACAACGTCGATGTTGATGCTGCCACCAAAAAGGGTATTATTGTCATGAAGTAAGTCTGCTGCTTCTTTACACACACACACACACACACACACACACACACACACACACACACACACTGCTCCAGAATCACAAACTGCTTGTTATGTCTTCTTCAGCACACCGAGTGGAAACACAATCAGTGCCGCTGAGCTGACCTGTGCCCTTCTAATGAGCCTCTCAAGGTAAGATTAGCTAATTTCCTCTACAAATGGGTCAAATAATGGTGTTAAAAGCAGCAAAAACATTCATATGTTGATTTAAAAATGAAATTTTGTAAATAATTTGTTTCCTAGAAATGTACCTCAAGCTGCAATGTCAATGAAACAGGGGAACTGGGATCGCAAAAAGGTCGGCCCTCATTTGTAGTTGGTGCACGTAGAAGATTTCTGTTGCATGATTGAATCCATTGTTCAACCGCTTGTTGATAATTAAACGTGACACACGGGTCTGCACAGTTAATGTTATGATTGTTTCTGTTTTTACAGTTCATGGGTGCAGAACTGTACGGCAAAGTACTCGGAATAGTTGGACTTGGGAGGATAGGGAAGGAAGTTGCAACAAGAATGCAGTCTTTTGGCATGAAGGTTGTTCCCGTGCACACATGTGCACCCTCCTTTTCCTGTTCTGCAGCCTTCCCTCTAGAGATCATTACATACACTCCTTTTATTTAAACCTACCGATCATGCAACATGATAAGACTTGCGGGCTGAAGAGCAAACCTCAGTAAAACTAACTGAAACTATTTTTTCCATTAGACAATTGGCTACGATCCAATCACTCCACCTGGAGTGTCAGCGAGCTGGGGGGTGGAGCAGATGTCTCTGGAGCAGCTTTGGCCGCAGTGTGACTACATCACTGTTCACACACCTTTGATGGCCGCCACAGTTGGTGAGGTTCACTCTCCTCACTGTAGACAAAACAAGATGCAGGATTTTTACATTTCGTGTGTATTTTTCCTTAAAGGTCTGCTCAATGATGAAACATTTGCCAAGTGTAAGAGAGGAGTGAAAGTTGTGAACTGCGCGAGAGGCGGCATCATCGACGAAGCCGCTCTTCTTAGAGCCTTGGAGTCTGGGCAGTGTGGAGGTGCAGGACTCGACGTGTTTGTTGAGGTAAAATCGTAGCCACTGGGTGACTCTCAGACATCTGCAGTGTTGCCGAATTCTTCCTGTGTACGTTTTGTGTTATGGGCTGCAGGAGCCGCCGAAGGACCGCTCTCTGGTGCAGCATCCAAACGTCATCAGCTGCCCTCACCTGGGAGCCAGTACGAAGGAGGCTCAGGCTCGCTGTGGGGAGGACATCGCCTTGCAGATAGTGGATATGGTGAAGGGGAACAACCTAGTTGGAGCAGTAAGTCTAATTTTACTTTCATGTAGCTTTTTTTTTTTTAATTACCAGCTTTGTTCTTACATGTTTGGGGGATTCTATTTTGGGAACTTTGTAGAAAACAGAGAAGTGGATTTAAACCCTGCAGAGCCCTAAAGATGAAGTGAAACCAGTTTTTATGCGTATGTTTAATGTACCAGGAACTTATATTCTGTCATGTCTCGTGGTATGTGTTTAACCCAAGACATGCAGTAATCTGACTCGACGAGCAGGTAGGATGAAATTAAAGTCTTTATTTATTAACTGGAAAAAAAGGTGCACAGGGAAGTCCTGTGGAGAGGGTGAGCAGTAGCTCGAGTCCATAAACGTTCGGGGAGATCGAGGTGAGGAAGCCGAGGTGAGCTCAAGTCAGTCCAGGGGTGATCAGGAAACAGGTTAGACAGCGGAAGGGATCCAACCAGGCATAGCGGAGGAGGATGGGACGTGGTGTGAATGTCCAGTCAGTAAAACAGCAAGTTGAGGCAGGTTGAATGGGATTCTGGAGAGAACAAACAACATCCAGATTTCAGGGTAATCCAAAGAGTAATCAGAGCGGTCCAAGTTCAATAATCCTAAATATCCTATATTCGAGTGACGAGTTCACAAAACAAGAGCGAGTGGCTGGGACTACCTATACAGGGGCAATCATCCGGCGTAATGAGGAGTCACCATCCTCCTTTTATACCCGCGTCCCTGATTGGAGATGTTCTGCAGCTGCGGCCCCCTCCGCTGTCACCTGTGGGAAATCAGTCAGATAGAGTGAGATGGGGGTGATGTCACTCACCTCGGCTCAGGAGCATCACATATTCAGCTGAAGTGGTGCCACTGCATAGGGTGTCCTGATTCTTTAGTGTAGACCTCGGCCCCACTCCTTTGCTCCCTTGATGCTCACTTTGCTGAGGCCTGCATGGACGTAGACTTTGGCGAAGGGTATTACCCACAATCCATTGCTGCATGGGAATTTTGAGAAGAAGGTGGAAAAACATTTCTGCTGAAAAATGTTGTTGAATGATAACAGTGCTGGTGTGCATATTTGAACATGATATAATATCATTTTAAGCGACTGGCATCCAAATTTAAGAAATCACAGACATACAATGCGGTGGCACAGGTCGATGACAATGCTCACTGTCTCATTTCTGCAGTTATTTGCACACTTGTTTACTACGCACTGCCTGGAGGATGTTGCTATTTTCATTCGAATGTCCTTCAAATTTCCCTTTTTCCCCTCTTTGGAGAGGAGAAATCAGTCAGATAAACATTTGTTTCAATGGACATGCTAGTGGAACTTTCCAAAATCTTTGGAGGTGTGACAAAATGGTGAAGCATCACCAAACCACACTTTGCCTCTGTGTCCTCCTCGTACAGGTGAACGCCCAGGTTTTAGCCAGCACGTTCTCCCAGGAGTCTCAGCAGCTCATCAAACTCGGAGAAGCCATTGGAGCGGTGCTTCGGTCCTGCAGTGCATCCAAGAAACCACTCAGTCGTGTTCAAATCACCACTCAAGGTAATTTATCTGTTTCTTGTTCTCCCTCTAGTGGTGCAATCACAATATGACCAGTTCTTGTCCTAATTATTTCCCTTGCTTCAATTTTTTCCGCAAACTAGGGGACTGCATGAAGTCCTGCACCGGGTTCATGACCTCAGCGGTACTCGTCGGACTTATGAGTCGGGAATCAGGATGTTGCCCGAATCTCATCAACGTACTGAGCCTCACCAAGGAGACCGGAATCACGGTAATAACAAATACCACATGACAGTAGTCTGTTATCCATCCAAGAACTAATGACTGAACTATGTCTTCAGGTGAATCAAACCCACTGTGAGTCTGGCGGGGTAGCAGCAGGTGTGTGTGAGGTGGTGATCGAAGCCGATGGCTGCAGCTTAAAGGGCATCGGAGCAGTTCTAGGAGGCGTTCCTGTCCTGCTGGGGCTGAGCGACAGCGTGTTCAGACAACCCGTCACTCTGGCTGGAAATCTGCTGTTCTTCCAGGCCTCTGCCAGTCCTCAGCTGCTGTCCTCGGTGGCTGGTGAGGAAACACATGACTGCATCAAAATCAACACTGTTTAATTAAAACAATTGTTTTATTTATGTGTCCTTCTGTGTGAGGGTGCTAGATGTAAAGTCCAGTTTGAAATGGAAGACATAAATAAAAATGCACTCATTGATGAACCATTTCCTCATAAATCATTGTCACCGTGGTGACCATCAGGGATTTCCACCCGTACATTGACCCTGAAATTATCAATGCTAATGAAACATATTGCTTCTTAGATGATCTTTTTTGCAAACTTTAGCTTAATGTGGATATAATTCTAATTGTGGCTCTGTTTAAAGGTTGTGAACAAAGAATACCTTACCTGCTTTAGATTGAACAAACTCAGTTTAGAGGAATAGTTTAAATCTAATCAGATTGAAGAAGAAGAAGAAAATATCTTTTCTACAGCGCCTCTCAAGATAAAAGTCACGAGGCGCTTCACAAAAACAGAAAATGTAAAAATATAAAAAAGAATTTAGAAAATGGTTAAAAAATTATTTAAAATGAGCAAAAAATAGACAATTGTGATTAAAAAATGTCCACTGAGTGAGTCCACTGATCTCAGGCTCAGAGGGAGAGAGTTCCAGTCTGGGGGCCACAGCAGATTGATGAGCTAACAGCTAGTTTGAGTAGAGGCAAGACCGGAAGGAGTTAGTATAATCTTACCCAGTCTCAAAAATTCAGTTTTTCCAACCTTTGTGTAAATAGCTATTAGTTTAGCTATTTTTGTTATCTATGTGCAAAAATAACTATAGCTATTAAAGTACATCCTGGCACACTACTTATAGGATTTTCAGGATATTTCTGCTGGATTGTCGATGCAATGCAACCCTAATTTAAAGATTTACTAAAAGTTTTATTTTGAAGGGGAATTGTGTGATTTAAATCACATCTTCTGTCACTCTGATGCTTTTACCCATGACAGTTCTTAGTTTAGATGAAAGGTGCTGATTTAGGAGTTCTAAATTACAATGTTTCTGGACTCTTCCCCCTTAAATTCACGCCTCTACTCCCTTTCCAATTGTTTTTTTTTAGGAGTGTTGGCCTCAGAGGGAGTGCAGATCGAGTCTTTCAGCGCTCCTGTGGACCACACCGGGGATGTGTGGTATTGTGTGGGGGTGTCCTCTCCCCTGCAAGATCTCAGTGCCTTGGAGCCTTTGGTTAAAGATGCAGCTCAGCTTTGTGTTTAGGATGTTGGGAACCATAGTCCCAGAATAACATTTAGTATTTGAAAAATCTTTAAAGCTCTTAGGATGAATGCCTTGTTTTGGATTTGTTTTTATGGTTAACATCTTCTTTTAGCAGTTGCAAAAGTTTAAAACTTGTATTTTTGTAACATTCTGGTGTTTAGTTGTTCGACAAGCTGGAAGTAAAATACAAATAAAGTGTTTGTTGTGTGCTGTTGAGTTTGGCGGTTGTGTCATTGGAGAAAAAATGTGAAAAAAAAAAGATGCTGTGACCCTAAAAGACATTTAATTTAGCATAAAAGGCTTGACTGTGAAGCTGGTTCAGAGCATCGTATAACATTTTTACACTTGTTAATTAAAAACAGAGACAATGTGTGATTTTTACTAATAATCTTTGGAAATATCCATCGAAATGTTGTTTTGTAACATATAACTATTAAAATTAGGTCTAAAAGGCATGTGAGTCATGATGCCATGTTTCCTTCTACAGGAGCCCGTGAGGACAAAATGCATTTGCTGATTTGTAACAAACTTACAAAACTTTCACCATTTATAAACGTTGTTTTACACATTTACCTTTTCACTCATTGCCAGTGATGGAAAAGAGTCTGATGTGCTTGTTGCTTTGCTGGAGAATGCACTCCCAGGGATTTTTGACCCTAATGGCCATCCGTAGATAAGGTCTTACCTGCTTGCTTGCAATGATTTAGGTATGTACTGCCCCCTTTCACCAGAGAAAATACACAGTGTCACTTTAATTAAAATTATAATAAGATTTTATACATCAAAAATTTGTTTGCACTTAGCAAATGTAAACATTCAGCAGACTGCTGTAACAACTTAGCAAAACGTTTGATTTATTGAATAAAATGCTCCATTAAAACTTTTGACAAAAACGTGATTTATTTAACCCTTTGATGCATAATGGTCACTACAGTGGACAGGTATTCAAAATTGTTACTTATTTATTTTTGCTATTAAGCACAGCTGTTGAAGACTTTATTGCATTTGAGCCCCTCCATTTGGACTTCAGTAAGTCAAGCCAACATGCTCAGAATGCACGCTGTCCACTGAGGTGGACATGTAATAAACTATTTGTAAATTAACAAAACATTACAAAAGATATTTGTTGAAATTTGTTTCATTCGCACCTAAAAATGAATAAAAAAATTGTTTAAAAAATCATGGTTGAAGATTTCATAATTCATGCATCAAAGGGTTAAGGTGGAAAGTGGCATTTGAGAAGATGAAGTGACTTTAAAGGATACTAATGTTTTCATTAGGCTTATTTAGGCTTTAATGTTGCTCTTTTGACTACCCACATGAGATGAAAACCTGGAGGAATAAAACAATTAGTCTTGTGGGAAACCAGGTGGCTTCTCTGCTTATCGCTGTGTGAAAATATTCCCACCGGAGCACAAAGTAAAACGGTCTCACGAGTTCAACCATCATCTGTAAATTTCCTTTGACTCTAGTGAATTAATTGCATTTAAAAAAAAAGTTAAACATATCTACATTTCAAGCTCTGGTGTGGTTTTATTGCGATTGTCCTCAACTTGTGAAATGATCGTATTTTTAAAACTGAGCACCGTTATCAAGGAAAGACAAAACAATCCAGCATATTGCGGTCCTGATGATGGTCTTTGGGAGAAGACGGTGGATCAAAATGGACATTTTTAGAGGTGAGATGTTCTCAGACTGAAGTCATAGGTGACACTTCCACACAGATATAGGCCAAAAGCATCACAATATACAAACAAATATCTAAAAAATCTCAGTATTACTCAGTATTGATTCGGAAAAGAATGACCTCCGGGTCAGGGATGAGGTCCTGCCCCAAGTGGAGGAGTTTAAGTATCTCAGGGTCTTGTTCACGAGTGAGGGAAAACTGGAGCGTGAGTTCGATAGGCAGATTGGTGCTGCATCTGCAGTGATGCGGGCGTTGTACCTGTCTGTCGTGGTGAAGAGAGAGCTGAGTCAGAAGGCGAAGCTCTCAATTTCCCGGTCGATCTACGTTCCTACCCTCACCTATGGTCATGAGCTTTGAGTAGTGACTGAAAGAACGAGATCACGGATACAAGCGGCCGAAATCACTTTTCTCCGAAGAGTGGCTGGACTCTCCCTTAGGCTACTGCCCCCGCGACCCGACTCCGGATAAGCGGATGAAAATGGATGGATGGATGGATCTCAGTATTAATAAATCTACAAAAACAATTAGGATCCTTTTAATAAGTCATATGTACAAACTAAGACACCGGGTTAGTCAGCAGCTGAATAAAAATTAAATGCATCAATGAAAAGGGCTCATTTCAGCAAGAAAGATGCCAATCCAGGTGTTTCTTCTGATCCGAGTCATCCAAGTTCAGAAAAATCTAACACAATTATTTAACTTTTTCTTTATTTTTTTTGTCAATCTTCTAAAAAACAAGCTGTAGTTAAAATGATGTTTTAAGCAATAATTGCATCAAACAGAGTTGTGGACTCGAGTCACATGACTTGGACTTGAATCAGACTTGAATCATATTTTAATGACTTCTGACTTGATAAAATCTATAAAGACTTACGACTTGACTCTGACTTGAATGCCAATGACTTGCAACTTTAATCGACTTGCATCTGTTGACTTGATGATGACTTGAACATATTTGATATTTTAGCACGACATGGACAACAATCTTAAATCATTCTTGGTTCTGGGTTTGATCTTGTACTGCTAATGTCACGATGCGAGCAAGGAGATGGTTAGGACCCAAAATGCAGATACCCAGGATGACACGAGGCAGGGATGAAGATTAAGAAAAAATCCTTTATTTAGGGTGAACCTAAAATAAAAATCCAAAAAGCTGGAAGTCAAAATCCAAAAACGTCCAAACAACAAACTAGAAATCCAAAAAGACACTAGAGACTCGAGAAGTATCAAAAACACTAGAGATCCAAAAAGCGAGATGAGACTGATAGAATACATCAATGGACCGACACAACACTGAGACAAGGAGGGGGTTTTATACACTGGGGCTGGAGCGATAGGAGACGAGGAGCAGGTGTGTGGAGAACTGGCACAGGTGAAAACAATCATTGAGAGGAGGAGCAGAAAGGAGCAGGGGAGGACCATACACCAGACCTGAATGGAGAAGGACACACACACACACACACACACACACACACACACACACACACACACACACACACACACACACACACACACACTCACACACGGACAAAAAGGGCTGAAGCTACAAGGACACAGAACCTGGGAGGAGTGATCTGAAGGGCTGCAAACAGGAGACACATGAAGAACGAAAAGAGACACATAAATGAGACGCAGACAAAGGACACATGAGGGCGCTATGAGACACAAAAGGAGAAACTAGAGAGGGATGGAGAACACAAAGAGACACATGAGGGGAGACGCAGACCATGACCATGACAGTTAAATGCAGCAGCACTTTGTTTATGATCAGTTTCAGTTGCTCTTTCTGCATGTTTGAGTAAATAAATGAAGATTTAAGAAGCTTTATTTCTGGAATTTATTTATGTCATTAAATTGAAGTTGGACAGATGACTTGAATATGACTTGAAAATTCAAAGTTAAGGACTTGGACTTGCACATCATTGACATTGGACTTGACTTGGTTGTCGTTGATTTGGACTTGACTTGAGACTTGACTGGAAAGACTTGTGACTTACTTGTGACTTGCAAAGCAGTGACTTGGTCACACCTCTGGTATAAAAAAAGAAAAACAACTACATACATCTTTTTTCCTCTGCTTGTGGCAGAGAGGCCCAGACTTCCCTCTCACCAGCCACTTGGGACAGCTCCTACGGAGGAATCCCATGATTTCCCTGGCCAGCCAAGAGACATCGTTCCTCCAGCATGTCTCCTCCCAGTTGTACATGCCCAGAAAACCTCACCAGGGAGGCGTCTAGGAGGCATCCCAACCGGATGCCCGAGCATCCTTAACTGGCACCTCTTGAAAAGTATACGATACGATGTGATATATGATACAGAGAATTGTGGCATCAACAAGTCATCTCATGCCACGTTTTCCTTCGGTTCAGCAACTAAAGCAGGTGATTTCATTCGGCACAGTGAATGAACCTTGTTCAGTTGCTGAGTAGAACCAAATCAGGGGATGGAGATGACTTGTTGATGCCACAGTTCTTCATCTCTTCTACAATACGATACAACATGGCATGATGCGATATAATGTTGAAATTTTAAAGACACCTTAAAAAGCTCATTTGAAAACATTTCAATCCCTAAAGATGAACAAAAGCACTTCGACAAACAATTCTGAGATCATCATGACCTGTGTATGAAGAAAATAAAATGGCTTTAGAAACAGTTTAGTTGTATATGATGCTTGTAGATCATTTGCATGCCTCCCTGAGTAGCAGTCCAATCGTTAATGAGTCATTTGAGATTGCAGGAATATGACTTTTCACACACGTAATCACTTCAGATGTTGTTACAGTTTATAGCTTCAAAATATTGAAATAAAAATTCTCTCCAGTATAATCTGATGTGAGGTTCCCTAGAGCTGTGGTGTTAATCCTTAGGATTAGGTAAAGCCTTAGCCATACTGGAACACCACATTCAGAATACCATGGCAACAACAAGGCTGGGGCAAAACATGAATGGGGCTGGGGCGGGTCAGTGGCTTCTCCGGGGCTGCTTTATGAAGACACTGCATGCTCATTTGTTTCTGATTTGTATTCTGTGAGTGGATCTGTGCCTGCCGGTCGCTGCTCCGCCCTGAGACTGTAAACGAGTGTTAAATTTAGGCTCTGACGGGGAAAAGAGGTGATTATTCTCTCTGAATGGTTGCTTTACTTTGTCAAGGACCTGGACATTAGAGTGCAGGAGAGAGGGGGAGGTGGGGGAGGAGAAGGAGGAGGAGGTGGGGGAGGATGATTGCTGCACACACAAATACCAAAATAGGATCGAGCTGTCTGCGACTGTCCTGAGCTAAATTGAGGTGCTTGTTTTTTTTAGAGGAGCGCTTTAAGGAGAGAGGACGCAGCGGATTGTTGGCATTGGGAATAAATGACAGGTGGGCCATAATTTTATCCATACAAGGATTAAATTTACATTTATTTGCTTTAATTGCCACATTTCATCTTGTTTTCTTCAGTATTTGGACATCATGTCTCATAAAAACGAGATCTACACGTATGACTTCTGTGATGGGGAGCATCCAGCTGAGGTCCTGGACGCGCTCAGGCATTTCTACCTCCGCGGCCTGTTTACCGACGTGACGCTGCAGTGCGCCGAGTCCGGGCAGGTGTACCACTGCCACAGAGCGCTGCTGGCGGCTCGCAGCTCTTATTTCAAAGTCATGTTCACAGCCGACATGAGGGAGAGGTCGAACAGCGTGATCAAGCTGCGCGGGCTAGACTGTGGCGTCTTGGGCGCCCTGCTGGATTACGTGTACAGCGCGCAGGTGCGCATCACGGAGAGCAACGTGCAGAACCTGCTGGAGGCTGCAGATCTGCTGCAGTTCGCCGCCGTCAAACAGGCCTGCGAGGAGTTTCTGGTTCGCCTCTTGGACGTGGACAACTGCCTGGGCATGCACACCTTCGCTGAGCTCCACCTGTGTCCGAGCCTGGAGAGGGAGGCGCGCAGGTTGATGCTGAGCAGGTTCGTGGAGCTCATGAAGCAAGAGGAGTTCTTGGAGGCGGAACACGAGAAGCTGAGGTCAGTCCTGGCCGCTCAGAGCCTCACCGTGCAGAGAGACGACGTGCTGATAGATGCTGTGGTCAGGTGGGTAACCCATGACTTGGATAATCGCCTTCACCACGTGTCGGACCTGCTGCGCTCCATCCATCTGGGTCTGGATGAGATTTACTTCAGAGCTTCTTTGGAGGTGCACAAGATGATGAAAAATGATGGGAAATTAAAATCTAGGATTGTCCAAGCACTTAGACCCAATAGCAAAGACGTCAGAAACGTTTCCCCCAGCAGCATGTACGTCATCGGAGGATATTATTGGCATCCTTTATGTGAGGTCCACATCTGGGATCCTGTTAGTAACACTTGGGTGCAGGGAAAAGACATGCCCGACCCAGCAAGAGAGAGCTACAGCACCAGCTTACTGGGAGCAAACATCTATGTGACTGGTGGCTACAGGACAAACACTGTAGAGGCCCTGGACACTGTTTCCATTTATAACTGTGACTATGATGAATGGACTGAAGGCTCCCCTATGATTACAGCCAGGTACTACCACTGCTCTGTGGCTTTACATGGCTGTATTTATGCCATTGGGGGTTACAGAGGAGGAGCTCCAGAACAACACACAGAGTTTTATGATCCTTTGAAAAAGAAATGGTTCCCCGTTGCCAAAATGATCCAAGGTATGACCATTTGGTTGTTTTTTTAATGGGTCCTCTAGTTTCAGAGTACTTTCTTCTGTTGAAAAACTATAGTTAAATCCACATTTTCAAGTTTGAGAATGTTGTAATACACTTGCTACATCACAATTAAATAACAGACTCCATTAATACTTCATAAAACAAAAAGATTCTAGGTATAAATTATCAAACAAAACCCTTTAAAGTGCAAGATGTGTTTAAAATATTTTCAGGACAACTGCATTCCTCCCAGAGTGGAGTTTGCTCAGTCGCCATGGTGATGGTTCTGTTGTTATGACAACATCATTTGAAATTGCCCTTTATCGCAAACTTCTCGCTGATCTATGCTGCTGCACTTTAAAAATATGCAGGATCACTAAAAGGTCACTAAAGGACAAGTAAACAACTGTTCAGCAGAAAAATATATTGTTTTTAGAAATATAATACGGCTGTTTTATTTCTGATTTAGTGTCAATGTATTCTGAAGTTTGGTTCTGTCTTGTCATTTTTCCTCATAACCAGTTTGAGAAAAACTCTTAAGAACCAAACTAAAGGTACAAACAATCAAACCACTGTAGCATCACACTGTATAGAGTAACGACTGCAGTTTAATCATCACCAATAAGATGTGATGATTCCATATAAATATGACACATCAACCTGATTGATCTGTGAGAGAGGGGGAGTGGGAGGGGACTGTACCGATGACATGAAATTGTACCAGCCCTGGTCAATCACAAATTTAAAATGCGGTAGCCACAGTTCAACCCATAGAGGGCAGCACTGAGACGTTTTTAGACCAAGATTCTAGATTTAATCAAGTTTACACAAACATGTCAAAAAAGGCATAGAAACAGAAAGATTGCATTTGTAACAACAGTTTATAAGCAATATATATATGTATATTTGGGGGTTTAGTTACTAAAGCGCAAGTCACCCCCAAATGAACTTTCTTTTCTGATAAACTATATAAATGTGTGTCTAATCGTTAGGGCTGGGGGTAAACGATTATTTTTAAAACGATTATTCTGACGATTATTTTATCGAATAGTCGACTATTCTAATGACTATTTAGAAAATTAATCTAGTGATTATTTTTCTATTGCACAATTAACAAAAACCAGAAAATCTCAAATAAATTCCTCAAAAAAATTGATAAATTCTTACTGTAAGAGAATAAACACTACAGGCCTTCCATTTTGTATAACACTGCTTTTATTGTGTTGCGGTTGGTTATGTTCTGGTGACGTGTAGAACTTGGGAGTGCAGGCTGCTGCCTGAGAGGTGGTTGAAGATAGAGTGTCTCCATGCTGCTTTGTTTTGGGCACTTATGTGCGTGAGGCGAGTGGTCTTACGGGTTAAACCAAACTCAAGGTGATATTTTACACTAAACCGAAAACCCACAACACTCTAAATGTAATAAAAGGGAGATCTACACCACAAAAAAGATGAACTCTAAACCAAAACGTAACAGCTTATCCCAACGCAAGAAGCTGTTAGCGAAGATGCTAACAGTAGCTTTACCAACGTTAAGTTCAAGTTACCAAGTTTAAATAAACCAAAAACACCCAGCAGCAAACAGACCAGCACGGAGGAGAGACTGCTACCACCAAAACAGCTCTCCTAATGTCTAAAAGAAGCTCCTTAATGAAGGGAGAAGCGCTCCCGGTGATGTTCTACATCTGCGATAGACACGAAGCAGCGCATCTGACCCCGGAAGTTGTTGTCCGTTGCCGGGAGATGAAGGCGGGCAAAACAGGAAAATAATCTAGTAGTGGACGGACGTTGTTCCGGGTCTTCGGTATTTGGCGGAGATGTTAGTGAAGGCGGAGAAGAGGGCGAACTAGAGGAAAAACAGGCAGATTCCTCCTCTATTTACAAACTCCTGGGGATGCAACAAGTGGGCGCGGTGCGTCGACTACCGGATCTGACGTCGACAAATTTTTAGAATCGAGCCGTCGACGTAGTCGAGGCTTCGCTACAGCCCTACTAATCGTGCTGCAGACACATGTAGTCAATAGTTTTGCTCTTTAGTGCATTTTTGTTACAATTTTAATTCTCTGCCTAAAACTGTCAGTGTCGTGCCATTATCAGGTAAAACCTCTGCATCTGCCATCGCTATTGGCTTAGAGGTACCCTAGGACGTTAGCCTGTACCATATGATGTCACAATGTTGTTGTGAGCCTGTGTGTGTATTTGTTAGCGGCACCGCCCTCTCGGTCTGCTAGGCAACAGCATTTGTTGCATTTTTCAAACAGGAAGTGAAAGTGGAGTGATACTCTGGTAGGGGTTGACTTGCTCTTTAAAGCAGAAATCTTTTTGCCATAGTGCACCACCTAGTGGTGTAAAGATGTCCGGCACCTTAAGTCCCTCTACTTCTGTAATTACAGCCGTTGTCGGTAAAAGATCTGCTCAGGTGCAAGATCGGCTCGGGGTCCATCGACTGCCGATGACGTCAAAGTAGTTGATTTGCTGAACATGAACCTTACGGAATTACGTAATTACGTTAGGTTGTTATCACGTTACGTTGGTCCAGGCAAATCTTTCTGTTGGAAAGATGGACAACTTTTACAAAGAAATCTATCATTACCTCTTTGAAAATACACTTTTAGCATAGAGCTGCATGTATATTAGGGCTGAACGATTAACTGCATGTGCAATTAAATTGCGATGTGACAAAAGGAGATTTTCTAATCGCAACGGCTGCAATTTGGCAGCGAGTGGTTAACGCAATGCTAATATACATGGAAAAACCCATAGGAATGCTAATGCTAATATCACCGATTACATTATTACAAATTATGAATTAGAAACGTGCCAAATGATTTCATTTGGAGTCTAATAGAAAGTAAAACTACCATCAATCAAATAAGTACAGACAGGTATTTTAGTAAAGCCAGAAAACTTTTAACTCCAGAGTTTTGGCTAGCAGCTATGAGTGTAACTGAACTACGCATGGACAAGACGTCTAAAACTAAACACAAAATACATCAATAAATGGGACACACTTCTTTCCTGCAAATACAATTTCACAGGTGTTGCTAATACCTATGATCCTTCAAGGGATGTGCTCAAAGAGGAGTTCAACATTATGAATACAATATAGTGTTTTATTTTACAAATACCATTATAAACACAAACTTACGTCGTAAGAAACATTATTGTAATAACGAAACTGCTAAATTCTTTCCAACAGTATAGATGTGTAGTGTATTTTGTCCGAGTGGGTTTGCCGTACTTTGACGTTATCGGCAGTCGAAGGACCCCGAGCCGATCTTGCACCCGAGCAGATCCTGTACCGACACCAGAAGCAACTGCTCTCAATTTTTAATGTGCACCTCTAGCTCGGCAACAGAGCTGAAACACTTTGCTTTACAATTATCGTTATGCTTTTTTATTCATATAAAGTTAAAATCCCATTAGTCATCATCACATTCTGATGTAATTACATCCCTGTTTTAACCCATCCCCACGGGGAGCAATGAGCTGCAGCAGTGGCTGCGCTTAGGAACTACTTGGTGGTTTACCCCCAGTCCAAGTGTCAAATGGGGAGACACTTAGTCCCATTTTTAAAGTTTTTGGTATGACCCGACCACGGATTTGAACCTGTGAACTCCCGGCCTCAGGGTAGACACTCATACCTCTAGGTCACTGAGAAGGTATATAAATTTATTTTAAAGAATTACTTGTCCATAAAAAAAATGCATCAGTCTAGGTACGTCCTCAATGGCTCGCTCACATTCTGTGATTGACATATTTTAGTAAGCAGATATCTAACGTTATTGGCTAATGCCGAGTGGTGCTCAAGTCAAATAGCATGGGGCTCTACAAGATGGAGGGGTGGGCTTAGCAAAAAGGAAATTGACGTATTACCTGTTGTATCACAATACAATGTAAGACACACTTTTACAGATTTTTGTATAATCTACATAATTCATAATAGGTAGAAAACTCCAGATTGCTGCTTTATGCAACCAGGTTCAGTGGAACCAGTTGATAGATCTTGGTTAAGCAAATTCAGCATTTCTTTTTTTAGAGTGATGCTGAAATCCTCAACCTTTTCCTGGTGGACATGAGCTCTTTTTTTATGAGTCCAATCTCTTATTATGTTGAAGGTGTGGGAAATGCCACTGCATGTGTGATGGGAGATCAAATCTATGTGACTGGTGGCCATTATGGGTACAGAGGAAGCTGCACGTATGAGAAAATCCAGGTGTACAGGCCAGATGTTAATGAGTGGAGCATTGTTACCATAAGTCCTCATCCAGGTAAGAGGTGATGAAAAAGAAGAAATGAAAACACAATACGTTTGGTGCTAATCCTTAAAATTTTCATGTTTTTTTTCCAGAATATGGGCTTTGTTCGGTGTCTCTGCACAACAAGCTGTATTTGGTTGGTGGACAGACGACCGTTGCGGATTGCTACGACACAGAAAGAGACGAATGGAGACCCATTTCAGTGATGAAAGAGAGGAGGATGGAGTGTGGGGCTGCAGTGATAAATGGCTGTATTTATGTAACAGGGGGTTACTCCTACTCAAAAGGGACCTATCTGCAGAGCATTGAGAAATATGACCCAGAGCTAGACTCATGGGAGATTGTGGGGACTCTTCCCAGCCCGGTCAGATCACATGGATGTGTCTGTGTTCGTGGGGTCCAGTGACATTTATCACAGGTGTTTATATATATATATATATATATATATATATATATATATATATATATATATATATATATATATATATATATATATATATATATATATATATATATATATATATATATATATATATGTATATATTGTATATATATGTATGTATATATATATATAATTTCACAGTATTCACTACTTTGCAAAGGTTTATGCACAAACCATGTCAAGTTTTCATTGTGGAAGTTTTTTGTAACAACATGGTTATCCAGTGTTTCACTTAATCCTCAGGTATCTCTTGAGAAGTATGAAATAAAGCACAACTGTTTCATAAATCTTTTAAAAGCATTTTTATTTGAAAAGTCACTGGTCAGTAACACATAAAATAAATCACAACACTGATAATGGGATGTTTGCTTTCCAAAAAATACTTTTAAAGTCACTTGTATTTCTATAACTCTTCAAATGTATTGATATGTGAGTATTTGGGATCTTAAATTTTTCTAATAAGTTTGTAAAAATAAGTTTATGTGAATGAACTTCCAGCAACAAAGCATTTACAGCTGCTTTACAAGAAGATGCACAAGATGGTTTGTGAGTGTAAAAATAGTAATCATTGCAGCTTTTGTTTTGAACTACAAGAATATTTTAGAGGGGAGTAATATAAAAAGCTGGTTGTTTCTACAAAACAATTTGTGAGACAAAAACATCTTAATAGAAAACATAAATCTCTGTGATCAAGTGAAGATTTATTTTCTTGCTTGAAAACGAACATAAGTTTAAATTTTTGAATAAAATAAAATAAAATAAAATAAAATAAAATAAAAAGTGAAGAAAATCTACATTTGTGTTGGAATGTTGCATTGCAGCGACAGCTGCTGGGCACAAGCTGCACGACACAGATTGCGACGCACGAATCGAACTGCCGTAAAACTGCGACCTCCTCGACACTTTTTGGCCCTCGATGGTTTCCGTAGCACGCAGTCCTACAACGTGCCAGCACGAAAGGCAAGCTTTTGCGGTTTCAAGTTCCGAAAGTGCAGTTTGATCACAACTGTGATAACGTAAGTAAAACATTTGAGTTAGTACAATGTTTTATGGCGTTTTTCATTTAACTTGGAATACGTTGTTGTAGATTAACAGTACGTTTGAGCAGCACGCTACTGTTTGAACGCAACCACATGACGACGTTAACATTACAGACCCAATGTGTGTCCCCAAAATGTGCATTACGGTGACAAAACACGTTTTGTTTGTTTATTACAATACGGGTCATGATTCTGGGTGGTTCTGCTTCTAAATTAATATATAAACCGTAGCCGGTTTGCAACTCCTGAGACAAGCTAGCAGGTTTAGCTGACGCATGGTAACTGAAATGTAACTAGATGTGAGACAGCTGCGTGACACAAATTAATAAATTAGATTTATATTAGCTTCCAGGAGTTTTCTTAAAACGAATATTATCTGTACATTTATGGTAATTTGTAAATTCCGTTAGATTCATTGTAGAAATAGGTAGGCAGTGGCTTTTATTCACTGTTTCTGAATCAGGAATAGTTTATATAAACATGTATTAAGCCCTAGGGGACCCCATGATGTTAGTTCCTTAACAGGGCCAAAAACCCCTCGCACTACAGAAGAAATAGTAATAATTGCCATCAAATTAATCAGCAAACCCAGCACTACATGGCTATCTAAACTATTTTTACCATTAAATACCATTTTTACCATTTTTCGAAGAATAGTCTTCAAAATAGACCTAGGCCTTAAGGGGTTAATGTATCGCAGAGGCAACAGTCTACACCATTTAGTTTTTAAACATTTAAATGTCTAATGAAACAATTGAGAGGCTTGCATGCCAGATATATGATTATACAAACCATACCAGTTTATGTGATGAAAACAATGAGTGGTTATAAATAAAACATGGATTTTTTAAATAGGTCAAATTGCAATTCATCTAAATTTGTCTCCCAGTATTTCAAATTAATAAATTTAATGATCAGCGTTCGTACCATGGTACCTCTGAAAACTGGGACACATGCCCACATGTAAGAAATTTATTTTTAGAGTTTGCTAATTATTTGCAATTTCATTTCCTACAGAAAACAATCATGGCAGAAAACCAAGATCAAATGACCCCCATTGAGATGAAAGTGGCACGCCAACTGGAGGTAATTGCTATCAAACTTCTGTCATCGGCTCTCTGCTGGATCTGTAATCTTCACTTAACATCTGTGAAGCGTAGTTTGCCATTACAGTCAGTGGGTGTGTTTCAGCTGGCTGTGAAGCTTTTGGACATGTTGGACAGAAGTGTATTTTCGCGTCACTCTGCCATTTGCTGCTTTCCACCAGATGTGTAAGCAGCACATAATGTAATAGACACGTTTTCCTCGCGAGCTCAGCAGCTTGTCTCTGACCACTGGAAGTGTTTCAGATTTTTTATTTTATGCGTTCCAAGCTGCCCGTCTTGCAAGGTCACAAAATTGCCACAGAATTGCAAGATCAAGCATGATTTCGGCAGTTCATGTGACAAGCAGAGAGACAGCAGCATGTGTACTAAAGGGCCTCGTTTATTTTCTTTGTGTTGTACCTCAGCTATGGAGACTTTATATGTAATATGCATTTATTTATTTACTTATTTATTTACTTACTTTCTTACTTACTTACTAGTTAAGCAACTGCAAATCTGCACATGTTCTATTTTGAAAGTTGACGGATGTTTAAGTTTACATTTGACTTCCTGTCCGTTACAATCTGAACTGCTGGGCTTGGTGCGTCCTGGAAGTGTAGTGCATGAGAAAAAAAAACTCAATGTAAAGTTAGTGGAGCGATGTGATACTACGCTTCTTGGACACTTCCAAAACGCACCGCTTAGCATCAGGTGGGAACACACCCGATTAGGGTTGGGCGACGGGACGAATTAATTGACCGTCAGCGACGGGCTGAGTCGTTACGATTGTTTTTTTTTTTTTTACAAGAGGCGATATGTTCATTTATTTATTTGCCCATGATGACGTTTGTTAATGACAGATATTTTACACGTTACACACAGAGAACACCGCGGAGGTAACAATCATGACGAGATGTCCATCAGCGCATCTGAGCATCATCTCTCTCTTTCTCCGCCTCTTTAACTGCTGACGCGGAAGAGGAGCTCGGAGAGCGTCTGCGACACACTTGACAATGTGAACAAGAGAGCAATGTCAAGTAGAAACCCTTCTATCTTTCTCAGAGAGTCTGGAAGACTTCTGGTTATTTCATTTGGAGACATTTTTCCCGATTTTAAAACTTTGGGCGAGTGGCACTCGTTATTCTGCCCCTGCTTCGAGTGTGTTAGTGGAGTGCAGATTCATCCAGAACAACGTTTAAACATCCATAAGTCTGAGGCAAAAGCCCAGAACCTCATAACCTCTCCAGCGAATTCCGTAGAGACATTTGAGTACGCACAAGCTGCAGGTGACCAGCTCAGGTTTACGCAGAGCAGAGGAAGAGTGCGTTCAGGCTGCAGCAGATGAATTGTTCCTAATTTAAGTGGAATTGTTAAATTGCATTGTTTATGTTACTGGGACACTTTGTTCAGCTTGTTTGAACTAAATATTAATTAAAATGAATGGAAATGTAATGGTACTGAATAATTATTATTATTTAAAATAAACAAAAGCAATGGGGATAAATGGATCATGTGACTTCTGGCTGTGCTCCCTCCTCAGAGTGTGTCAAAATGCAGCAGCAATCCATTTCATTTCATTTTCTCAAAGCCAGAAAAATAAAAATCAGTGTTTAGACGACTTCTGTGTTTGCAAATCAGTCCGTGCATCATGACGTCACATGCATGAATGAATCGTCCAGCCCTAACGCCCATCGACTAGAATCACAGCTCCATACTATGCTTAGCGGATGTTGCGCGACACTTGCACATCCAGTGGAAAGCCTGGGCGTTTCTGACTATGCATTTCAAAATTCACCTAAAATATGCTTCTTATTCCCTTATAGTATTATTTTGGAGATCACAATCTCCCAAGAGACAGGTTTCTCAAAGAACAAGTGCAACTCGACGATGGCTGGGTGACACTGGAGACCATGCTTAAATTCAACAGGTGCGTACTCCAGTGGTCAGCGGATGATATAATATTTGTGCAAAATCTCCTTTCTGACTTGCAAGTTGTGGCTGTAAAAGAAGCCGTTCTCTTTTCTCAGACTGAAGTCGTTAACTACAGACAGCAGCGTCATCGTGGCAGCTCTCCAAAAATCAAAGACGGGCCTCTTGGAGATCAGTGAGGACAAAACTAAAATCAGGAGGTCTTCAGACAAACCCTTACCAGAGTTAACCGATGAATACAAAGACGCATTGAAACACAGATCTGTTTATATTGTGAGTTTTACTTTGCTCACACTCTATAAGTTATATAGTACACAAATATATATATAAATTATGTTTTTCTTGCATCAAAATGTTAAAGTATTTTATTTTATAATTTTTTTCAGCTTAATATTGTTGTATTTTAGTTTCAGTGCTGAAAATTGTCATTGTCTGTAAAACATTTCTCCCTCTTTTATTCAAGCAGTAATAATTTTCTTTATTTCACCTTGTAGAAAGGTTTTCCTCTTGACACAACTCTTGATGAGATTCAAGAGTGGCTGAGTGGAAAAGGCAACATGGAAAACATCCAGATGAGGAGAAACCTGCAAAGGCAGTTCAAGGTAGATAAGTATTTAATAGTCCTAGATTTATGTAGTTTTTTTCTAGTACTGGAATTTTTCCGGAATGTGTTCTCTGTGTATTTGCAGGGATCAGTGTTTATCTGTTTTGACACGGAAGAGTCCTCCAAGGAGTTTGTGGAACGCTCGGATATCAAGACATTCAAAGACAACGAGATGCTTGTGTTGCTGAAGTAAGTTCTACTGCTTTTAATTTATTTTTCCACAAAAGGTTCATGCGTACGTTGTTTCTGGGTTACACCAAATAGAAAAAAGCCTTAAAATAACTTTCTTCATGATCTTTAGGCTGATTGAACTGATCATATTAAGCAGTGGTGTGCTGTTTATTAACCGTGTGCTGTGTGTTTTACGAACAGTTTAACTAGTGAAAATTCTTGTAGAAGACTGGATGTTTCTCTAACATGGATGTTGTTTTTCAGAGAAGACTACATCACAAAGAAAAATGAGGAAAGGAAAAACTACAGAGCGGAAACTAAAGCAAAAGTTAAACAGTAAGTCCATAAGATTTAGACGACCAACAGGCCCGTTCTACTTTCGGAGCTTCTGGGTAATTCATTCATGGCTTCTCTCAGTTTCACCTGACCAGCCGTAAATGAACATTTTCCAGTCAAATTTCAGGAACCAATGGTATACCTGAAAACCGCGCTTCTTCTGGTCATTGAATGTAACTTTTTACCTCACAGCTGCTTTCCCTGCAGTTCCCTGAGTGGAGTTTACTACGCCATGCTTTGACAGGAACATTTTTTATGTTGTTGATGTCTGTGGCCACCTTTTGACACTGATCAGTGATGTCACATTGCCATAACGGTTGCAATATGCTGACATCTTGGCGAAGTCTTGAAAGAGACAAGTTGGTTTATAGACGCAGAGAAATTTCTGGGAAGGGGGGAAGGTGACGAGGAAATACGCCATCACCTTCCCTCGTCCCAGAAATTTCTCTGAACTCCTGTAGTGGAAACATGACTTCTGATGAAAAATTAACAGTATGTTTTGTATAAAAATAAATGTTTTTATTAATTTTTTTGTTTAGGGAAAAGGATCAACAGCAGAAACTAGCAGAAGAAAAAGAAATGGTAAGATTTCTCCATAAAACATAGTTTGTTTCTGTGTTACAAACCGAATCTTGCTAATAGTTTGTTGTTCCAGGGTTTGCTGTTGGAGGAAAAGACCGGCTGCTTGCTGAAGTTTTCTGGGGAGCTGAAAGACGTTTCAAGAGAGGACTTTCACGCATTGTTCTCCGGGCACGGAAAGATTAAGTGGGTTGACTTCACAAGAGGGGCCAAGGAGGTAAGTTGTCCTCCCAACAAGTTAGGGATGCACCGATGGATCAGCATTTGATCCCAATCGGCCGATAGCGCCCCTATCGGTTTTGATCTGAGTTTTCAAAATAGATCAAAGCAGACCGATCAGGTAGGGTTGTCACGGTAACCGGTGTAGCGGTAAACCCCGGTAAAAAAAAGTTGACAATAATAATAACCGTTTTGTTTTTTAAAAAACTATATTATCTCTGTGGCTTTACCGTGGCTGCGGTGTAGGCGCGGTGACCCTTACCAGCCACCGTATCATCTGCTGAAGTTGCCGGCGGCACATGCGCGCTTTGTTGTTTACAGCCAAAACTTTCTTGAAGCTAAAGCTGAAATAATGGCCAAAGGAGGAGACGGAGACACTTCAAATCTCATGAAACATCTGCGTGACCATCACCCACAACTCTACAGTCAACGCAAGGCAAGCTAACGTTAGCGTTTTAGCTAAAATGCGTGATCCGAGGATTTGGGTTGAGGGAGAATGCAACGAGTCGCTATATAAAGCAGCCGCAGCGCCGCTACCTGCATATAAACCGTGTCACGGACACCCCCATGTTGAAATGACGCTATGCATTACGGGGCTCCCAGGGGCAGATAAGAGTTGGTCTCTCTCCGAGAATAATTATGAATTTAACAATGATTACTGCCTGATGACATTTTCCCACATCTGCAAAGCTCACTGGAACACAAACCGAGGACAATATTTTCCTGATATAGGGTTTATTACTCAAGGGCAAAAAAAAGTATCTGATTAGAAGGCTACTTGAGTACTGAGTGTCATCCGATCTAATATTTTTAAAATGATGACATCAAACAGACAAAAAATAAGAAGTTATGGGCAAATATTGGTATTTTAAAGACTTAATGGGAAAAATGTAAACAAATAAACAACATTTAGGCAAAATTTAGACACAAACTGAGGACAAAATTTCCTGACATACAGGGTTTATTTAATTGTGTGAAAATGTAGCACGTTTAAAAAAAAATACCGTGATAATACCGAAAGCCATGGTAATTTTGGTCACAATAACCGTGAGGTTAAATTTTCACACCGTGACAACCCTAATACAGACCATTTTAGATTAGGTTACATTTCCTTTATTCCCAGATCATGTAGTTTGTAGCACTCATTATAATGTTGCAGAAAATTTCTGGCCAATCCACGTGATCGGCATCGGTGATCAGCATTCTTTGATATCGGTATCGGTGATAGGCAGCAAAAAACCTGATCGGTGCATCCCTACAACAAGTTCAATCTTAAAGATGAAATATAGTTGTTAAAATCTGCTTTTCTTTATTATCCAATCAAGGGGACCCTGCTTTTTGATGGGAATGCAAAAGAAGCCTTTGAAAAAGCAAAAGAGGAAAATGGAGGAGAGCTAAAAATTAAAGACGGCACAGTGACGTGGCAGGTTCTTGAGGGAGATGAGGAGAAAGAGGAACTGAAGAAGATCATCGAGGCCCAACAAGAGTCACACAACCGATTCAAAGGCAGAGGTAAACTTTACCACCCAGTTCCAGATTATTTATTAAATGGTACAAAATAAGAATGTGTTGTCAGAAAGCATCTTATACCTTGCAAAAGCACAATTTGTAGCACAGGGCTAATGTCACGTGATTGCATTAAAGGTGGAAGAGGAAGAGGAGGTGGAAGAGGGAGAGGAGGCCGAAGGGGAAGGGGTGGAAGAAGTGGGAGAGAGCAAAGAGATCAAGGAAAAACAGAGTTCCAGGGAAAGAAGACTAAATTTGAGAGTGACGATGAAGATGGGGAGGGTAAGTTTGACATATATTATTGATATTTACATTTTAAATTTTTGTAGCTTGTAATTTTTGGTCTGTTTTAATGTTGATCCACTTTTACTTTCTTCCAGCCCCAGTAGCCCCAAAGAGGGAACATGAAGATGCTGATGGTCCTCCAGCTAAAGTGATCAAAACGGATAAGGAATCCTAATGATGAGATCCAGAATTTTTCTTTTTTTAATGTGAAAAGAAATTTATTATCAACACTGAAAATGCAGAGGCATCCTGAGTCCATTCCATGAAAAGCTTCAGGCTTGGGAGAATCTTAGGAAGTCCACCTGAATGTCAACCTGAAAGAAAGAAAAAAATGCAAAGCGTTACCAGCTTTTAGCCTTTCTAAGTCCTCTTGTTTGCCTCACATCATAATATCTGTATCCTGTTTTGATTTTAGTGTATTGGACAGAAAACTGCTTTTGACAGTAATTTAATTTCAACAGAACATTTTTAGTTATTTTTTTAAGATGTAATATGTAGAATCAGTGTGCCATTGTTTTGTTTTCCATTGTAGACTTCCTACATTGAGTGATGCAGATGTGCTTATCTTCTAAGTTTGCATATGTGAAAAACAAATAAAACAATTATTAAAAAAATATACAGGTCTGTTGGAGTCTAATGGTGCGTACAAAGCCAGTGTTCTAACCGATTTCTTTTTGTGGAACTTGTAGGATGCAGGCAAGTCGTACCGTAGTTCTGCAGAGAAAATCGATCAGCATTTGGATGATTTCACTGTAGAAAAGGATGCTACTCTGTGCTCAACAAACCTGCAACAACTTCCATCTTTACTCCCCAGTCTTCTGCCTTCTTCTGTATGTGCTGCAAAATCATTATCTCAGACATTTTAACAGCTGAATAAAGTTCAGGCTCAGTTGTTAAACATAAATTTGAGTCCGGTGAATTGTTTTTGAAGATTTGTGAAAACCACGATCCTGGCTGTGTCTCATGAGCAACATACCTGTCGTGTTGACGTCTTGTGGAGCGAGTACACGGCTGTGTTTGCCATTGTTAAAGCAACTCTGAGGAACTTCATGTCCACACCTTGGATAAAGCGAAAATGCACAATATTTTCTTTTTGTTTTAAACCAAACAAAAACCATATTCTTTTGGTCTTCTAGTTTTAATTTAGGATGCAGTGATGGCAATTTAGTCCTGAGTTTTCAGGAGAAAAACTTGGATGTGATGGAATAGTACTGTGGTCAAGTGATGTTTTTCAGAGAATACATGCGAATAAGGAGGTAATACTTGTAAATTGAATGTAAATGTTTTTAAAATTACCAATGCTGATCAGCTTCTGAATTAAATATTGACGAACTTGACCAATTTTTACATCACCCATACCACAATTAAATCTTTTTTTACTTCTCATTAGAAAATTGTTCAAAAATGTTTACAATTTTCAACATTACCTCACCTTGATTGTGTTTTGTACCAAATGGTGGATTCATTATTATTGTATCAAACTTCTTGGCATATTTTTCCTCCTGGAGATGACACAAGTCACACTGGACCAAATCCACGTTGAAAATGTCGAATTCTTCTGCATTCCGTCTGAATATCTCCAGAGCGTCGTGATCTACGTCAAAACCGACACACATACTGTAGAAAAGACAAGAAATATAACTATATTGTCAAAAAAAGGAGGCTAATGTGCTGTAATGTGTGTTCTTACCTTGCATCAAGCATCGCTGCCCCGATGCTGAGGACTCCACAACCACATCCCAGATCGGCCACCAGTTTACCCTCGATGTCATCGAACGTATTATGGATCGTATAAAGCATGCACGCTGTAGGGAAAAAATTTAGAAATATTTCAAAAATATGTTTTTGTTAATAATTACTTTCATAGATGCTCTCTTAATAACATACCTGCAATATGAGGGCTAGTTGGGTACTGCTCAAGAAGGATTTTTGGCTCTTCAAACGTGTCCACTTGTTGTAGGCAGCTTTCTAACTCTTTGAGCTTCATCGCAATCTGTTAAAAAAATTACTAAAAGCTGTAAACAATTGTGTGTTTAAGGATTAAACATTCCACCCCAAAACAGCATGTATTTACGAAAACAAATCCAGACAGTCTTCTTCGTTGTATTTTCACTTTTTTAGACTCAATTTGGTGTACTGCTGCACCCTAGAGGCGAAGGCGTGAAAGTGCATTCTTGTAACAAGTAAATGAAGCCTAGAAATCTAGACGGACGGTAGCAGAAGTTGTAAAATCAGAACAGTTTTTCATGTGTCCTTTATGATATATAATACGGGAATACAAATAGAGATTATTTTAATAATCACCCTACATTTTCTGAGCAAAACAGCCATATTTATTTCCAGCGAAAAATAAAACAATTGTCAATTGTCATTTTAAGGTTAATTTAAAACACAAATACATAATGCACTTAGCAAAATTATCAAACCAAAAGTAAAGATAAAATCGACTTGGTTATGAAAATGATGTAAACTGCATACATAAAAGAATAGAATAGAAATTCCCTTTATTGTGCATCAGTAGAGAAATTCTGGTGTCAAAGCCCCAAAGATCAGATTCACAACTAGAATAAACGAGAATATCAAGTAAAGAAAAATAAAGAATAAAGGCAATGAACAAAAACACAAATACAAGAAAGATTCGATTTGATTTACCACATGAAATATATAGTATGTAAAAAGACTCAGGGAGCAAGAACATGACACATGAATGAGTATAACAACATAATTTATACTGACACTGTATTGCTTATGCCAATATAAAATCAATGCATTACTTTATTTATTTATTTGTAGGAAAAGGCATATTTTTTTCATAATTTTCAGAGTGGCTGCTAATTAATGAAGTGCAGTTTAAAAATAACATAATGACAATTTTGTTGCTTTTTTAAACATGGAAGCATAAAAAACACCATTTCAAACTGGTGCAAATAAATGTTTTTCAATTCTGATCATTTTAATTATTCACATTTTACCTAACCCACACACAGACGGACAAACCACCGCACGGCCCCAAGTTGCCTAGAGACGCTCAAACAAAACAGGACTTATATGGTGACTGTGATACATGAATTAGTTAAATAAGCAAGGTGTGTCGAATTTTTCTGCGTCAGAAAAGGGCTTAACAAAACCAAGTGCCTCGTACGGAGTTTTATAGCTATCAAAAACGGTACATAATGTACTTTGCGAATACTGTAAGCTAGTAACTATAGCGCTGAGACTTATCGCGAGAAACCCCGAGAACATGGAAACAAGACAACAAAAATAAATTTGTGGACAACAAGCCAGAGTGCATGATGGCGGCGTCGCTGCTGCACTGGGACAAGAGATCTACTGCTGCCCGCCTGAAGGCAGAGTTAACCCGGACTGACAACAGCTCCGGCCTCCGCCAGCTTCAGGAGCTGCTCGACGCTGTGCTAAATCCCGAAAAAACTGCGGACACAGAAGCTCTTGACTGGTGTAAATGTCTGATAGCAGGAGGCGAAGGTTTCGAGGAGTTCTGTAAGACGGTCCGCTCCTATGACAACGCTACTCTCTGCGGCTTGGTTTGGACGGCTAATTTCGTAGCATATCGATGTCGGACCTGTGGCATCTCTCCGTGCATGTCACTGTGTGCTGAGTGTTTCAACAACGGAGAACATACGGGCCATGATTTCAACATGTTCAGAAGCCAGGCTGGTGGGGCCTGTGATTGTGGAGACAGTAATGTCATGAGAGACAGTGGGTAAGCTAAGCTGGCTGTGCCAACTAGCAGTATCGTTTTGACAAGTGCTAGGGAGAAGTTAGCCAACATAGCTGATAAAAATTTACAGCTAATGGAGTCCGGTCAGTTTCTGTGTAATAATGTCTCAGATATTTGTAATGAAGAATTTCCAGTCATAAACAACTACGCACCCATCATTTATTTGTCAGGAAACTCACCCTTGAATATAGCATCTCTTGCCAATCATAATCGTAATTCTCGTTCAAGCATCAACAGAGGCCCTTATTTTTCTATTGCTTCTCAGTTACTACTTAGGTGTTTCCTGGAAGGTTTACTACACCCGTATTATTTTTTGTATTAAAACAGGCTTTTTTTAATAAAACAACTCCAATTTTCTATCAACGTCAGTGTGCAGTTATGCACTTACACGAATAATTATAGAACATATTAAAGGCATCAGAGTCTAAAATAATCTTAGATGAATGAGCATCTTCTGCAGATTCCTACAGTAGTCATAAAACAAAGGTTCTTGCGGTCAATCATAGTTTTATTTCTGATTTTTTTTAGACATTAGAGGCCTGCTAGTGCCTACTGTTTGGAGTCGGTCATTTCATTCATGTCAGTCTGATGAAGGGATATTTTATTTTATGTTATGTTTGCGCTACACGGTGTAAAAAAGAAGAAAAATGAATAAAAAACGTTCTAATCTAACTGGAGATCCACCGACATGGGGTTTTCTATTGCTGATTTCGATGTTAACACGTAGAGGTCACAGTCAGCCCATGGCCGATATGTACTGACAGTTTCATCTGCATGCCTTTGTGCACAGCATAGTATTAAAGTCAAACATTCAACAAAAGTTAATCAAACAAATCATTAAACTGACCAAGTATTAAATATACTAAAATCAGGTAAATAAAAAATGTCAATTGACAATAATGTTTTGGAGCATTTATTTAGCAGATGTTTTTTAGAAATGTAAAAATACGTTAAAATAAAGTTTTGCAGCAGCAGCGGGCTGCCCATAAATGTGCCTGTCTTTAAAAAGGTGCTACTAGGAGATAGTGTAAGTGGATCCCAGTGCAAGTGGAAATGTCTAGAAATGCTGAAACAAACACATTGAGGGAAAAGGGTGAACATTTTTAAAAGAAAAGATTGTTTGACAGAGGGGAATGAAAAAATTGTGCACTAATGCATCTAAATGCAAAAATAAAGCAAAATAAAGCATAAAGCAAAATGCTGCTCTGCTAAATAATTGTGAGAAGAAATTGGTGCAAAAATTGAGACATGCATCGGTTCTGTTGGCAAAATTGTTAGAGTTGATGTAAATGTGCGCACCTGCAAGAGTAAAGTGGAGGAATACTCGTTTGTGTTACAATATTTTTTTATTTCTTGACAGCTTTTGCCAAAGGCATAGGTTGCAAACTGGAGAAAATGTCCCATCAATACCTCGAGATCTTCTTCTGATGTCTGAGATGGTTCTCCCTCGCTTTATCCTCAGCACCATACAATATCTGAGGGATGGATACATTGAATCAGGTAAAAACTATTTCCCCGTAAAGGTACTGTGAGTCTTTACCCAGTAACAACGTTTAAATTAAGACTTTGTAATGAAATACAATTTAAAACGTATGATATCTTGTATATAATCCACTTTATAAATAGTATGTTTACAAGTTGCCAAACAAAATCTGTTGTGCATGAGTGAAACTTTATTACACAACTGTTTGAACCCTGGGTCTCATGACTTATGTTGCTTATCTGGTTTTACCAGACACATCAGCTGAGCGAGACCTACAGAAAGTTCTACAACAGCTGGAGCCTCAGATCTCCTTCTTGGAAGAGCTCACAAAGATGGGAGGAGCAATGAGGACTGTCCTGACAAAGATCTTAACCAATCAGCAGACATACAAGGAGCTGAGCATGGGTAACTGGAAATAAAATGGATGGATATGTGTCTTTTTTTATTTTTGTCAAAAATATTTTTTGAGTAATATTTGTTATTTTCTGGAAAAGAGACGTTTATTTGGGAAGATTTTCTTGTTATCCTAATTGTTGATAGCCTTTCTATTCTTGACCCGTTTTAGGCCAGGAAGAGAACCTTTTTTCTAAAAAGAACTATGAAAAGTACCTGGCAGCACTGAAGAATTCAGGTCTGGTATCTGTGGAGGAGAAAGCTCAAGCTGCTACAGCCGATGTTACCGTTGGAGCAGAAGGAGGTGCAGGAGCCATGGTCCTGCTAGGTAAGACCAATAGATTTCAAACGTCCACATTTCTTGTTTAAATGTTCTGGTGGCAATTAAAAGTTTTACGTTAAAGGGGCATTATGGAAGTTTGACAGCCAAAACATGTATAGAAATAATAAATTTCTTCTTCATACATTCTCCTGCAATGCCCTGGTCCTGTAGAATGAGCCCTGGCATTTTTACTGTGATTGCCTGTTTTTCTGTAAAATCACAGAAAAAGAGAGCTGCTCGGGTCGAGCAGGCTGCTTCATGCGCGTTCACGCTCAGGCATCGCCCGTAGCATTTGCTATCTGTAGCTTTAGCAGCAGAGAGTGAGGTAGTGCCAACTCAGTGACTTTGTCGCTGTTCCTAACGCCTAGTGATGAACCTAGCTACATTTCTGAGGACGCTTAGCTACTTTCTGTAGAATTTTCTTCTAGATATTTCCTGCAAATTAGCAACAAAATTGCCATTTTTGTTCCGAACCGTTCTTTGAACGTTGTTTCAGCTGTCATCAAGGATATAAATGTTACAGATACAAAAGACGTCACTGGCGCTTTAGCTCCCTCGGACTTTCGTGCAGAAGACCTGGGTTCGATTCTGGGTGTGAATATAGTTTATTCAGAGTGTATTTTTTACATTAATGGTATATTTTTTTACAGTAAGATGCCCAAATTTTTATTTGAGACTCGCCAAACGGCATTGAATTCACAGATAAAAAAGATGTGGGTTCAACTTTCATTTTGGAACAATTTTTCAAGCAAGGGAAGAGAATGATTTGAGCATGCAGGACGACTGACCCATCTTAAACCTTGGTCGGCTGTGCTGAAGAGAAAGGTACAGAACCAAATTATTTAATTAATTAGCTGCGCATTCTCCTGTCCTCTGGCCTCCGTGCCACACGCACACACGCACGCACGCACGCACACACACACACACACACACACACACAAGGGACTGTCTCAGCTGCTATTTTCGTTAAGGAGTGTGCACGTACAGCATGCGCGCCTCGTGCACGAGCCTACTATTGAAGCTGCCGTTACGCTTTTGGCCTGAGGGGGCAATTGCGAGCATAAAAATTCAAAACTCCGTAAAGTCCCTTCAAGGAAGGGGAACAAGTTTATGTTACCTTTCGATTGGATTTAAAACACATTTTCGAGCAGGAGGGTGACTGAAAGAATGAAGCATTTGGAAGATAATCCAGACACCTCATCAAAGTTGAATCCATATTTTTGCTTTTGTTAGTTTTATTTGCATCGTTCCTGTTTTAAAACAAAAAACTGCTGAAAATACATGCCTTCTGCATTGTCAGTAACATGCTTCTACCACGACAGATGAATTATTTAGATAAACAAATGTTCTGGACAACATGTGTAAACATCACAGCAGTTGGACAGAAAGTACATTTTGTTCCAAAATGTTTTAATAATAAAAAAAAAAACTGAAAAATGAAATATTGAAAAAGTGGTCTTCTTGTAACTTTGATAATATTTTTAGGGTCTAAATCAGATGTTTGTTGCATGTTTTAGTCAAAACACCACAGATATGCTGTTTAAAGGTTTAGTTTTTTTTACTCTTTTTAACCAAATGTTGTGTTTTTAAAACTACCAAACATCCTAATAGGGGCCCATATTGGTGGTTTGTAGGTTTAGTTGAAAAAAAAAAAAGCATTTTATACTTTTTTTATTGACCATTTGAGATAAAATATTTTACTGTTTCCTCAGGATCTACTGGACCAGGCAGTCCAGATGAATCTACTAAAGAGGCATGTGTCACATAGAGATTTTGTCTATTCTGCACTGGATGTGATATTTGTGGTTTTGACCATCTTTCACCATCTTTCTCAGGAGGATCAAGATGGAGGCCAGTCGGTTGGCCAGAGAAAGAGGGTTAAACTCAGCAGCAGTACCAAAGGTAAAAAAAAAAGAAAGAAGAAAAAGATAATATAGCCATGCAAGAACACAACTAAATCGTATGTCTTCTTCTTTCAGACCCTTTCATCATTGAATCACTAAAGCATAAATGCTTTCTGGAGGAGTTGCTGTTTTGGACAATAAAATTTGAGTTTCCCCAGAAAATGGTCACATTCTTATTAAACATGCTACCAGATCAGGATTACAAGGTATTTATTCATTATAATCTGCCTTTGCTTGTAATATAATTTCTTTGCATCACAAAACAAAAGCTTTTGATTAAATTTTGTCTTGTTTATAACACTATATTCATCACAACTGGAACCTGCAAATGTGTTTACTCCCCTCTGGCAGATCACATTTACAAAAACATTTGTTCAGCATTACGCCTTCATCATGAAAACGCTGATGAAAAGCCACGAGTCTGATACTATGTCAAACCGCATCGTGCACATCAGCGTGCAACTGTTCAGCAATGAGGAGCTGGCTCGGCACATGACGGAGGAGTGCCATCTGCTGGACATCATGGTCATGGTCCTTCATTACATGATGGAGAGTTGCCTTGTTAAAAGTGAACTCCAGGGTAAGTTACTCACATGTTCTCTGATTAGTGGGTTGAATTGGTACTTATTTGGCCTGTAGGTGAAATAAAATAATGATTTTCCAAGGCGTCTAACTAAAACTGAGCTGTAAGGCATCATGCATCATCTCATGGGAGCCAGAAACTCATTGTGTAAATAATTGATCAATGTGTTTTGATGCTCCTTTACTGTCCAAGATCCAACTATATGTTGTTAAAATGGGACATGATGATGCAAAACTCACTTTTTGTGCTGCTAGGTCGGCTTCTACTGCCCCAATAAACGCTTCAAACATGAAAAAAAAAACCCTTCCATACGTTTTCTGTCAGTTTGGTTTTAGGAATGATATGCCTAAAACAAGCCATTTCAAAAACTCCCGATTGTAATGTCACAAACACGGAAAGTAGAATAGAAGCACCTCGCACAAACAAGAGAGGAACTCCAAAGTCTTCTCAGACATTTGAGCTTCTCAGCTTACAGCAGCCTGAGCAAAGGATGGGTGAACGTGGCCAGCTCCAGCTTGTCTTCTTAAAGTGACAGAGCTCTGAAACGGCTCGTTCTGGAAGGTACTGAAACTGTCGCGAACGAAACCGCTAAAATCTCTTTCTGAGTGGGATGTAGTGCAAAGAACTTCATGAACATGTTTGATATTGGCCATAGAACTATTATAACTTAAGATAAAATGTCATAACATGTCCCCTTTAACAAAAGCTGCATTCCCTCCTGCTTTAAAGGTGCAATAGGAGATGGTTTTCTTGACCTTTTTTGGCAGTTTGCATTTCCATCACCTCTGAGATGTACAATCCTGGAAAAATTCAGCCAGTCATTTGTTCAGGTTTGGTTGTGGAAGTTTAGACCTGTTGTTTGTGGGATTTTCACAGATTGCTCGTGGCACTATGCTGCTGTGATTTTGTTTTAAAAAGTTGAGGATAAAACAGGAAAGCTAAAACTGCCTCATTTTTCACCATAAAAACCGTACATTATATTATCTAGCACACTAAATCGTTTCAGTTACACGGGTGTGTTACGTTAGGAATTATGGCAGGAAAGGTGCTAACAATTGGCCTAAAACAGGCATTTTGCATTCCCGTATTCTGGAGATGTGGCTTAGGTGGGGTTGTGTCCAACAGCTTTTCTAGAGCTTATATCCTACTTTTATTGGTGATGGAGTCCAGAATCCATTCCAGTAGCCGTGAAAATTGTTATTTCAGCTAAGGTTGTCGGTCACCCCATCATTTGATGCAAGACTTTTCATTACTACCAATAAAATTTATGATTTCTTAATTTTTCTGCTTTGTTTGGCTTTTGCTTCAAATCTTAGAGATCTCCCCTTCGTATTGTCTGAATTTAGCATTTTATCCCTAAAATTGAATGCCTTTTTAAAAGTCCTCATCACACACTGGTGAAATTACATCTCTGCATTTGACCCACTCCCTTGGGGAGCAGTGAGCTGCAGCCGTGGCTGTGCTCGGGAACTATATGGTTCCCTTAAAGCTGAGTGTCAAGCGGGGAGGAATTGGGCCCCATTTTTAAAGGCTTTGGTATGACCAGACTGGATTTGAACTCCAATCTCCCAGTCCCAGGGCAGACACTCTACCACTAGGCCATTGAGAAGGTTTTCTCTAATTTATTAATTACTGTTATGTGGAGCAGACCTCACGATGGATGCTGAATTCAAATTGGTTCTAAAAATAATTCAAAAAATGTGTTTAATTGAAAAAAGCTAAAAAATGAATACAAAAACTGTAGTTTAAATTGGAACAGGCCAACTTCAGTATTCATTAAAATAAATAATCAGATTAAATCTCAGTTTGAATAACAGACTAAAATCAGACTATTTAACCCTCCCATTTTGCTGAATCATGTATTTCTAGCTGTATTAAATTTTCATTTCATGTTTCTTTTAAAATAAAAACTATCTCGTGATAACCTGACATCTTCACGTTTTCATTTTATTTTATTTTTAGATGAAGAAAACAATCGGCATGTTGTGGTAAACTGCAGTGAAGCGCTGCTGAAGAACAACACATACTGGCCCCTAGTTAGTGATTTCATTAACATCCTCTCACACCAAAGTGTAGCCAAAAAGTTCCTGGAGGACCACTCCTTACTGATGCTGTGGATGAGCTTTGTTTCATTTTTCCAAGGTAAGTCGTTGTTTTATTTTTTATGGAGACACGTTCACGGTGGCTCAGTGGTGTCAAATTTCATTTCAAGTTTTTACTCTTCCTCTATTGCATTTTTAGTTTTTATTTTATCTTCGTAATGTTTGTTGCTGTTGCTCTAAAGTGGTTTATTCAGGTCTGTGCATTGTCATTTATGCTCAAATAATTACCAAATGCTAAGGCAGCAAAATAAACATGGGTTGTCTGTTTAAGGGCCTCAGAGGCTGCAGCAGTTTTGCTGGTTATAGGTCAATTTGAGGTCCGTTTTAAATAAATTCATCAAACTAATCCTAGTCAGCCCAATGTATTTCTTTAAAGTCTCACAAAAGAAGTGATTTGTGGGTACTAGCTTGTCACATGTACTCTGCCACGGCTCTAAAAAGAACTCACCCTTGTAGCCTGAGTATCCTCTTGCTTACAGTTTGAGCACAGTGTCACTATCACATTGTGTCCGTTTGTGCACGTCTCTCGCGGTGAAATGACTCATTTGACCAGGGATTCTTGCTGATCAAGTGCATTAATTATGCAAATATTTAATCAAATATAAACAAATATTTAAAGGTGTCCTTGAAGGGAAAACCACATTTACCTTGTTGTTGAGGGATACAGGCAGCTTTGGGTGTTTGATGTAGCATATCAGTGTGAGCAATATCTGGCGACGGCCACGGAGAAACGGTTCGTTTTGAGAAAAGCTGGTTTAACGTGTCATAAGTGTAAACATCCCACCTTAAATTTGCATGTCCCGACCTACTTCAACGTCAACTACTGGTGCGACGGATCAAAAAACTCTCGGTTCAGATCGGATCATTTTTTGGATCAGCAGAAAGAAAGAGAAAAAACAGAAAACACAAATAGCTTTGTTTTGTAAAACACTCAGTGAAACATTTCTCTGCTCAATTTGCAACTTTCCATAGAAATGGGAATTACAGAGGGGGTTCTATTGCTGATTAAATGATAAAGCGGCTTACCATTGGGGTGCAGTCAGAGGTACGTTAGAGCGGCGCTGTGCCATCAGATTGGAGGCACGCACGTGTGTGTGTTCATTCTTGCAGTTTGTATCATCATTGTTTTTAACAGGGAAGCCAAGATGCTCCCATACACACAACGTAAACGATGCAGGTGGATTTTCAAGCGTCTCTCCTCCTCCGCCATGACCACTGCTGTCATTCGGATTGAACTAGTGGCGCCTCGTTCATGCACGCGACCAATCCGTGGATCATGTGTGTGCCGAACTGTAGAGAGAGATCCATGCAGATCACGGATCAATGATGACCCGTTACACTCCTAACGTCAACTAATATAAATGTTGGCCACAATAATGCTAACTGCTAATGTCCTTGTTGGATGAGAGGAAAATGTTGACGTACTGGGAATATCTAGTCTTTGAATAACAGATAGATCCAAAGCGCCGGATGAACTTCCTCGTTCGTCCACAAACCCGCAGAAAACAGAGTTTCTAGCTTTGGGCAAATTCATGGAGTCAGCGGGGTAAATCAGCTTATTGGCACACTGCTCGTTTAATATCCCATGTCCTGGCTGAGTGGGCCTTTAAACATAACTGTCAAGAGTCAGTTAAATCATATTTGAAATAATTTCTTCCTCTTTAAAGGGATGAATCTGAACAAACGAGAGTTGAACGAACATGTGGAGTTTGAGTCTCAGACATACTATGCAGCATTCGCCGCAGAGCTAGAGGCCTGTGCACAACCTATGTGGGGTCTCTTAACACACTGCAAAGTCAAAGTAAGACCTGTTTTTGCAAAGAGTACATTTATCTTATTCGTATGTAGTTTTATCTGAAAGTTGAATTTAATTTCATGTGAACAGGAGACTCAGGAATACACAAAAACTGTGGTTCGCTACTGTTTGGAGGCCCTGCAGATCTGGTTTGATGCCATTGGCTTCATTGATGAGGTGAATTTGAATTGTCTGCATTTCCAAATGCATTTTCTGTCTTTCCATGTTTCTCATTGACTGTTTTCCATTTTAGCCAGCTCAGCATCAAGTGACGTTCCACCTGCCGCTCCACCGCTACTATGCCATGTTCCTCAGCAGGGTATGTTCGAGGCTCTCATCTCTTAATAAACAACCTGTTGCTTTGTGTTTGAAAGTTAATTGTTTGGTTAAAACTCCCCAGGCTGTAAAATGCCAAAGTTTGGATTTGGACAGCCTGCTGCCAGACCAAGAGATGCTGATGAAGATCATGGTGCATCCTCTCCAAATCCAGGTAGAATGCCCAAAGGCCAGTGGACTTGACCTTTTTAGCTGTATGCCGATGCACATCTGTTGTGTGTTAGTTACAGATGTTCTGTTTTTGTAGGCGTGTCTTTCTGAGATCCACAGCAACATGTGGGTCAGAAATGGTCTGCAGATAAAAGGACAAGCTATGACTTACGTGCAATCACACTTCTGCAACTCCATGATTGACCCAGACATCTATCTACTCCAGGTTAGAGATACTGGAACATAAACAGCTCTCTGTATCATTCTCATCTTTTGTGTCGGCTTCATGAGTAATAATGTTTATGTTTATGTATTTAGCAGATGCTAAGCGACTTAGAAGCGATGATGAAGCCAGCAGGTTGCCCTTGAGGCTAACAACAAACACTAATCAGTCAGTCCCAGGTGGCAGTGAGGCAGCATAATCAATCATGAAGGGAAGTGAACAAGGAGTGGACAAAAGAGTAGGGATGGGTGCAGGGAGGATCCTGGTTTAGAAGATGCTCTCTGAAGAGCTGGGTCTTCAGGAGTTTCTTGAAAGTCGACAAGGACGTCCCTGTTCTAGTAGTGCTTGGTAGGTCGTTCCACATCTGTGGAATGACGCACGGAAGAGTCTGGATTGTCTTGAGCGTGGTGTAGGCTCTGCTAGCCGACGATCCTTAGATGACCAGAGCAGCCAGGCCGTGACGTAAGCCTTTACAAGAGGGTTCAGGTAGATGGGAGCTGTGTCATCCAGGACTTTGTTTGCTACTGTTAGCGATTTGAATTTGATGCGCGCTGCTAGCGGTAACCAATGGAGATCAATGGATAGAGGGGTGACGTGTGCACTTTTAGGCTGATTGAAGACCAGATGCACCGCTGCATTCTGGACTATTTAAAGAGGTCTCACAGTGCAGGCTGGAAGACCAGTTAGAAGGGCATTGCAGTAGTCGAGGCGGGAGATGACAGTAGATTGCACCAGGAGCTGGGTGGCATGTTGTGTTACTCCTGCTTTCCACCGGAGCCGTCAGCAGCAAGTTGCTGCAGCAGCACGTCTTGCTCGCGTATGCTGCTGCTTGGCCCTTCCCACGAGACGCGAAGCAGCAGGGGAGCAGCTGTCACCGACAGAGCACGAAGTCACGCGACATGAGCAAAATCACGCGTGACTTCGTCAGTAAACGCAAAACAAGCAGGAGAAAACTACAACATGGCTCACATAACTCACCATCTTGCCCCAAAACCGCAGATACGTCACTCCATGCGTTATCCTTCTTGATGTTGTCTTTATAAAAACCGTGACTGGGATCAAACAGCATTGGGTACTTCTCCACTTCAGTAGTCAACCTTTCGTCGTCCATTATGGAAAAACAAAGGAGACCGCTAGCTAGGTGATAACTTTTTTTTAAAGTAAAGCAACCGGAAGGCAGTACGTTTCTTCATTCTGAAAATCTCGGGAAGCTTCGCTCCATTTCCGCGTCCGATTTCCTGTCTTTCCTTCCCCAAAAATGTCGAACTTGACCCGTTTCAGAGGCGTAGCGCGTAGAAAATAGAACCGGCGCGTCAGGGCCGCGACATGCTGCTCCTGAGACGCGGCCGACTCGCGCTGCTGACGGCTCCGTCACGGCACCGGTGGAAAGGAGGGGTTAGGTATGGCCTGGTCTTTCGAATGTTATGCAGTGCGAAGCGGCATGAACGAGTGACAGAGGCAACGTGGTATTTTAAGGTCAGCTGGTCATCAATCACAACACCCACATTTCGAACTGCCTTTGAAGGAGCCAGAGACGGACAATCATTTTGGATAGAGATGTTATGCTGTAAACTAGTAAACCGTGTTGATGTTTATTTTTGTAGGTTTGCGCATCAAGACTGGATCCTGACTATTTTATCTCAAGTGTCTTTGAGAGGTAAGCTGCTGCATTTCTGTGCTGCAGACGGCGTTTTTAATTTCCAGACTTTAAAGTAAAATTTGTATGCTCTTCCCCGATTCAGATTTAAAGTAGTCGACCTTTTGACGATGGCGTCTCAGCACCAAAACGCCGTGTTGGACTCTGAGCAGGAGAGGCCGATGCTAGAAGGAGCACTGACCTTTCTGGTCATCCTGACGAGCCTTCGCATTCACCTGGGTAAGTCTGGTAAATAACTTGGCTATAAACGTTTAAACAGATCTAGTGGTCAGTTGTGAATAACGGCTATTCCCTCCGTCTGTTGTCTTTCCACTCACAGGAATGACGGATGATGAAATCCTTCGAGCCGAGATGGTCTCGCAGCTGTGCATGAACGACCGTACGCACAGTGCGCTATTAGATCTCGTATCCTTCGGTGCTTCGTGTTTATGTTATGGATACATAATTTCACCCATAAGCGCTTCTGTTCCTTAATAGTATTCCCATTAGATTCCTGAAAATCCCAACCCAAAGAGTGGCATTGTACCAGGTAGCTGTAGCTTTGAGGATGTGCTCTCTGCCGTGGCTGATTTCAAAGCTCCAGTGTTTGAGCCTGGAGGCTCCATGCAGCAGGGAATGTACACACCCAAAGGTGAGAGGACGCTATGTCCGATTTTCCTGGTGTGTACAAAGCTGCTGTCATTTTCATGTTTGCATATTAAACATTTTATATATTTGAGCATGTGTTCAGTTCACCGCCTGCAATGTTTTAGTCGAAGAGCTGCACATGAAACACATGAGAGCTCTGGGAAAATAATTTAATAGTTGTTTGTTTTTTTTAACAGTGTTTTAAACAGTAAATTGAAGGAGAAATAAGTTAAGTATTGGTTATTTTTTGTAACTACAGTGATCCCTCGCTACTTAGCAGTTCGTTTAATGCGGATTCACGACTTCGCGGGTTTTTTTCTTTGGAGCCTTATTCAAGGGAAATTTGCCGATTCGCGGTATTTTTCTATGCGAAATATCAAGAAATTCCTGTTTTTTTTCATCAATTTCATCATAAAATGCACTTTTTTTAAATAAAACTATAAAAAAACCAAGTAAAAATTTTTTTTCTTGAGTTTTACCCACAAAAAGAGAATGTGATCATACGATAATTCAATATAGTACTGTACTGTAAATATGGTGTCCCTACTTTGCGGATTTTCACCTATCGCGGCCAGGTCTGGAACGCATCTACCGCGATAAACGAGGGATCACTGTACACATGTATATTAGTACTTATGAATAGAAAGAGTAGAAAGGATCAGCTGGAAGTTCAGATTTTTAGTTCATGAAAGATTTGGGGGCCACTTGGGGGCAGACTTGCACCGCTTAGAAAAGATGGAGAAAAAAGAAAGGTCAGTCGATATGACGTAACAACAGTAACAAAGCATTTCAATTTCTCTTCTCAAATAGCCGAGGTGTGGGAGAAGGAGTTCGACCCCATCATGGTCGTTCTCAGAACAGTCTATCGCCGTGATGTCCAGTCAGCCATGGACAGATACTCAGCTTTGTAAGTTTACATCACTGCCTTACCTTCACACTGTCTGCTGTCTAGTCTCTGTTTAGCAGCATTTATGTTAGCAAATGTGTTTTCGGTCATTTCTGATGCAAATCAGTGTAAATAAAGCCCCGTTCAGTGTCTTAAACTCACCTTCTCATGAAAGGACGACGGGAGAAAGGTCAGGTGACCCGGTGAAACAGAAGTCGACAAAAATCAATATTTTTCTCCACCTTGTTTGTAGCCAATATGTCCTCCTGGATGAAACTTGTCTTTGGGGGAGAAATAATTCCCAGGGTGTTAATTTCCTTTGAGGTTTAATGAATGAAGATGTTAAATATGCTAAATTAACCAAAGATAACTTTCTGACAAAATATTTTAAACACATGGGCGTGTTCTTACATTTTCTTTAAATTAACTTTTTGCCATAAATTAAGTATTTTAGGTAGAAGAAAACACGGAAGACTTTTTTTGTCTTCGTTTAGTTTCAGTCACATTTGGTCTGGTGACTAAATGAAGTGATGAAGTTTTTATTAGCTGCTTTATTAGAAATACTCAGAACTCTTGTGATTAAAATCAGGATTCTTACTTTTTTTCCATCATGAATCTACTTTAATAGTTTTGTAGTCATTTTAGAAATTACACAATTTTTTTTCTAATAAGTTACCAATAAGAATATGGATTTTTTCCCCCTATGAGATGTTGATATTAGTTGAAAATGGTGTAAAAAGCATGTATAAATCTAAAATGTTAGATTTAGTGTCACACTTAAGACATTGTGGAAGGTCCAAAAACCACTTGTGGCTCCAGAGCTGCAGGTTTCAGAGCCCTGGTCGTAACTAGACGACATCGGAATCATCTCGGCTGTTGTTCTTTTTAGAGCCCGACAAATATGGGTTTTTTAAGGCCGATGCCGATTTTTAAAGAATTTTGCTGCCGATGGCCGATATCTAAAGCTGGTTATTAAGGCCAATACATACATGTTTTAGCAGCACATTGAGTGTGAAAGACAACTGAACACTCACTGTGTGCAATATAAATTAAATAAGTCAATAAATCTTTTAATATTTATTGAACTTCAAATACAAACAAATTAAAACAAACTGAAAACATTAAAAAAACTGTGTTGGGTTCCTTCGGGTCCTTTCTTCAGTCTAGTTGTGGTGGCAATTGGCCACACAGGTGCCGAATTTATTTAAAAACATTTTTTTCAAATCAGCTATTAAAAAGGATTTCGGCCGATGGCCGATATAGAAAAGATTAGACATATCGGCCGGCCTCTAGTTCTTTTGCTAGAGATTAATTTTGTTTAATAAAAGTGTTTGTTTAACTTTATTCTTGTTATTTTTGTAAGCAGTAGGTCTACAATATTTTCCATGAGGGAGTGAGCCCCCTGTTCTCTCCTGTGTCTGCAAGCGACTTCAGGCCTTTTCTAGCTACCCTTACAACTTAGAAAAAGTGTTTTTGCTGTCAGCTTTTAGTATCCAGAACTAACAAAACCAGACGTGTCTCTGTGCCACCTTCAGAGTCTCATTCACTCTGGCTGGCGGTTATTGGTTGCATGTCAGGACGACCCAGTCACTAAAAGGTGCTGCCTGTCAGCTGTTCTCTTGCATAGAGAGAAACCGGAGTGGTTTGTTGTTGTTGTTGTTTGTGTTTTCTCTGATATGAATTATTTTTTGCCTTTCCCCTTGTCCTGATCTAGTTTGAAACAGTTTGGCATTCAAACTGGAAACCCGTGGCCACCGTACAAGGAGAGGACTCCTCTGCATCCCTGTTACAAAGGTTTAATCCAGCTGCTGCACTGCAAGACTTTGCACATCGTGATCTTTACTCTCCTTTACAAGGTATTCATGTGACCACGTCTTTGCATCTCATTTTGCTCTAAGTTTGCTCTCACTTAGTCCATGACTTTGATTGTTGGCAGAGCACTGGTAAGGTGTAGAATAATGACCAGATGAATTGTTATTATGGTGTCATCCTGTACTATTTGCTTCTGTGTAACGTTGTTTCAGATATGGATGGATCACCAGAACATGTCGGAGCACGTGCTGTGCATGGTTCTGTACCTGATCGAGCTGGGCTTAGACAACCAGGTTCAGGACAACAAGGAGGATGAGGTGATTTACTGAAGATAAATGAAGGAATAAAACACCCCCAAAAAAACCAGGACTTTTCTGTTCACACCGGATCTTCTCACTGATATTCTGCTTCCAGGAGCCTTGCATCGAGGAGCACTGTCATGACAGCTGGTTCCCAGGCACCAATCTTCTTTCCAATCTGCACCATGTCATCAACTTTGTAAGGGTTAGAGTTCCTGAAACGGCTCCTGAGGTGAAGAGGGAGGCCCCTCCCAGTACCAGCACTGAGGCTTCCTCCTACGGCCAGGCAAGTGATGGCTCTAATCAGGCTCCGTTACCGTCAGAAAAGTCCCTGCAATAAACTATTAGACTAAAACAATGTTATTCAGCAGGGAAATGATGGCTTTGATGTCCTCAGGGGAGTGAAGTAAAAAGGAAACACTTGAAATCACTTTACGTTAAAACATAAACAAATTCTTGCATGAAAAGCAGTTTCAGTGTTGTGGGAACTCTCACGCAGAATTAAAAGATATATCAGGAAATATATGGCGTTTAATCCACTATCAGATAAACAAAGGTCTGATGAAAACATCGTTGTTCATCAGTTTGTGTTTGTTCAGGATATCGAATCAGTCATTTTAAGTTTTCACAGACACCACTCGTTTATCTCCCAGCTGTAGCTGGAAGGCATTCATTTGTCAGAATTAAGAGGCCTTCATGGATTTGTTTCCTGACGTGTTCATTTATTCTGTATAACTCATCTGTTATCTTCTTGTTCATTCTGCTGTACTCCTCCTGCAGAACTCCAGGCGTCTCTCAGGAAACTGGAGAGAGGTAGCCGTCTGCCCCCGTTCCAATAAAACAGTCTAATGACTTTAATGGCGCAAGCAGCAGCAGCAGCAGCATTTGTCAATTTTACTTTTATTCTAAAACACTTTCTTTGCATGCGTTTGTTTTTGTGTGGTATTTTTATTTTTTCCTCCAGAACGAGTTCTACCTCGGTGTATTGAGGCGTGAATATAACGCCGTGCTTCAGCAGCTCCCCTCCCTGTTGACTGCTGAAACTAATTACCTGTGCGGTGCAGGTTCGGCGTAAACGATTTTTAACCGCATGCCAGAATGATTGATGGTAGCTTGACTGGGCTGTATGATGTATGTTTATTTAACAGTGCAGCTCAGGTCCTCCGCCGTCAGGCCGGGTCGTGCCAATCCTTCAGAGGGCTTGTGTGTTTTACATGAGGCCGATTTGATTTTTCTGCAGTAATATGGTTGTCACGAGCGCCGTCAGCAGAGGTGAAATGTCAGCTGAAATTTCATAATGGGCTTTTGATTTGACCTGTATTGTTCCTGTCTGGATATGGTAATGAGACGTTTCACCAATCCATCAAAATCTATCTGACTGATAGTGTTGTCTTGCTAGGAAATGGCGTTTGTGCTTAAACACTTATCTGCCATGCACACAGATGCAGGTGAAATTATGTTTGTAACAGGAAGTTATGATGTTGTAAGTTCTTGTGCAACGCTACAGTCGAGCCCGACCATAAAGGCTTCAACAGATGTTGGGTTTTATGTAAATAAATTCATTTCTTGTTGTTTTAGAACCTACGGGAGGCTCAGGTGTTCAGCCTGGTGGCAGAGCGCAGGAGGAAGTTCCAGGAGATAATCAACCGAAGCAACACCGAAGCCGCTCAGGTCGTCAGGCCCAAGAGCTCCTCTACACGCTGGGTTTCACCTGGGACGCCCCCCCAGCTGGTCACCGAGATCCTGGAGATCCGAGAAAGCATGCTGTCCCTCCTTGTCAAGCTCCACCAGAAGATGTCGTTAAAGCAGAACTCTCTGTCGACGTCCTGGCTGGAGGACATGGACACGAGTCGCCACACACATGGAGACGGCATTACGGCCATCGAACGCATCCTCACCAAGGCGGCCACACGCAGCTGCCAGATCAAGCGGAGCATCCAGGACATTTGTGGGAAGGTTTGTCCTCCAGTGCCACCAAAGAAGAACAGTCCCACGGACAAGAAAACCATGGACAAAGAAGAAAGGTCATTTAATAATCTGTTTACTAACCAATGAAGTTGAAAGGAGCTTTTTAAGTTTAATAACAAGGTGCAAGTTTTACTCCACTGAGAATATTATAAGTCCCTTTTACATGGATCAAACCTGTTTCCACGGTAACTGACAGATGGCAAACCAAGAAGCCTGTATTTGAAGTGGTCGACATCACTGAGAGGGAAATTGAGCTATGATGCCCCTGTTAGCATTTATCTGTCACATTTTATTTACACCGACCCATTATTATATTTATTTATCAAATTTCAAACTAAAATTCTTGTAACAGCAGCTCCTACTAGGGAGAAAACTTTGTTAGATGTGTTTTGGTGATTGTAACTAGAATTCTGTTGGTTAGAGTTGCATAATAAATGTTGATCAGTGGGACACGTTGCAAAGACATAAGAGCATAATTAATTCCTAATTTTATATTTAATTTTCAGGCGTCAGAGAGCTCGGGAGAGGCAGCAGAAACTGCTCGCTGAATTTGCATCAAGACAGAAGAGTTTTATGGAAACGGCCATGGATGTTGGTAAGATCACTTGTCTCAATTATTATTTATTATTAATATAAACTGCCAGCCTGTTTTCGTACCGGTTACCTGCTGTAGTACATGCAGAAAATGACTAATTGTTTATTCAAACGTCCTTGTTTTACTTTCTCCACCCATCATGTTTTATGGTACAACGTATACTACGCACAAGACCTTTAGAAGTTAATGTGCAGCTTTTGTTTGAAGGACATCTTGTCGTTATGACCCTTTAGGAAAAATGCTGTCGGCTAACATAAACCTTTTAGTTCAGTGCAAGGTGATGGTGGGCTGAGCCTGTGCATACGGTCTCTGGAGGGCGTTTAGCAGAAATTGAATCGAATCTTATGGGAGTGTCGGTGCCTGTTGGCAGTAAGGGCACATTTGAGATCAGAGCACTAATAGTGGGCTGGGCTCCGAGGGACCACTGTGACACCGCATGGTTAGCAGATGAATAATAGCCGCTGTGCTTAGGTGGATATTTCTGCCGTGACATCTGTCAGCACGTTTCCTGCTGTGCCACAAGTTTAGTTCTGCACCTAAAGAGCGAGACTAAATTAGCTCCAGCTATTGTGCCTCTGCCAACCTCAACTACCTGCTGTAATAAATATAAGCAATTCTAATAATCTAGAGTTTAACATTTGGAAGATTCCAATCAGAGAATATGTTTCCAATTCATGCTGCTGGCTTTATTACGATGTGCGTGTTTGCGTGCACTCGTGAACCCTGTGTGTTTGGATGCCCCGAGGTTAAAACTGTAGCGATGACATCTAATTCAAACTGTTTTCATTTCCCCCTAAACACTGCGACCTCTCCTGAGAACACGCTCCCTCAAAAAGTAATAAATCAGTTCCTAGCGACACTTGACATTTCTGCAGTGTTTACTGCTCAGATTGAACACGGTTCTTAACATTTAAAGCTAATTGCACATCAGTGATTAATTTCTGCTTTTGCTGGTAACAATTCATTCATAGATGGACCCAAAAGTCTTGAGACAACCAGGAAAGTTGGTTTTGCTTCTGGAACATTGAGAGACACTCATGCTTTATTATACTAGAGTTGATTTAGTGTGAATCTCTCTCACCAGAGTCAGACATGAAAATCCCTCACCTTTCGGTGAAAGTCGCCATTTTGGATCCAAAATGGGTCACCTACGTGATTCGTGCAGATCCGAGGCCAGCTTTTACGGTTTAACCAGTTTATCCACTGGGGGACATTTTCATGAGGATTTTTAAGATGCCCCTGACACCACCAACAGTAAAATAAATAAATAAATAAAATCCCATTGTAACCGGTGACGCGCGAGCCACAAGAACACATTTCGTCTGGAGGTCTCCTGTGTGGACCTCCAGACGGCTTTTCCGCGTTTGAACGATCCAAGCCCAAACAGATTAAACCCAACGAGTCAGATCGGACTTGGATCGATTCATAATTTGCGCATGTTGAGTCACGCAACAGCAGAAAGAGAGACTGACTGCGCAATGTGTGAGGAGACGAGGACGCACCTCATGTAGGGCTGGGCGATACGGCCTAAAATCAATATCACGATATATTGAGGATTTCACCTCGATAACGATAAATGGAAGATAACTACGGGTATGCACGGAAACAAAAGTTGTCCACTAGATGGGGCTGTCACGTGTATGACGAATCACATTTCATGTGACTCAAGGCAGTACAGCTTCTTAAAGGGACATGAATGTTGCCAACCTACACACATCTTTTCATTTTTTATTTGCAAATTTATTGACATGGAAAAAATTATCATGATAAGAGTCAGAACTTTGATAACGCTAAATGTTTCATTTATTGCCGAGCCCTAACCTCAAATGAAACACAGTGGAAGCGTTGTCGTTCATCCATGTTGATAAAGAAACGCTAAAATGTAGGCCATGTCGTCTCTGGCGATCCGGCTTTAGGCTTAAAGTCCGTTGAGTATTTTCGGTTTCAGTGTTTGGGTCTTGTTGGGGCGCTGCTGCGGGCGGGGGTGGGGGGTACACGGAGGACCTGAGAGCTCAGAACAAAGAGAAATTATAATAATGTTTTGCTGGGTTAGCCTGTAGAAGTTCTTGCTAAAATTTATTCTGTTTCATGACCCAGGGTGACTTGAATTGATAAATTCATCTTTAAGAAAACTGGAAGAAAACTTTAGTCTACCTTTGAGTTAGATGTTTTCTTCTTGTTTACTTGTTTCTTCTCCTCAGAGACACCGTGGATAAAAGGAGATAATAAAAGTCAAAATGGCCCCAAAAGAAGGGTTAGTTAGCTGGTTAGTGAAGGGGAGGTAGCTGTCATCAAATCCTAACCCAGCACATTGCCTCCTGATGGGGTTATTGTTATTATTGTTATTATCATCACATATGAAAAAACATTCAACACTTTTTTGGAAGTTTAGGATTCTTGATGGTTTTAGTGTTTTCTAGCCTGGCAAGCCAGACTAAATAAATGTATTATTTAAGCCCTTTTCAGACTGACATTCTGGAACATTTGCGGACAATTCAATCCGGTTTTTAACCGGAACTGTGTTTTCAGACACACCACTTTTGTACCGGAACTTGTCCGTTCGGCAGCCTTCACACAGCAGGGAAAAGTTCCAGATGTCTGACGGCGGCGGGGGGTGGTGGGGGGAGAGAGAATCGGACTCATGTTAAGAAGAAGAAGAAGAAGAAAATATCATTTCTATAGCGCCTCTCAAGATAAAAAATCACGAGGCGCTTAAGCATAATTCTGCGCACACGAAGATGCATAGGAGACCTGGATGATGAAGCTCAATGGTTAAAGGAATCACTGAAGCGGTGTGAAGCGCTCCGTCGCGCGTCTAGGCGGTACCGTAGGAGGTGAGCTGCCGTGGTTCGCCGCATGCTACAGCAGCGAGCTGTATAGGTGCGCACAGCGTCCCCCGGTCCCCTCCTCCTCCCCCTCCCTCTTGTCCGGAACTTTACCTCACCAGTCTGAAGCAGCCACCCTGTCCGTAACAAGTCCGGACCTGTTACTAGGGGCTTCGTCCGGATAAATTCCGGAACACGTTATCCGGATGTTTGTATTCAGACAGAAAGGTCTTACGGACAGAGTCCTGAACATTTCCGTTTTTCATGGCCTGTCTGAAGGGGGCTTAGTCTGGCCACGCTCCATTGACGACTCTCGGTTGTGGGGCGGGTTCTACCGTTGTCTTTCAAATGATCTCCGCATTCCACTGGACAATGAATGTGACATACTCTTGTTTCACTCTGTTGCATCATCCCACCCACCAGGCATATAGAGTGCCCTGATTGGCCCACAAAGCGGATAAAGCTCTGTGATTTGTTCACTAAGCAGATAGAGCACTATGATTGGCCCACCATTATGGACCAATCACAGCTCTTTATGTGTTTGAAACCCCTCTAGAGAGCTGTGATTGGCTAGCCAGAGTTCTGGTAGGAGCTGCTGAGGTTCCAATGGAGCGTGCCTAGACTTTGCAAAGCAAGAATTTGGTCTTGTTCACTAGGTTAAGTGTTTTCAGCAGCAGAGTCTGTTTTGTGCCTGTCATATTTCAGGGGTGGGGGGTGGGGGTCTCATCTTTTAACCTTTGACCCATTTTCATGTCCAATATTAGGGAATCTGCCTCTGAATATAAATGATTTGGTGTGCTGGTTTCTTTGTTATTGTCAGAGCTCACCACGAGAAGACATTTTACTGATTGAAGGTTTTCAACACATCCAAAGATCAACGTTTAAAGTTAAATAAAGTGAAAAGAAAATATTTTTTTCCCTAGAATCCCCAGAGACCGAGGCAGCTATGGATTTAGGACCGTCTGAAGTGATGGAGTCTGAGGTTCTGTATGACTGTGTGATCTGTGGACAGAGTGGACCGTCCACTGAAGACCGTCCAACTGGTTTAGTGGTTCTCCTCCAGGCAACCTCAGGTATTACTTCTCTACAGAGCAACATCCAATTATTACTTCCAGTTTATGACCTTTATATTTTTTAATTCAATTCAGTTTATTTATATAGCGCCAAATCACAACAAGAGTTGTCTCGAGGCACTTCACAAAGTAAACATTCCAACAGAGTTCAGTTCATTATGCCAGTTAGTTAAAAGTTTCCTATACATCCTTTTATTTTTACTTGGTTCTTTTAGTGAATATGTTTATTTTAACCAACTCTTTGTCTTTATGGTTGTTCCTAATTTCAGTTCTTGGGCACCGCTGCAAAAGTAAACAGGCTAAGAATCTGCCGACGAGTGATGAAGAGCACATATACCCCGCAGACACGTGTGGTGTTGCTCACGATCTCAGACTCACGCTGATGCAGCAGTTCTTCAAAGACGTACGTGACACAAAAACATCATCAGCCCTACTGTTACTCTCTGGGGATGAAATATTTCACTTTCAAATCGCTTTTGTAGCTTAAATGTTTCATAAAGGAAACTTCCGTTTTCTGCTTCACAAAAGAAACAAACTATTCAGCAGGATTAAAGCTTGAAGGTCTTCTACGTACTCTAACGTGTGGGAATTTTGTTTGGTGAATCCTGCAGAGCTCCTGTTTGCAGTCTGTGTCAATCGGCTGGGATGGCGGCGTCTATGTTCAGACCTGCGGACACACTTTGCATATAGACTGCCATAAATCATACATGGAGTCTCTGAGGGTAAGCAAACAGCCTGGCTAAGTACAGTGACTGACCGATGACTTGTAACGTTGTTTCTGTAATGTTTAGAGTTTACATTAATCAGGATTATTGTTTTCTTCTCAGAACGACCAGGTCCTCCAGGGGTTCTCTGTGGATAAGGGTGAATTCACGTGTCCACTGTGCCGGCAGTTTGCCAATAGTGTCCTTCCTTGTCGCCCTGGTCGAGGCTCAGAAGCCAGTGGATGGCACGCGCCCACAAACAAAACAACAAGTGTACTTGTAAAGGAAGTGGACGATCTTCAGGAGAAACTTGGCCTTTTTCCGGTGAGATTTCCAGTCATTTCATATTTCTGTCGGTTTTATTGTATACTATGATCACATTTGAATGGATTGCTTTTGCTTCTAAGACGGAGTCCAACTTGAGCAAAGAGATGGAGCTGGTAATTAAAGACATCAAGAATACTACTCAGAAAAAATACATGGATTATGGGAAGAACCCAGGTTCTCCTGACAACGATTTCCTCTTCATGTATTCAGTAGCAAGGTAAGATCCACCGCTGATGCCTAAATAGAAAACTCATGAATTGTGATTTAAAGGTGCAGTATGTAAAAATATAGTAAGAATTTAAGACTGAGAAAATCCCGAAAGAGTCTAATGTTTCAGTCTATTTGGAAGGAAGGTTATACTGAAACATATTTCATATCCAGCTGGCTGCAGGATTGTCCGTTTTTCTCCGTTTAAAACAAAGGAAGGAGGGACGTAACTGCTGTTTACCATCAGTGAGTGCGGGGTCGCTGTGCCTCCTGCGAGCTAATACTGCAGCGCTAACGATTGTAATTTGACGAAGGCTGGCAAAAATCTCCAGAGTAGTTTAAAGTGGTTGAGGTAACCAAATTTTACCACAGGAAGTTAGTTTTACTTCATTTCTACATAATGCACCTTTAAGGTCTTTTCATTCTGGAGAATCAAAGGTTTTGTGTGCCATAAACAACAGGGGATTGTGTTAACACCAGTTACTGCTTTAATATTATTTTAAAATAACCCACCGGTGACGATGTGTGTTTTATGGCTCAGTCATATTTGCTGGTGTTGGTCTGGTAGGTCATCCTCCTGCACTATTGCACACATTTTTACACTCTTTCACACATCAGTAACTGTTGATTAGTGTACAAAAAGACCCTTTTCCTGTTTCATTCTGGTGTTAAAATGTCAGCTTCCGAACTTTAATAGTCAGTCATGCAAAAATACAACAGGGCAATTCTACTCTGTTCACAGTGTTGCATATGAATCCTAGTTTCTTCTGGCTAAGGTGCAACAGATTGATGTTTTTCCTTACCCTGTCTTTGATGACTGCCACCATATGAAGACATGAAAATGTTCCAGACAGCTGATTGGTCAGAAGCGGTGGCTGGTGAAGAACATTCTATGTGTGAAAAGATGTCTCCTCATAGTCCATTTTAAGTATTCAAATGAACAGTTGAAAACTTTTTTTTTTCCTTCTCCAAATAAACAGTTTTACAGATAAAATCAATTATCAAATTTACAGAAAACTTAGACTATAACAATACTCAAATAAGAACAAGCCTTTCTACCAAAGAGCACCTGCAGTCCATAATGTCAATTTTTGTCCTTTTTTTACATTTATTTTGACATTAGATTTTTTTCCAGCTTGTCTCCAGCAGCCTGTGTCTCAATTGATCTGCTCAAATTTGTACGCAAATTGCAATACTCAATTCCACCAGTAAGTGGTGCTAACATGGCATAGAAATGAAATTATATGTCCTGTGTGATTTCAGCTCTGTCCATGTAAATCAACTTTGAGTCGGTGTGAACAAGGGAGCAAAAGAGAGATGGGAACGGAGATCAATCACCTTGCATGTTATTTGTTGCGGGGCACTACCAACCAGCGCCCCAGTGACAATAAATTCAGTGATACTGATTGGCTCAAAATTCTCTAGTTCTCCCAAGCAACCAACCATGGTTGGATGTTTAGCTGCAGTTCAGAGGGACTCCGATGCTCCAGGAGTGATATTAGTGAGTCTGTTGGAGGAAATTCACAGTTTAATAAAATACATCTGGTGAAAGTGATAAATAAATAATCCAGATTACCGTAATTTCCGGCCTACAAGCCACTATTATTTCCCTGTGCTTTGAAGCCTACGGCCAGTATCATGGTTGGCCAACAACCACTAGAGGCACTCTCCAGCAGTAAAGTGAGACAGGCACAGCAAAACGTTATGCGCGGAAGAAGACGCTCTTTGATTTAAAGCGTTACGTTTACACATCAGACACACCCTTGTCATGGAAAACACGCGGAGGAATGCATATGCTGCAGCTTTCAAGTTAAAAGCGATCGATCTGGCCATCAAACAAAGAAACAGAGCCACTTCACGGGAGCTTGGCATAACGTTTACATGCAGCCAATATCCGGGTTATGATCGGATTAAGGTCGGTATTCGGGTTTACAAGCACAAATAGAAAGAGTTACCCCTAACTTGCATAACCTGATTTAAATGCGGACGTTGGGGTAGCGTCAGGACGTATGGACTACGTCCAGACGCAATTTGCGTCATTTCCGGTTCTTCTTTTTTTTTTTTTTTTTTTTAACAAGTTTTATTTAACCAATGAAGCTTACAGGCTTACATAAGAATCAATATTTACAGTTGAATTCTGAGCATGACAAAAAAAAAGCAGGTGTACAAACAGAAACAATAAAATTAATCTAGCTCAATATCAACCTGCAGAAATCATAACAAAAAACAACATATATACATCTATTACATCAAACAACATTAGGGGTAAAGGAAACGTTCACCAAATTGTTATAGAGCCAAATGGCTTTCTTGGAACTACATAATTTAAGAGAATCCATAAAGGTTGCAAGTTCTTTCAAAAAAACAATAAAGATCGGTTTGATATTGCCAAATTTACATTTGTGTATAAAGAATTTAGCGAAAATAATCAAATTATTGACAGTGAATTGCTGCTTTTTATTTTCCAAAATAATACCATACTTGATGTCAGAAAAAGATAAGGAGTGTATAATGAAATTATGCGTTAACCACGAGTGAAAACTATCCCAGAAATATTTGGTAAAGATGCATGTGAAGAATAAATGTATCTCAGTTTCTATATTAGAAGTGCAAAAGGCACAATCGTTCTCTCCAATATTAAATTTAGACTGCAAGAAATCTTTGCAAGGATAAATACTGTTTATAATTTTAAAATGAACTTCCTTGGCTTTAGGAGGGATTGGGAATTTGAGATAGTTGCATCTAATGTTTTTAACATCAGAATTACTAAATTGACGTACTAATTCCCGTCTTCTAAGAGGTAAGGGAAAGAGGGCGTCAGTGAGCCAACATCTAAGGATTTTATTATTGCAGTTCCTGTCCACAAAAGAACAGTTCTTAATTGTTAAAGGAGGCATTATTGGAATAAGGTGAGAGTACAACAAAGTGCCTTTCAAATTAGCATATATAGCTGGTGGGATTGCCTTGATTACCTCGGCATACTGCTTAGAAGAACAAGTTAGGTTAAATTTGTGATTGAAAGCCGTAAAATTAAGAAATTCTCCATTCTGGTCCATCAAATGCAAAACGGACCATACTCCATGGAGATGCCAATCATTAAAATAAAAAGATTTCCTTTTAATCAGGATATAACGGTTGTTCCATATTGGCGTGTTGTGCGGTGTGAAGTTATGTGTATACATTAATTTCCAGTATTGTAGAACTTGCTCGTGAAATTTGGATAACTTAATAGGGAGTTTGGATAATTCAAAGTCACATTGAAGAAGCAATTGGATTCCGCCTACACTGGAGAAAATTTTAGCAGGAAGATTAAACCACAACATATTTATATTCTTTATAAAATTTTGTAGCCATTTTAACTTAAGTGCACCATTCATTATATCAAAATCGATTGCATTGAGACCCCCTTCCTCTATTGATTTGATGATGTCATTCCTTCTTATATAATGATGTCTGTTTTTCCATATGAAGTTAAAATTGTTTTGGTTAATTTCTTTAATAATATTTTGAGGAATTCTTAGAGAATAAGCCGGGTAGATAATTCTTGACAATTCTTCCATCTTGGATAGAAGTAATCTACCAAAAATTGAGAGATCTCTTTGTAGCCATATGTTTAAAATACTTTTACTCTTTTTAATTAAGCTTTCAAAATTACATTTTACTCTCGTTTCTAAGTTACTTGACTTGATCTTTAACAGGTATGCCATGCAGAGTTGTTTGAGGATGATCATGAATGGCCATTAATTCACATTTATCTATGTTTAAATAAAGGTCTGAGGCTTCTGAAAAACAATTAACTACTTATAGAGCAATTGGGATCTGTTCCTTATTTTTAAGGAAGAGCGTAGTATCGTCTGCCAGTTGAATTATAGCTAACGAATTACCAAAAACATCTAATTTCTCTATCTGACTATTCTTAATCATGATGCTGAGAATTTCCACGACCATGATAAAAAGAAGAGGGGAGGCTGGACACCCCTGTCGGATGCCTCTTTCAATGTTGAAACGTTTGCAGGTTCCAGATGGCAACAGTACAGTACTATTAATATCCGTGTATAAGGTTTGAACAATTTCACACAACTTTGTTCCAAAGCCAAAATGGCATAACATGTCTATCATGAAGGAATGGTTGACTCGGTCAAAGGCTTTGCAGAAATCCAAAAAAAGAACAAAGCCATCATCCTCAATTGTGTCCCTGTAATCTAACAAATCTAGGACCAACCTAATGTTGTTATGTATGGAGCGACCCCTGATAAACCCAGATTGGGAATCGCTGATGATTTGTAAAATACCTTCTTTGAGCCTATTAGCCACAACATGAGCGAGTATTTTGTAGTCCACATTAAGGAGCGTAATTGGTCTTAGATTGCTTAGAATTTTGTTATCTTTGCCATTCTTCGGAATCAAAGAGATGAGTCCTTGTTTCATAGACGGCATCAAAGATTTAGTTTGGATACATTCTTGTAATGCAAAAAAGAGAAGATCTTTTATATTGTTCCAAAAATGTTTATAAAAGTCAGATGTCAGACCATCTTGACCAGGGGATTTCCCAGCGGAAAGTTGTTTGACTGCTGCCTCTACTTCAAAAATCTCAATCTCTGCATCACATATCATTTTAAATTCCTGACTGATTTTTGGGATGAGATGTGTAATATTATCCAATAGGTTTGATTCATTGCCACTCGATGATGAATAAAGGTCTTTATAAAATGTATAAACTTCTTCAGCAATAATTTTGGTATCCGTGCATTCTACATCGTTGATAATAAGTGAATTAATTAAATTCCTCTCCTGTCGTCTTTTTTCAAGACCACAGAAATATGCGGTATTGCGTTCACCTTCCTCAAGCCATTTCGCTCTTGATCTAATAAAAGCACCTCTAGCTTTCCGAGAGCTCATCTCATCCAACTTAGATTTAAGGTTTATATAAGTGGCTCTGTCTGCATTTAACATTGGAGTTTTCATACAGTATTCGTCAAGTTCATGTATCAATTTAATTTCTTTTTCTCT